TGACGGAATTTTGAACACAACCCCCGTTTTAAAGCTCTGTCCACCAAGTGTTCTTTCAGCAAAACGAAAAGAAATCTCTTAGGGATGTGTGTGACTTGTTATCGTTTTCTTGAAAGAATGGACACTTTTTTTGTGATCTATGGACAGAACTGTAAAACGTTGATTGTGTTTAAAATTCTTGAAAAGCACATAAGTCATTTGAATTATTTTTGTACTAAAAGAAAGCTTATGACTTCGGCTTTAAATATCCTAGATTTTGAAAGTGCTACCTGTAGAACTTCACTAAAACAATAGTCCCGACATTTGGGTTTCTGGTTTTTTTTACTCACCCTGTACATTTATTATTTGGTTTTTGACTGTAGAATCATTGTGACGGATTTTGCAAGGAGGAGCAAGGTATTAAAGCATAGATCTCCCATGTAAACGTATTGACGAGTCACTTATATTATCGCTCAAAACTGACTAAAGGTGATTCTAAATCAACTTGACGTCGTCAGCAGCTTAAAATAGAATTGTGCTAAACATGGGAGACGTGTTCAATTAAAACAGGTAAAATCCAGTCGAATCTAGTCGTTGCTTATTAGTCTTGTTCCCATCAGCTGGTATTTAGTGTACCCCGACAATTTGCTTTTTCTTTCTGCTTAGCGTATTACATGAGATTCAGTCGAAGATGATGAAAGTATATTTGGCTGTTAGAAAAATTGATCTCCGTTATGTCGTACTAAGCTTAAATGTCACAGGACTACAGCACAACTTCAGCTCATATTGATAACCCCAGAATTACAACATCAAAAAACAATCTTCTTGACAGGTCGATTTGCCAAGGCCGCTGACACAATTTATGAGCGTGACAGCAAGGATCAATGCGTTACGGACGCGTCGACTGGGTCGTCTAATTCTATGTACGCCCTCCCTGACAACTTGATACAGACGATTTTGCAGTATCTCAGTGCTTCTGACCTGTGTCACGTGGCATCATGCAGCCGTTGGCTACGGGATTTAGCCAATCAGGATTCGCTCTGGCGCCCTCTTTGTCAAAGCAGAGGATGGGAGCACTACGGCACCACCACAGACCTGGCCAAGATAGCCTCCTACGGACCCTCCAAGCAAGCAACTGGCGCTGCAAAATCAGGTCACTACAACGTCACCTTCCAGAATGATATGATCGTGACTGATGACAACACAGCGGGTTTAACCAGCACTTGCAGGTGGAAAGGCGTCTACATGAGAGCTTACCATCTGGATAGAAACTGGGCAACAAATTGCTCTCATTTCAAAGAGTTAGAATTGTATAAGCAATCGCATCCTTATCCAGATACTTGTGTAGACGGAAATCTTCTGGCAATGCGCACCTCCGATGAGACGGTCCATGTATTCGACATTCGGAAGGGCACCCTTCAACAAACTATCCATGTGCGTGTCGCCATAAGGACGGGATTTATCAAGATCAAAGACGGGGTGTTGGTGGTGGGCTGTGCAGATGGAATGGTCCGCGTGTTCGATGCAAGGACAGGGCAAATGCTACAAGAGATTGAGGAACACCAACCCGATGAGATTGCGTCATTGTTCTTTGATGGCGAATTCGTGATCTCCCATGCTATACCCTTTTGGCCTTACCCCCTCGGCTTGATTATTGACCATTGGGTCCATGACAGATTCGCCTACATCCACGTGTGGTCTGTCGTAGGCGGAATTCGTCACTGCACTCTCACGGTGAATCCTCGTTCGGAGTTGTTCTACTTTGTAGATGTAGATTACCGGGACGAGCTGGTGGCAGCTACCCACGGTAAGAACTCCATCCACGTGTGGGACGCAAGGTGCGGCGAGTCTGTGCATGAACTGACGCGTCCGGGACACTTTTTCCAAGTCAAACTTGGGGGAAACATTATTGTCGGTTTCAGCAAAGAGGAAAACGAGCATGTAATCAGCATCTGGAGCCAGGACACGGGAGTCTGCCAAAACGAAATAGACGTATCCACACCTCTGTGTTACCAGAAAGGTGTGCAATTGGTAAACAATGTGATACTACTGTACTTTGTCACCGGGGAGTGTTATACAAGGTTGTCGCATTATTCTCGCATGACTGTGTGCGTTTACAACCCACTTGGACAACTGCTATCGGAAATCGAATCTGTCATGACTGCGTTTCAGGTTCGCACAGAAGGCCTGAAGGCTCGATACGGAAGCAAGTTGCCACTGAGTTCATCAGATGAGCTGCATTTCGAAACGTCCATCTTTGATGTCTATCCCAGTGGCTTGGTGCGATTCTTTACGGTTAATCCTGGCCCATCAGATGCCGAAATCATCTGGATGGATGAAATCAGAATGATTCTCTGTGATGTAAGCAACAAAAGACTCTTAATCCATCATTTCTGGTGAACCAGTGAGGACACCCTAGCAGTGAGTGTCATGACCTAGCGGTTAAGAACACCGGACTCATGCTCTGGTGTTTCAGAGGCAACAGTGGCGTGGGTTCGAGCCCGCCGGGTGGACTTGTACCCTCGAGCAAGGCACTTAACCATTACTGCTTCGTCCTTCGGATGGGACGTAGAGCAGTAGGTCCCGTGTGTTGTGTAAATCCAATGCTTGTAAAAGAACCCAGTGACACTTATCGTTATAAAGAGAAAGGGCTTGCCCCGGTGTTTCTGCTCTCCTGTATAAACTCCCACGCGGAGCATTTAGGAGATAAACCAACCAAGAACCAACCAAGAGCTATAGAACGCACGGCAACATCAGAGCAATTAATCCCTGCACATGTCACGTGCAGATCACCACCATCTTCACCTCGAGTCAAAGTATTGAATTTCGCCTCCGCATCATCCACGCACTCGGCTACAAATAAGTGGATAACATTTCAACAGACAGTTCAAGTTCACCTTTGTTGTAATGTCCATCCCATAGCTGCATGTTTATTTATAAACCACTTCTGTTTGATATCTTTGGTTACCATGGCAACTTATTTACTTCATAAATACATATGAAACAGCTTTTTTTGTGACCTTAACACTTTTTGTGTGTGTGTGAGACTTTAAAGTATTCAATTTAGCCTGAAATCCAATTTGGCTGCAGCGATGCAAAATCCGAAATTATGCTGTTGCTTAATCATTCTCGATTCTCGTTAACAAATAACTTTTTGTTGCGGAAAAAATCACCGACAATATTGAACTTGTCTCCAAGAAGTATAGGTATAGCGCGTTTTTAGACCCAAACTCATCGCGTACTTAGCTTAATTAATTAGCTCTGTTTGGTCTCATGTCCATGTTTATCCTAACCACGACATACATAACAGTTTGTAAACTAGCCTTCTTTTTCTTGCGATAACAAATACTGGTGAGCCATCAATAATACGGGGCGGTACAACATAAAACGGAACGGCGCATTTCCGCTACCAGGAGACCAAGATCACCTGATTTGGTCCAGTAGTTTTTGTTCTACAGGGTGAGTCAACAAAACGAAACCCAAAGGTTGGGGCCATTGTTTTTGAGAAGTTCTACATGTAGCACTTTCAAAATCTAGGACATAAAAAGTCCCGTTCATAAGCTTTCTTTTAGTACAAGACTCATTCAAATCACGGAATTTTAAACACAACCACCGTTTTTAGGTTCCGTCCACGGATCACAAACAATTCAGTGTTTTGTCAGCAAAACGAAAACAAATCACATAGAGATGTGTGTGAATTGTTTTCGTTTTGCTGAAAGAACACACACCATTTTTTGTGATCCGTGGACAGAACTTTAAATCGGTGGTTGTGTTTAAAACTCCATAACTTAAAAAGTACATAAGTGATTTGAATTGTTCTTGATTTTTAAAATGCTACATGCAGAACTTCAATGAAACAATAGTTCCGACATTTCGGTTTCTTTTTTGTTACTCACCCTGGAGAGCCTTTTTTTGTGTGTAACACTGAGTCTGGAGACATTTGCTCCCGATGAATAACTAAACCACGCCCGCGAATTTGACTTTAATGGATGGAAGGAATGTACCACATGAAAAACGCGTGCTTCACAAAAAAGGGCTCTGCAGCAATGACTACTGGACCGAATCGGGAGATCTTGGTATCATATTTCTCCTAAAGAGATTCTCCATCCACGGGTGGTTTGAGTCTCAATGTAGTGGAAGTATGCCGTTCCGGTCCTTGGGGGACACTGATAGTAAAATGAATCGCTGGCAATGGGAATTTGTAATTCGGCGATACCCCACCCGTCCTTTTTTAAATATTGCTTTGCATTCTCAGTGAATTGTAAGTCTTTTTAATTGTCCAGTGTTTTTAATTGTATATGTCCTTTTTGGGTTTCTGGGTGATTCATAGACATAGCCAGCGGGGAAGGGGGGGGGGTGTAAGGAGGGGTATCTCCCCATATTTTATAAAGACTACCCTTTTCCGTGCAAATTTGCCCTTCTTCTGTTAACAAGTGTCCCTTTTTCTGAACAAGTTGCCTCATAAAAAAAAATCGTGGCCTTTTTTTGTGCCATCGGCCGTTACGGGTGCCTTATTGTGAATTCGGCATGTATCGCTCTGAAAAGCACCATATATTGGCCGTTTGTGTGCATAATCGTCGGTTTTTAACAGCGCCCCAATCGACAGATGGTACCAGACCCAGCCCCCCCCCCCCACACTATTTGATTTTGCGGAGGCCAAAGTGTCCGCAGAAAAAAACAACACGTGTCTACATTTCAGCACGGATGTGCAAGTGCCCTTTTCAAGAAATGTTTAACCCCCATCCCCCCAATAAAAACGACCTCGCTAAACCCCTGTGATGTTTTGTACATTCTTAGTTCATTGGTTTCCGCAAGGTTTTTGAAGAGTTGCGCATTTATTATTCACTGGAAACTAACCAAAAAACCGAATTCGCTTGTTCATGACATTCCTTTTTAGGCTACAATCAATACCCAAGGCTTTAACACGTGAACAAAAAAAGAATATTAAAATAAAATAGGTCTAGGCCCATATGTGTTACAAGTTACGAGGCATGGTATTGTATACAAGACAGTTGCAATAGTTATGTTTACAAAAATGTGTTATTTATTCATTTCCATATCTTTTATACAAAACTGTACAAAAACCTTTCTAATATTTACAAACCAAAATACAAAAACATATTGTACATATTTTAAAATAAATATGTGTCAACCCAAATCAGAGTTCATGTAATGAATGCGCAAAGCGACCGTTACATTTCTATTTCAACCGGAAAGAGTCGTGAATTCCATGACGAGGGAATTTCAATGTTACCAAGACCATGACCTCAATATTCCGCGTACAATGAACGTGTACTTTCAAAATTGAAAAAAAAAATGCATATTTCCCCTACCCCCACTGAAACGCTTCATACTAGGCGCAAAAACACCGTGACGTCGGGAACGCGGTATTGTACAGGGTGTATACAGAAAAGGAAATTCAGATGTATCAAATGTAGATGTAAATTATTAACAAATCTTGATTGAAAATTTAGAGTTGCTTGTTTTGCAGCCAAAACTCTTGATTTCGAAGTTATTATGCCTGAATTCAAATAGACATCACCAGTCACGTGACATGTATTGTGTCATAGAAATTGTTCATATGTATGCAATGCATTAATACCAATTTATAATTATGACATAACACATGCAACGTAACGGATATTAACGACTTCATTTTCTCAGAAATAATGTAAACAATAGGGTTAAATGTGTGGTATTGAAGTCACTCGAAGGGCATTACATGTGTGCATGTATTGTGATGTACATTCCAATCAAACAAGAAACAGCGGAAATCCACGCAAGTTGTATATATAAGTTTTTCACACAAATTAAGGACTGAGAATTTCACAAAATTTTCGTAAAACCGAGGGCCTGCAGGCTCAGCTTTTCTGGCGAGGATTTTAAAAACCTCCCAAAAGTCACATAGTGTGTTTAGCAATGAGAGCCACATTTTACTCTTGATTAAAAAATAGTCTTAGAATAAAAATAGTTATACCATATGCAATGCATGATGTATAGTCTCCAACATGGTATGACTGTATTTGAGGCATTGTAGTAAACAAAACATTTACTGATGCTATTAAATGTATACATGTACTGTTCTTTTTTTTACAAAATGAGTTGCAAAATCAACTATGTACAAAATGTTCAGGAAGCTGGATTGATCGTCATTTTGCTGGAGCAGGGACGCCATTTGCTAATTTTTACGAACTATTTCATAAATTGCTCATTACAAAATGCATTTCGTGAGCAGCAACACTTTGATTTTACATCCGGGCTCCGCACGGATCCAAGTTCGAATCCCGACGGCCAATTTTCATTGGCCAGGGCCAGTGTTGTCCGTGGCAAAAACGTGGCGTTGATTGGTGGATGGCAGCGATGACGTACTAGTTTCATCTCGACGAGTCCTTCTTCCTGTCCTTCTTCTCCTTCTTGTCCTTGCGCTCTTTCTTGTCTTTCTTGTCGCGGTGTTCCCTGTGCTCCTTTGACTTGGATTTCTGTCAAGAAAAACAACATTTGCATAATCAGTAAACGGCATGAGTATAACACTTGTAGCTTTCAAACTGAATTTATCTCTGTCACTGATGTACAAAATGTACATGTACTTCATAAAATTACAACGACAGTGAGAAGTGTTGTCATCGTCGCCACAGCTTTGTCCTGATACTCTTCCCCATCATTATTATCTTTAATCTTCCCTGAATTGCAACACTGAATTACATAACGAATCAATGATGGTTGCAATACATAAGGCACTTACTTTGTGGCTTTCTTTGTCCTTGTCATCTCTCTCCTTGTCCCTCTTCTTGTGTTTGTGTTTCCTCCTCTCCCCTCCATCCCTCGACTTTCTGGACTTGGCGTCATCCTGAATCATCCCGGAGCCCGTCATGCTCTTCTTCATGGACTCCAGCTCCTTCAGTTTCCTCTCGTACTCGTCCCTGATCAGGTACTCGCCGGGTGACAGCGAGACTTTGTTGTTGAGCGGCGGCGGCGGCGTCGACACGGAGCTCCGGCGCGAGGAGGACGGCCGGCGCGCTTTGACGCTGCCCTGGAGCTCGGCCTCGTGCTGCAGCTGGGCGGCCTCCACGTCGTATGAGCCGACCCGGCCGCTGCGAGCCGAGTCCATGGTGTCGTTCATGAAGCCGTCCGGCGTCTGGCTGCGGATGGGCTGAGGGTACCGACCGCGGCCGGTCAGGTCCGGCAGCGGGGTGGGGCTGCCGTAGCTACCCTCGTCGGCGCTGTCGACTCGCTTGGTCTCGTGGTCCAGGACTTTGGGTTTGCTGGAACTGCGGCTCGGGGACTTTTTAGCGTTGCCGTTGGGGATTGTCTCCTCGGTGATGAAGTAGTTGGAGGTGACCTTGGTGCCGCTTATTGTGGCTGTACCGTTCTCGATTGGAGCAACTATACGAAATAAGACAAAACATGTTACTTAGACTAACCATTTCTTAGATCAGTTAAGAACGAAGCGATTCATCTATCTATAAGAGTCAGTAGTTATATTGACCTGTTCCCTTCATTACCAATGACATCCAGTGAAGTACACAGGATAGCCACCCAGACAAATAGACTTGTTCGAGAAATTAGCAGGTCATTTTTTGCACACGATTCCCGACCTTAACCAACTGGTGTCAGCAGTGGGATAAGAATCACGATTGAAAGAAAAGACGTGTGTACATTTGTACATATCATTTAAATTGATGTCCAATGCCCCTCTCCTGCTCCCATTAAAAACAAACCTTTCCAACAGCACAGAAGTGGATATTGTAATGCATAATTTTAAGAGTGTGATCAATTACCGATAAGATAACATGTTTGCACAAAAAGCTGCAAGATAATGTTTACCTTTTGTTTGATAATTACCTTTTGTTTTTTTCTGTTGTTTGCGGTAGCAGTAGTACACAATGATCGGCACAACAATCAGCGCGAAGACGAAGAAGGCAATTAAAGCCAATACGGCCAGGACTATCTGGTACAAGTCGTCCTCTGTTGGGTTGAAAAAACACAAAGAATTTGAAATTAGTAACCAATGATGAAAAAGGAAGGTATTTCCCCGGTCACTTTAGCACTTATTATAATTCCAATATGACAAGATACTTTAATTTCATTCCAGAACGCGACGTCATTGGGCTTCATTGCAAATTTCAATTTCGAATGAGCACCAAAAGATTACTCTTAAACAGTGCAGTGTAATTTACGAATGTAGCATTCTAAAATTCGTCTACGTTTGGAGAAATTCTTATCGTGTGGAAACAAATTTCACGAATTCCGATATCTTCCGCATGGTCATATTTCTCTAACAAAAGTTCAAAAGGGTATCACATCATCAATATCAATAAATTGGGAACAAATATGTTCAATTATCATGAATGAGATGTTTGTTGTAACACCATGTGAATCATGAACTACATTAAACATTTTCTTTTGAGTTGTGCGGTTCTAAAAAGAACCAGTTGCTTTAACTCGACGTTTCGAACAGTGGGCTCTGTTCGTCATCAGGAGACTGAACCCCACAACTTAAAAGAGACATCATTCACATGGTGTTAACCGCCGACATCCCATTCATTGTTCATGTCCACCATGCAATCCTTATTCAATTATCACGGTAAAATATTACAGAGACTAATATTGCCACCTACCAATGATTCTGACCACGGCGTAGACGCTCTCCGAGTCGATCCTGTTCCGGGCCTCGCAGGACACCACCGCCTCGTCCATGCTGAGCGAGGCCGAGGTGACGGTCAGCGTGGACTTGCTCGAGCCCTCCTCGGTGATCAGGAAGCGGGCGTCCGTCTCGGCGATCTGCACGCCGTTGTAGTACCAGCTGTAGCCCAGCACGGCCGGGTCGCCCGTGGCCGTGCACTCCACCGCCCCCGTCTCGTCCTCCTTGATTTCCAGGGTTAGAGTGTCCAGCGAGACTTGGATGGTCGGGGTCACTGATATGTGAATAACACACAGAAGGGTTGAGTTTTAATCACGTCTGGAGTATTTCAGCCACCGCAATTAGAAGCTATTGCAGAGGTGGCATCACGTATATCAGTGGAGGATTTGACATGATATTTGATAACCAGTATTCGTATCGACAGTGTTTGTAACAAGAGTTGACTGTACAGGGTGAGTCAAAAACGAAACCCAAATGGCCAGCCAATTTTCTTAATAAAGTTCTGCATTTAGCACTTTCAAACTCTCGGATATAAAAGCCCAATTAATAAGCTTTCTTTTAGTACAAGAATCATTCAAATCGCTCATGTACTTTTCAAGTTACGGAATTTTAGACACAACCACCGTTTAAAAGTTCTGTCCACGGATCATAAAAAAGTGTTAGTGATTTCAGCAAAACGAAATTATTCAAACACAACCCTATGTGAATTATTTTCGTTTCAAGAACACTTACCTTTTTGTGATCCGTGAACAGAACTTTAAAACGGTGGTTTTGTTTAAAATTCCGTAACTTAAAAAATGCATGAGTAATTTGAATGATTCTTGGACTGAAAGAAAGCTTATTGATTGGGCTTTCATATCCTTGATTTTGAAAGTGCTACATGCAAAGAACTTGACTAAAACAATAGTCCCGACATTTCTGTTTCGTTTTTTTTTACTCACCAAGAATATATATATTATTGAAGGATTTGAGGTGATATTCGATATCCAGAATTAGTTTTGACAGTGATTTTATGAACGAGAGTTGACTGTATTCCCGGACAACGTGGAGGCAACCAAAATACACTGCCAGCTAATGGAACAAACGGGAGAAATGAAACTCGTCTTCCCCAACATGTTTCGGTAGTTCTTCAGGCCATCAAAGACAAATACAATTTTTAATATTGCCCAGAAGTCAGCATTGCCTTTTCGATAGGCCGGTTTTGGTATTCGAGCAAAGACTCGAAACACGATACTTACGTTCAAAGGTGAGCGGGTCCAGCTGGCATTTCTGCGTGGTGGTGTACGCCGGGTGGCTGGACAGGCACTCGAACACCGCGCCCACCATGTCATTGGTCAGCCGGAAGGACACGTCGTTGCGGGCGTTCAGGCTCAGCGCCACGTAGTTGCCGTCGAAGGCCAGGTTGTCGCGCAGCCAGTCCAGCTTGGGCTGGGGCTCGCCGCCCCGCGAGGTGCAGGAGATGGTCACGTTGTCTCCCTCCTTCAGGTCCGTGGAAGGGACCAGGCTGCAGACCGGGTAGCCACTGTCAGGCGCCGTGGCGGCTATGGAGATGGGGGAAAATAACCATTAAAGAAAGGTTATTATAACGAACCATTGAAGTCTTTTTTTAATAGTGATTTAATTTTATTGGACCGATAACCACCTGGTCAAAAAAACATAATACCAGAATCGGAAATGTTTGTACCAGCAAAAACTCCAATACTTTGGCGATGCATGTTACAGGCGAGGTTTCATATAAAATACTGTTGTAGTTCGGAGCGGAACTCTTGAAACAGGCGAGGTTTCAGATAAAATACTGTTGTAGTTCGGAGCGGAACTCTTGAAACCCGTTTCAAATTTGAAATGGCATTAAGCCAAAATGGTATTGTATTTATTGGTTATATGCTTTAACAGTACTTTCTGCCATCTGAATTTGCTCAGGAAAATCTGCTTACAGGAACTATGTAAAACGCAATCCGTCGAGACATTGCAACAACATTGATTGACATTGATCGTTAATGTATCGGAGTTAAAATGTGTGTGTGAAACAAAACTAATATTTGTATTCACCTATGACTGTGAGGGTGGCGCCGCTGGACGATATGGCCTCGTTGCCGGCACCGCTGGCCGCACTCACTATGCAGTGATAGGTGCCCACGTCGTTGGGCGACGCATCCTGTATCTGAAGATTGAAGTCACCCTCCGCTTCGTCACCAACGATGGAGTATCTAGAAAAACCAACAATAATGGGAGAATATTAATTGTATGTTGCAAAGTGACAAAGATTTTCGAATGTTTAATGGGAAAATATTAACTTTCCCCGGGCGTTTCATCACTAAAAAAGTACATGGAGACCTACTTGGAAACTGAAGGTAAAGCAAGAAATGTAATAAATCTGCAAAATTTTTGGCTTTTTTAAAATGAATTAATGCTAGGATAAAAGGTACACCATAAGCTTTCAATCTTTTTTGTGTAAATGTGTTTCAGTTCAACAGCTAATCACCATAAAGCAAAAACAAATCACTACAAAGCAGACGAATACAGGAGAGCCCAGGAATGGCGCGAAACCTACCGAGAATTGCCCAGGCTGACTTCTTTGTCGTAGCTGATTGGCTGGCTGTTCTGTAGCCATGACAACGTGCCTGCTTTGTCAGCCACTCGGCATCTCATTAGCGCCGTGGTGCCCTCCGTGAAGACGGCGTTCGATGGCACGATAGTCAGCCGCTGGCCGGAACCTTCGTAGGAAAAGAAAATTGGAGACATATTAAATATGATTGGAAATATTTTATTTACTACTTTTGAATCTGCGCTTTCGCGTTCACCAGGCATCGTAGTCGCAAAGTAGTAGCTCCATGATAAACGTCAATGCAGTATTTTTTTTCAAAAAATATATTTAGAAGTTTTTGAATGCTAATATTGTTTTATAAAATAAAGCCCATTTTAATTATCGATGTAACAAAATAAAGGGAACTTCGCAACAAAATAAGAGTAACTTTGTAGCAAGAATGTGAAAAAATATTGAGCCCAATTAACCTTGAATTGATAGGGAGGCCACACGTGACTCGATCCTTTCGCTGGTCCCCGCGGCCGTCACCACGCATTGGTACGAGCCTTGGTCGGCGTCTTCTTGCGCCGACACAATCCTGAGATTGTACTCGCCCGCCGCCTGGTCGCCCACGATGGAGTAACGGACGATGCCATTGGTTATTTGCGTGTCGTTGCTGATGATAACGCCGTCCCTCAGCCAATAGAGGAAGCCCTCTTTGTTGTCGATTTGGCACTCCAGCGTGGCGGTCGTCTCCTGGGACACGCTTGTGTCGCCTGGAACTTTGATGAAGCTCTGGACCTCTGCAGACCAAAACAGAAACGATTCATTATACAAACTGATGATTTTTTTTATCCATATACGGAATTGGTTGGTCTAAACTGAATGTACCTGAAATTATGATCTGGTACACGGTTCCCTGTTTTGTTTGTTTTTGCAGGCCTTGATACAGTTTTAAAAAATTGGTTTAAATGGCGCGCTCCAGTTCAGAAATTGCGCGCACTATTCAGAACGAATTAGGAGCGTCCCCCTCTTAATTCAAAATTTGAAATTAAAAAATTGATTAGTTGTCATGGGCCGATTTTTTCGTGCGACGTGTCATTGGAAAGCTCATAAACATTATCAATTCCCTTTGTAAATCTACATGTATTTGTTAAGTTGCCATACCCAAAAAGCACGCATACACCAACTTCAATTATCACGTAATGTCAATGAATTCGTTCCCGATCAACTTACGGAGCACGGTCAGCGTGGCCAGGTCGGACAGGATCTCGTCGGACCCTACCCCGCCCGCCGTGACCAGGCACTGGTACTGGCCCGAGTCCGCCAGCACCGCCTCGGTGATCTGCAGGTCGTAGGTGGAGCTGGCGTCGCCCTGGATGGTGTACCGCGTGTTGGTGGTGTCGATGATGTTGCCCTCCACGCTGATCGGGGCACCGTCCCTGGTCCAGGTCAGGGTGCCGCCCTTGTTGGTGACGGAGCAGCGGAGGGTGGCGGTGTTGCCCTCGGTGACCTGGGTGTCCGAGGGCTGGACGCTGAATGCCTGCTGGGCTTGCGCTGAAGCGAGAAATAGAAGAAGAAATCGTTGACCACCTTATAGAATGAAATTAATGTGCTTCCTTTTCATATTTCGATGGGCCCATGAAAAACATCGATAATTTGGGAGACAAGCAAAACGCTGGCAACGTGCGTGCAGACGATCGTCCAGATAATACTCAATTTGTTGTTCTCCTGATATTTCGAGAAATATATTTGGCAAAATTTAAAAATTGTAAGCTAGGCCTACTTTTCTTATGACTCCACTGCGGCTCACAAATTACACTCAAGTTCTCGACGAGAATTTGTTGAGGGACAAAACAGTTAACTACCGATAACTATTTCATAAGATGACATATTTGCGTCCGGGTGATATAAATCAATATGAGTTTTGCCCTTCACCGACGTATAAACACTGTTTTAAGCCTACTCAGTATGTTACCTCCAGAGTGAAAGTTGGAAAAAATCACTCGGTTCGCTGGTTCGAATCTTTGATTTGATTTAAATGTATTTGCAATTTCCAAACAATGATGATACAGTTTGAATATAAGTTAACATTTAATCAAACACATCAAAATTTATCAAAAATCGTAAAAAAAAAACCCTTAAAAATATAACTTAGAAAATCCCCATGCAGTGGAAAAAGCGGGGACAACGCAAAAAAAAGTAAAAAAAATAACTTATTTGCGGTCCCAATAATCTGATCTACATAGCAGCGGGTACTGCAATTAAACTATTCATAACTCTTTGCCCCAGTGTAAAATTTAAAAGGAAGTGAACATTGTGTTCACACACAAAACACGGAACGAAGCGCATACAGGCGAAATATTAAGCGACGAGGGATAAATTCGAATTCATTAGGCACATAAACAGCCAAATATGTTGTGGAACAATATTATACTTTTGATTGATGCTCGGCTGATGTCGCCCTAAAAGAACGAAAAATAGGTTCTCTACGTGGTAATAAGCCTATTAGCATGTCTTCTAAACACTCTTGGTTTGAAGGGTTTTATTCAATAGAAATGAAATATTGGTTTTCTTTGCTTGCATAAACATCATAAGAAAGAAGTAAACGGATCAAACACTCACCAAATCCTATCAACATGATAAAGAAGTATATTGTTGCCGTAACGGCATTACTGCGCCTGGTCGGATCCATGGTGATCTATCGGTGTATAAACCCGGATTTCCTATTGGGGGAAAAAGACACAAATTTGGTTGTAAAGAAATCCAAGACGCAGTGTTATTGCTCAATACCTAAACATTCATATGACTTCAATATTTATCTCAAAACTGCCTTAGTTAAGGGAGAAAAACGGTATCGAACATTTTGAAAAGTTATTGTCGGTAAAAGTGTTTGTACATGTACAGTTGTCAAGTTGAATAATGCCATTATGTTTACAGAGAACGTTTTTTTTGTCGATTGACAAAGAAAGACAGGCTTAATGCTGGCTTAGGAATTCGCTGAAAAACGCAAACCACCCCCCCCCACCCCCCCCCCCAAAAAAAACACTTAACTTTTTGTGAACCGTGGACAGAACTTTATGGTTGTGTTTGAAATTCCGTAACTTATAAAGTATGAGTGATTTGAATGATTCTTGTACTAAAATAAAGCTTATGAATTGGGCTTTCATATTTTATAAATTTTGAAAGTGCTACATGCAGAACTTCACTAAAACAATGGTCCCGACATTTGGGTTTCGTTTTTTTTTTTTACTCATCCTGTAGGCCTAAAGTAACAAATAAAATGTTAGTACATTCCACGTTGGCCTCCAGTTACTTAAAACTCAAAAAGATGTCTTTTTAGTCATCTCTGAAAATAATTTCGTTAAAATTTTCAGAGAAACATCCCGCCTAATTCCTATAACCAACTCCGAACAGGACAACACTATCACTGAGCAGATTTCATCAATAAAAATAAAGACACTTTAAAATTTGTATGATACGCACATATTTTTTTGTGTAGTTACAATATTCGTTCTAAACCAAATGGGTCAATTCTAATGAGGACACGGCTCCTCGTAGATTTTGTTAGAAATAATAATACAATTTGTCGTTGATGTGATGTCTTCCATTGCCATCAGCGTTCTCGTGGGTTACGCTTCGGCGTTCGGAGAATGTCTCCTCGTGTTACGTAACGAGAGCGTCTTTTGATCGCACTCTAAATGTCTTGTACAATCCGTTTGCCAAATAAAAATCAATGTCTTATAAAACCGTTTGCTTTTGAAAGCGTGCCTTATTCATCGGTGATTCATACAACGAATGACTGCCACGCCTTGGAACAAAACGCCATGACAATAAAAAGAAAACCCGACACTCATACACCGTCACACCCAGATAACTGTCCATTAAATTGATCAAATAAATACAGCATTAATACGTTCGTTTCAAATGTGTCTAGAACAGAAATACATATAATGTAAAAGAGTGGAGAAAACCTCGTAACGAAAAGAGTTGTCCGCCATCTGGCTTAGAGAGTGAAATTTTTGGGCGTGTTTTTTTTTTTCACTATAAAAAAAAACACTCTAAAACATGAAAACTTCACTCTACTAGTGAAACTTCCACTTTTTTTAAAGAGCAATGACGGACAACCGTTTTCGTTACGAGTGTTCTGTTTTCACTCTGTTAATTTACAAAGCACGTAATGTGAATATCAAGGTTGACACGCTATTTTGTATTTTTGGTAGTGAGTTTTTAAGACCTTTATAATATCGTGAATAACTAGGCCTATGTTGTCGCATTACGAGTTTGGATATACTTCAAACTGGAAGCAAGTACAATTCCCTGAATCCCTGACAAAGTGGACAAGTCAACTTGATTGTATACAGGGTGAGTCAAAAAGAAAGTGACCTGGATTAATGGGTTTTTTCTTCTTAAAAAGCAATTAAATTTAATACACGAATCAAGTATGTCTTAAAAGAGCATGTAGTTTCACTTAGCAAAATCTAACATGTATCCCTGCTTTCAGAAGTTATGTATGTTTTACCAAAGTAACACATTAATAACCAACTCTTTATGTCCGTGGAATGATATTGGATGCTACAGATTACACACACGCATTCAAATACACAAATGAGATTATTTTTACTGTCAGATTTTTACTGTCAATGTTCACTCTCTTGTTTTGCCCTGAAATACTGACGGCGAATTTTGTCTGTTTTTCCGTGCAAGTTTTCGTTCATTCATGGAGGTGAGAAGGAAACAGGTCAACTCGTACGCGAACCAACTCGTACGCGAGTCAACTCGTACGTGGATTGGTCAACTCGTATGCGAGACAACTCGTACGCGAACCAACTCGTACGCGTGCCAACTCGCACGCGAGCCAACTCGTACGCGAGCCAACTCGTACGCGAACCAACTCGTACGCGGGCCGTTTTAGGAGTGGTTTCGAGGATTGGGTTGGCATGGTTGGGAAGAATTTGGGAATAGTGTGACGGGTAGTCCGTAGTTCAATGTGTGACCGTTGTGTGTGATTGGGAGTGAACCCGTGAATGATGATAATAAAGTAACTGATTTTTGTAGTTAGACGAGTGTTGTATTGTTTTGTGCATACCTGTAGCCTTGTCACGTCAAATTTAATTCCATATATTAATGCAACGATGTACCAGTTGCATTTTTTGTGTTTTTTTAATCAATGTACCTGTCAGTCAATTAATTGTCACCATTGTCAAACTGACCCAATTGCAACGCTCTGGACTACCATGGATCTGTTCTCGCGGTTCGGCGTCCTAAAAGAACCGGCGGGTTTAGAAGATCAAAAGAGATCGATCAGACTTGTCAACTGCCTGTCACTCAACTTTCACTGTGGTTCACAACCATTGATCAATTAGATCAATTAAAAAGCAGACACGCGGGGACATCCGTAGGCAATTTCTATTTACAACTGAAATGCTTGGTATAACCATGGAGGTATAACACATAACACATCAGGGTTCGAAATTAGCGGTATAGCCCGCTAACCAAATGCTGGTCAAAACAGCGGCGGCCGGGGCTAGACAAACTATTCCTTAACCAGGCCGGCGTGCGAGTGAAAAATTATTGGGATACGGCAAAGATCAACGAACAGAAAGAAAAAAAATCATAAAATTCAAAAAGGAAACCCCTTTAATTTGTGTCTAATTATCAACTGTTTTAAAGATTAAATTATCTGATCTGTTAATCAAAAACACCAACAAAAGTCCCTCAGAATTGCGCTTGGAAATACGCCATTTTGTATCTGATATAAGAAAAAAATGCGGGCTAGTAGAAATGCCCGTGGGCCAGTAGCCCGGCTGGCTAGTGAACAAAAGAAGTTGAGGTCGAACCCTGCACATTCCGCCCCAATGTAATTGTTCTCTCCTTTTTTTATTATTGTTCTTCCCCAGCCTTCCTTGCCCTCTCCATTTTCGTTTCCTCTCCTTTTTAATTCTATCCTTTGAGCCATTTTAAATCTGTTTGCAGCATAACACAGGGCCACCACGCATTTGCAGTGATAATGAATAAAATTCAAATTTTTAAAAATAAATAAAATTCACCTCCCCATTGTTTTATTTTACAAAATATAATTTGGAGACATAATAATTAGGACTAAAAAACTATCTGACCCAAGCAAAAAACTGGCGGACACTGTTCGTACAACTGTATAAGCATGCGTGATGCTATATACCTTTTTTTATAGTAGCTCCTTTTTATACAATAGACCTCGCAAATATGGGTTTTTTCTTGTCATTTTACTTGTCTAACCAGCCAGCAATTGTACCGCGGCATACACAGGTTACAGCGATTCAATCATGCATTCTTTAAAACAGTGCGCGGTGCGGCGGGAACCAATCATACTGGTTATCGCGAAGACAACTTCCCAATCAATCAAGCGAACTTGTAAAAAAAAAAAACGCAGAAATCTTCTCTAAAAAATCGCGAATGTAAGTAGCACTGGCGGATTCAAAAATCAACTACATTTAAAGGGAATATACATCATTTGCTTTTGCTGTAATTTTCATAAATGGATGGAATTGGGGGGTTAGAAATATATAGCAAATATAGTTACACTGACTTTTTTGAGGTTTTGGGTTTGTAAACAGAGTAGTTTACATACATTGGGGAATTGTAAGGTCAGGGAACCAGTCTAGCTGGCTCGTACCCGTTCATAGGTTTGTAATCGATTGCAAACAAGTGCGATGGTCGATTTTGGGTCAACTCGTACCCGAGTCAACTCGTACCCGAGTCAACTCGTACTCGAGTCAACTCGTACCCGGGTCAACTCGTACCCAGGTTAACTCGTACCCGAGTTAACTCGTACCCAGGTTAACTCGTACCCGAGTCAACTCGTACCCGAGTCAACTCGCACCCAGGTCAACTCGTACTCCCCTCCTTTTTTAGTTTGGAAGTACGGATGGATGGTTAACAAAACTTCCGATTTTACCCTCAAAAACGGCGACTGAGAAATAGTAGTTACGCCGCCAGAAATACAAATAAAGTTCAAGGATTAGTTGAAGGCGGTTGAAAGGGAAAATGTACCGTTCATCGGCAAGGGCTTCATCGCGAACGGACGGGTACCGCGCGGAGAACATTTTCAAAACGGCATCAGTGTGGTACTCGCGAGTCGACGGAGCCCTCGCTGATAAACGGTAAATTTCACTTTTCATCCAGATCATCAGATGTGTTATTTTAAAATTTGTGTAGAAAAATCTGAAGAAAAAATATATTACAGGAAACTTAAAAGAGTCACACGGACATCGTTATTTAATTTATAATGATTCTTTAATATGTTGGTCATTTTTTGTACAATTAGTTCGGTAAATGTCGTAAAAAAAATCTTGTGCAGCTTAAATAAAGTTTCTGCGATAAGTTCAAGTAGAATATTATTTTGTCAACAGAAATGTAGGATTTTTAATTATTTGTTTCGTCCTCGAAACTTGACATCCGATTCGATTCATCATGAACTGTGTGACAGACCATCCGATCGATCGGTTTGAGCAGCAGAAAATGGTTCATCGGAAAACCACCGGATCATCTGTAATATAAAAATAAAATAAATTGATAAAAGCATGCATACTTTGGCCGATGAGTGCGCGCACAGGCTCGGCAAAAACGATGTCACCGTGCACGGTACGACCACGTTGACCGATGAGTGCGCGCACAGGCCCGGCAAAAACGATGTCACCGTGCACGGTACGACCACGTTGACCGATGAGTGTGCGCACAGGCCCGGCAAAAACGATGTCACCGTGCACGGTACGACCACGTTGACCGATGAGTGTGCGCACAGGCCCGGCAAAAACGATGTCACCGTGCACGGTACGACCACGTTGGCCGATGAGTGCGCGCACGGGCCCGGCAAAAACGATGTCACTGTGCACGGTACGACCACGTTGACCAGCGAGTGCGCGCACAGGCTCGGCACAAACGATGTCACCGGGCCGTGCACGGACAACCGGCCATATCCCTCCGATCTTCCGTTCGTTTCACTGATTTTCTTTTCGAAAATAGGCAACTTTTTTGAGCTGCGGGTACGAGTTGACTCGGGTACGAGTCAACTCGGGTACGAGTCAACTCGGGTACGAGTTGACTGTGGTACGACTTGACTCGGGTACGACCTAACTCGGGTACGACTTGACTTGGGTGTCAATTTTGGGGTACGAGTTGACTCGGGTACGAGTTAACTCGGGTACGAGTTGACCCATTTCCCGATGGTCAATTGGGGCCAGTATTTGAAAAAAAAAAGCCAGTTGTTTCCAACGCTGATCGGCCGATCAGCGTTGGAAACTGATACAAAATACCACTTTTCTATGAAAATGACAGTATACCAGGTGCCATGATTTTACAGGATGCTTTACCACTGTCATTCACTAACAGTCCAGCAAGGTATTTCAAAATGATTTGGTAGTTTTATTTTTTGATGTTTGCAAATGTTGTATTTTCCCTTTAATTTGAAAATCTCAACCTTTCAGAAAAGGTAAAATTATGCCGACCTACCGTACCGAACCTAATTTCATCTGTCCATGTGAGCTAAACCAATCGTCTAAACTCACGCGTACGAGTTGGTCCGCGTACGAGTTGGTCCGCGTACGAGTCGGTCCGCGTACGAGTCGGTCCGCGTACGAGTCGGTTCGCGTACGAATTGTCCCGCGTACGAGTTGGTCGCGTACGAGTTGGTTCGCGTACGAGTTGACCTGTATTCGGTGAGAAAGCGTTTTTATTTCATTGTGTTTAATGGGTATTCATCAGTAATCGTATAGAACGGTAAATGATCAGTGGTGGACCGCTGAATTTTGTGGTCTTCTTATTAAAAAAGTTAGAGCTTGAAAAGAGTATGCACCAAATTAAGTGACATTTTCACAGTTATTAGTCAATAACATGTACTTTATCCACACATGGTTTAAATATTTTTTCCCCGCATGTATTCAGTCATTTTCTTTTTGACTAACCCTATGTACTGAACGAAATCTATATATGGTGCAGTCATACAAAATGTACTTCTGAATACCCTCAATTATAAATACCATTTCTCCTCATTTGGTGGAAGATTGGAACAGTACTTCAATAATTACTTGGTACTTGGTATATACACTTGGTAGTTATCCTCCTGAATACTCCACGCGGAAGTCTAACAAGGAGGCATTAATTAATTGATAATTTGATTTTTGGAAAATGTTACGGCTAAGCCTACATGTATAACATCAATAATCGTGTTAAAAACCCTGAAAATTTTCATCTTATTTTGTGTTGTCACAAACATTCCCGAAGTCATAACAACTTGATTTTTCTAAATGGACATCTTGAAATTATATTATAGGCCTTTAATGACTTTTTCAGCAAATTTGAAGACATTTTCGAAACGATATATAAAGTGATATTTCATTTCCCCCCGAGTTATTCAACTCTGGAAACAGACACATCAATTCCCAGAAATTAATGTCTTCAAGATAATCCTGCTATGCAGAGGCGTTTCTAAAGTTCATCATGGTTTTATGTAACATCCAAGCAAAATAGACGAAATATAATAAAGATACCTTGAAATTTATGTCAAAATTGAGAAAATGCTTACACCATAGAACAAGGAATGCATCACATAGGTTTACATTAAAATTGGCTAAAACTATTTTTTAGGGGTAATAAATTCCACTACTTTTTATAGCTTCAGGTACATAGGACTACATTGAAAGAATATCATGATAAAGCTATAAAATCAAAATTAGATGCATTTGCTCATTGCACTCACAGGGGATGTTTCTGATAAAAAATGTTGGAAATAATTCGTTGGTAAACCATGATAAGACACAACTTTACTCGATGTTCGAAAGATCAAGAGATAATAGATCGACCACGAAGAACACACTTACCAAATCAGTAATTTCTCGCTATGGCTTTGCGTAGCTCCGGAATAAATCCAAGATGAAAGATGGGTTTCCTTCTCTTCTAATATAAAATAAGTTATAAATTTTCCACAGACAGACCAACAAAATACGCCAATAAGGAAGTCACTTTGGCAAAAATCATCCGTTGGAATGGCGCTATCGGTGAAAAGGTATGCGTATTATATCCATATCCATGAAGGTAGAGTAAAAATCCTCGGTTAAAACACGTGAAGACGAGGAGAAATGCACAGAATGTCAGTCGCAGAAAGTGAAATACGGCATGCGAAGGTTAGCGGTTACAAAGGCAATCTGGTTCAGTAATGGCAGTTGTGGTGCTCCCGATACTGAAGGGGGCAAACCATAACAATAGAGTAAACATCTTGGCCGTAGCAACCGTCGGTAGGCCCGCTAAACACGGCGAGTAGTTTATACCGTTGCTGTACGTGTTGGCAGACAATAGCCGACTGCGCATGACTCAACCGCCACTTTCTCCCGTCCGTTTACTTTCCGCTGCTCCGATTGGTCCTCGCCGTCACGCCTCATTAACCCGCTTGATAGTCGACGAATCGGCGCGCTCGTTACAGAAGGCGTTCAGCCGTGGTGTAACAATAGCTGCTAGACCGCACGGTATGCTGAAATCCGGGTCGAGTGTTGGGGCGCGGGTTGCGCTAAGTAATCCACGCGATGTTATTGCAGAGCAGTTTAAGTTCAAAAGGCCATTGTAAAATGACTCAATGTTTAGGTGAAATGTTTGGGTTTGCCTTTGTAGAAAGTTACTGCAGGGGATAAATTTAAGCTTCGCAAAGCTCGTAAAGCTTCCCAACTTTATACATGTAGTGTTAACGCCTGTAGTCTGTACCATTTTGAATTAACACCAGAACACCTTGGCTTTATCCCAAAACAGACTTACGGAACACAATGTTCAGCACATTATTAAACTCTATGGTTTTATGTAAATACATGTAAACATCCGACAGACCTAAACATCCTTCTTAACATGCAATTAATAGAAACAGAACAAAATATGACATATTTGGTAACCAATCATAATGAAGTTTTATTAACAGCATTCTCCAGTTTTAAGATTACTCAACTCTTTCGAATCCATGTCAATTTATAATCAATAAGTGTACAAGGCTGAACAAAGTCAATTTCTTTGTGTGCCTTTGTTTAACGTTTTGCACACCGTTAGTGATGCTTCACTAATGTCCTACATGGATTGGTGACCTGATGAGGCTGTTGGCCATGTAAACTGTTCATCCATGACTTCCAAGTAAACTGCTACCATTATATTTGACAAAATGGGGTTTGATTAGCCTTTGAATATGGCAAATTCCTAACAAGTGGTGTAAGTGGGTAATGGCATTTTGCCTGAAATTTGAGGAACATGTACATGTATAAAGGAAAAGTACACACACTTGTATATGATGCCAATGTTTTGTTTACAATTTGAAGAAAGCCTAAAATCAGTCAATTGCAGGTGGTCTTACATCCCGCATAACTACCTGTGGGCCACATGAAATGTTGGCCATTGGGGGATGTCAAAAGGGTTGTTTGTTCATTTTCATATCAGGGTGAGTAAAAAAAAAGAAAAAAGAAACCCAAATGTCAGGACCATTGTTTTAGTGAAGTTCTACATGTAGCACTTTCAAAATCTAGGATATGAAAGCCAAATTACTAAGTTTTCTTTTAGTACAAGAATCACTCAGATCACTCATGCACTTTTCAAGTTACCAAATTTTAAACACAAACACTGTTTTAAAGTTCTATCCACAGACCACAAAGTGTGTTCTTTCAGTAAAACGAAAACCATTCACACACACCTGCGCACCCCTTTGTGACTTGTTTTCATTTTGCTGAAAGAAAACTTACCTTTTTTTGTGATCTGTGGACAGAGCTTTAAAACGGTGGTTGTGTTTTAAATTCCGTAACTTAAAAAGTACATGAGTGATTTGAATGATTCTTGTACTAAAAGAAAGCCTATTAATTGGGCTTTTTAAATCCAAGAGTTTGACAGTGCTACATGCAGGACTTCATTACAAAAACGTCCTGACATTTGTGTTTCCTGTTTTTTTGACTCGCCCTGTTTTTATTTAAAGGCAACGAGCAACAGCTAAAAGAAGGGCTCTAAAGCCCATCACACGTCATCCAGGCTCAAGTGAAGAACACGTAACAAGTAATTCATATAATCTATGAAAGAGACATTCCTTTGTCCATCTTTCTTTCCTGTTACTAGTGATCTTACTCGTAATTTGAGATGTGATTGACTTGACTAATCAAGAACATCAAGACTGGTCACCTTGCCAGAAACTCAGATAACAGATAAACACTCAAAGTGATAAACTGTGCAATGAGATGGCAACATGACTGAATAATCTTGCAGTGAAAGTTTCTTTCCAGCACAAAGTCTTGTTGAAAGGAGTTTGCCAGAAATCGGGTAACTGCTCGAAGTATCGTTTAATTATTAACTGATGTCTTGTTCCTTTCTCATGCTTATGACAAAACCTCATGAAGCAAACGGGTGCCCTGCTCCATAGCCTTTGGTGTATAGCCTGGCTTCGTGACCTTGTTTGTACAAATCCTGACGACCCATCTGTGCATCATGATGCAGTGTCTTCTTGTGCTTTGTCTATTCTGTGTCTGGATTTCATGTTAGGTGCCAAGTCAACCAGAACCTATTGAAAAAAAAGACAGATGTTGGAAACTTCTGAGGACTACATTTGCAGTCAGCTGGTAGAAAAGGGCACAACTATAAAAGACATTTTTTATGTAATATTGTTCTCCTTTTTTCATGTTTTTTAATGAAATCTCAAAACCCATTAGTGCTTCACTTTTTTGTAGAATGAAATGGTCCACTTATTACGGTGTTTGACTAATGCGCCTATCAAATGTTCCCCCCCCCCTCCCCCCCCCCCCCCAGAGCTGCCCCAAGTCCGATATCGGGATTTTGGTCACTCAAATTACATTGTTAACATTGCCGTACGACATGGAAAGGCAATCACTAGTGCGCCCCACGTATGCAAGTCGGGGAATGGTCGGGGATTGGATTGTCACTTAAATTTTGCCCGAGGGGTGGGGATTTTGTCACTTCAAAAGTGACAATCCCCACGTTCGGGGGAACAATTGATAGGCGCATGACGTACAGGAACATAGAAGGAACATGCCAGGAACATGGCTCTTGTGCCCTTGGGCAAGACACTCATCTACAATGGGAGACTTTTGAGACGTTGGTGGCAGCAAACACATTGGTCCTTTTGAATTGTTTGCGTCATGTTTAAGTTTAATAAAGCGAGCAGGCTCAATATGATGCAAACAATGGAGAAAAAGGACAAGTGTACTTGCTGCCACCAATGTGTCAAAAGTCCCCCATTGCCTCTCTCCACCCAGGAGTATGAATGGGTAGCTGTGAGGGTAGAGGACCGATTGTGCGCTGATATCGGCTGACGCGTGGTCTCGTGGCCTGATTAACAGGGGAATAATTGTAAAGCGCTTTGAGATTGTTGACACGATGGAAAGCGCTGCATGAGCATTACAATTTATTCATCGTATTTATTTTTGTGGTGTACTCAATTTTCTTAAGACCAGAATTTAGGGCTGTGCATTGGAACTGGGTACCCGAGTACCCGACCGTTCATGTCAGAAACCGGTTCCAGATTATGGATCGGGTATCCGCAACCAACTTCACATATTACTAAGTAACTTCCCAGACAATAGAAAAGAAAGGCTTCGAATGCCATTTGTGGAGGATTTCAAAAATGGAAACCAGGCTGCATGGGAAAATGTATTATCGTGCAGACCTTTATGAAGAATCTCAACAGCAACTTCCGAGATTTGAATTTCGCGTTGGGCTTCTTTCACGGGTACCCGGGTACCCGTATTTTTTTCAATCGGCTTCCCGGTTCCCATAGTACCCGTAAATGCACATCCCTACCAGAATTGTTTGTTCCCATTGTCCTCACTGCTACTCTTTGTACCCCATAAGGCCACAATAATAATGTAAAACACTTCCAATGGGTTTCCTGTCCACAGAAGCACAAAATTGGACAGAGATTTAAAAAAAAGAAACTCCCTTTCTTATTGATACTCATATCCACTGATTTTAGTGAGATGAAAATCATTGAATGTCTAAAAAGAAGTCAACTCACTGGTTTGCGAGCCCTTTCTTCAAGGATGCTCCACGTGGTGTGGTGAACTCGAAACTCTGAGGGAACCGCCACCCCTTGGAATCTCAGCAGCTTGTTCTGTGCCAAAGAAAATGGCAAATAGAATCATTTGAAATTGATCATGTGTATTTAAAACAATACTAAGCAAAATCAGTTGCCTGAAAAACCAAAAGCATAGTTTCATTGGTTTTGTCTAGACCCCATCTGCGAAATATTGATCAATGCATTCTAAAATCTCAAAATCGAAAATTTTAATATTTGATTAAGTCCAAATTGAAAAAAAAAATGGATTCTAATTTACTTGAAAATGCACAGCCTTATATATCGTGCTGTCTTCTGTTCAAAATAGACAACTCCGGGTGTTTTTGTGAAAATTTTATCAATTTTGCAGTTTTCTTAACCTCTCCACTTACTGTAGGTTTCAGGTAGTCATCCACACTATGAACCTATAAAAAGAAAATATATTGAAAAAAAAAGAAGACATTAAAATACTGTAAATCACTTTTTATTATCAATGTTATGAATGGATATCGATTAATAATAATAATAATAATACCGAAGTCTTATATAGCGCACGTATCTACCAACAATTAGGTACTCAAGGCGCACATAGAGGGCATATTGAAAGCTCCTAAGAAAGTGCCCTCTGTTCCTTACTGCTTCCTGCACTTGCTTCAAGCAATGCTATCAAATAAATCAAAAGGCAGCTGCCTATTGTAGATATGTATTTTTTTTTAATTTTTAATGAGGAAATTATTTGCAGCATGATTGGAGCCTGTACCACTGCCCTACACATAAGCTACTTTGGCCTTTGCTAGCAGTCTTCCAGTTTATCTATTTCTTTTTATTTCAGGGGAAGCTACTCAGAAGTCGTAAAACCACGATGTCGTGTAGACCAGGATATCATGAGCTAACTTTACGAAGCAATCTGGAGGTGGTGGTGTAGAAATCACTTAATGAGAATTCAACTTTTAATCAAGTAAAATTCTAACCCTTAACTCTGAGAAAATTTCCTGGTAAATTAACAAATTTTTTTTGTGTGTTTGCAGTGAACCCTCCCCCCTACCGCCCCCCCCCCCCAAAAAAAAGAGAAAACGATTTGCAGTTGTCTTTACTTTGCATAGCTTCTTCCCACACTTGGTTCAAATTTCATAAGATTCTTTATCAATACCCCTGTTTTTCTTTTGGGAGGTGGGGAGGGTACTGGATAGTCTATGTAATAGATTTCGCCATGGTCTATTAAATTTGAGCAGATTTGCTGATTAATTATGCAAGACAACCGCATCTTGACCTCTGGATTTTGACCAATCAGCGGACGCTTTCTACATTTGTATATCGGGTCTCTGGTTATTCACCCGTTGCACGTCATAGACATGGGAAAAAAAACATGTGTCACGCGCTCTGTATCATGTTATGCGATATTACACAACACTGCATTCGAATTCACCAATCAAACCATTTAGTCAATGAAATGATGTCACGATTAAGTAAAGTGGCTTCCCATTGGCTGGCACGCAGCTTGCATTTATCTGCATGTTTAGACATATCAGACGTTATACAGGAGACTGGGCTCCGTGGAGAACAGGTGATACTCAGACTAGGTACTGGAGGGTCGGGTGGAGGGTCGAGTGGACGGGTGGTAGGGAGGGGAGGGGTAGGGAGGGGAGGGGTAGGGAGGGGAGGGGCAGGAAGTAAAGTAACAATGATCAAACTTACGCAAGTGAAGACATATCTGTGTGGTCCCATGAATCCTGTGTTAGTGATCAGCGGTCCGTCGGTGATGTCCACAAAATCTCCCAGTCTGAACAGCACTACCCTGTCGGCTTCGGTGTGTTCAACTTGATGCTTCTTGTACCTAGTGAACCAAATGGAAAAGATCAAGGACTTTAAGTCAACAATTAAACCGGACTTCCTTGGTGTTTTAGTAGAGCCTTCTCAAATCCTCCAATATCATCATATGAAACAAAATTTCTTGAATAAGGTCCGTGGAGGAATGACCACTGCCTGAATCCTGCAAAATCCTGCGGCAGTGACTGTCCATATGTTGAGGCTTGGCCAGTGACATCCTGGAGCAGTACAGAGGATTTCAAGCATAATCCGGGCCTATGGCTGAGAAAAAACAACATAAGGTCTGGCCCAAGACCTTGACAAAGTGCATCCTGCCAAATCAGTAACGCACTTTTGCCATGTAACCCAAATCCTCCAAATTCCTCCACTTTGGCAAAGAATATTTTAAAGGATTCAGGGCGGTCAGGGTTAATGACCAATCTAACTGGATAGGTTTATTACATGTCAGTACTTACGCATTGTCTTCAAATATTCGGTTGGCGACCTCTCTGCTGACCTCTAACCTCTCAAAGTTGACCTTTCTGTCGGCCATCATGAAGGCCTGTCGGTTGAGGCATATCAGCTCCTCCCTGGTTGGTTGCCACTTGAAGGGAAGATTGACGTCGTACGCAAAACAGCCGGTTGTGACTTAAGATGGGGAAAAAAAGTTGACTCTGTGAAAATGTTATTCATAGAACAAGGCTAATCTCGAATCACAAGGTTAACCCTAACCGCCCTGAATCCTTCAAAATCCTCTTTGAGTTTGGAGGATTGAGGTAACATGGCAAAAGTGCGTTACTGATTTCGCAGGATGCACTTTGTCAAGGTCTTGGGCTGGACCTTGTGTTGTTTTTGCTCAGCCATGCATATATGTAGGCTTGGATTATGCTTGAAATCCTCCGTACTGCTCCAGGATGTCACTGGCCAAGCCTCGACATATTGACAGTCACTGACGCAAGATTCAGACAGTGGTCACCCCTCCACGGACCATATCCAAGAAATAATGGAGGATTTTGCAGGATTGAGGCTACATCCTAGCAAAAAGGCATAGGGATTTAGGGTTAAAGAAATAATAATAATAATAATAATAATACAGAAGTCTTATATAACGCACATATCTATAATACCTAACAACAATTAGGTACTCAAGGTGCTGGAAATTATGTCCATTATTAAAGACAGGTAAATGAAGTACATGAGAAATTTGAGACACCCCTTCCCCATGAAGCATAATACAATTAACAAAAAAAATGTGAGATCTTCCTATAAACGACCGCTCCCTAGGACCTACACAAACAATTCTCTCATCCCATGGTGCCTTTTTTAATCAGCAGCTTTGTTGATCTATTTAAAAGATATTTGTATTTTATTTTAAACTGTTTATTGTCTGGAACAAACAACCTGTAATTTTCAAATGAACCACACAGGGCAACTGACCAGGCTTATGGCTTCTGATTTGCGCCCCTTGAACAAATATATTGACTAATTGGGGAACTAATTGGGGATACGCCCAAAAACGAAACGTACTATCAGTAAATGAGCGTTTCATTTTGCTCTGGGCAAACAATTAGAACGCAAACGCCTGTGCGCGTATCCGTTGCAGATTATTTCTTGCCGTGACGTTTTTAACCTTCATGACGCGCTTAAGTTGTTTGTGTATGCTGTACTTGCGCGTTGTATTTTAGAGTACACTTTCAAAATTCACTCCATCTTACTCATTATCTTCTACAAACACGCACATAAATTCAAAATGTCTTCGCCCAGGACGGCTTCAAAGTATATCCGCGCGAAAGGATGAGGAGTTTAAGCGCAAATAACTTGGCTATAATTACACACTGGCATATGGAAGTTGCTTTGGAAAATATGTTGCAACCTGATGCCACTTTAGCGGTTGTGTACAAAGTCCACAGAGAGTGAAGACAATTTTCTAAGTATTTCCTAACGAAATTGGAAATGTTTCTCAGTCCCAGATTCATGTCTTATCATCATTTTTGCAATGACTGCCCTCCATTGAGATGATATATGAAGAAAAAAGTGGCGTCAGGTTGTAACATTTTTTTCCCGCCGTTTTCGATAGACACTGTGTGACACTGCTGGTCTGTAGCCAATGAATTCTAGAACTGCCTCATTCTCATAATATGTACAGCTATGTCTTACTTGGAATGTCTGGCGCCCTCGCAAGTTCTACCGGGATGTCGTCTTTGAATGCCGACTGCAAGACGGCAGCCATCATCAGGGAGCATGACTTCCAGAATGCCTGGCGAGGATAGAGATGAAAACACTGTCATAATGATAGGAACAGTCGTAATACAGGCCAGGGCACATGTCAAGACACAAATAACAGGAAACGAACAATGATGATGGCACTAGGAAGATGTTCTACTCCATGTTTTGTGGCACACAAATGTAACCAACTCTAAACAGAGAAGTGGCTCTGCGATGAGAAGGATCATATGGTACAGATATTTACTTGACCCTCTGGCAGTGATGTTGACTCAATTCGCTGGCTTGGACTCGAGTCCAGGGCGAGTCGCTACTTTTTTTTAATAACACTTGACCCGACTTGAGAAATAATAAACTTGACTTGGAAAAACTGACTTGCGACTTGACTTTTTTTGGTGAAAATTTGACTTGCAACTGGACTTGACTCGGGAAAAATTGACTTGTGACTTGACTTGACTTATGAATATTTGACATGTGACTTGACTTGACTTGGTTACAACACTGCCCTCGGATAATTACAGAGAGTGAATATTATAAAAATAATAATGTCAGACTATTTACATATATGTTTGTTCGAACAAATTGTTTACCGTGAGTTCTAAATGCACGGCACAGATCTGTCCAAGCCGATTTGTGTCCAACATCAGTCTCCGCTTTATACTACGACTGTCACCAAGAGCGTGCCCAAGCTCGAGAAATGGAATCTGGCAACATACCTAGCATGTCATATAACTCACCTGGTTGACCTCTGTGACATCATCGTCCTTCAGCGTGATAAATCGTAGCTCACAGTCCTCCGTGAGTGGCTGCAACATGTGCCAGGGTTTGCCATTCACCATGGCAATGGCTGAGCGATCCATGTATCTCTGATTCAAATCTGTGCGGGAAAAAAAAGGGAAGATACACTTGTTACTCAATAATAATAGTGGCATCTTAAGCGCAACAGGCCCATCATTTAGTGACGACCCAACAGAAAAAAGGGTACCTGATTCGTTCAGGGAAGGTAAGACAGCGAGAGGAGAGGACTGGGCACCGCCACTCATATGCCGCGCCCAAGACACAGTGGACCTCTAACATCCCACTGCCCCTATGGCCAGTAATGGCTATGGGATCTTTACCTTTACCTTTACTGCGCTAAACATTGAGTAATTATACAAACTACCGGAAATGCATCAGTGCTACATCCTAAGACATATAAATTGTAAGGTACAAGCCGAACAAGGGATTGGAATCTGTTGGAGTGAGTACTGCACTAGTAAACTGATTATGCTTTACATGGGGTCAGGCACACCACACTAATCAGAGTCCAACAGTTTGGGTGTGGAGTTTACGGTATGGTGTTAGAATTTGCAGGAATGAGAAAGGGTTCCTAGTAAATCACTCCAAGGGGTTAGGGATCTTTAACCACTTCACATCATACATGTACGTGTATTAGATTTTCAACAACTTAGGCAGTCTTAAGCTTTCGTAAATGTTGCAGTCCTTCTGATTTGAAAATCACAGGCGTGTGGAAAAAGGCAGACCTGGATTTTTCTAGGTGTGTGCTTTTTCTAGGTGTGTGGTTTTCTAGGTGTGTGATCTGTGGTCCAGGGAAATTCAGGCGTGCAATTATTCACACTTCTTTGGAAGCTTTTAGGTGTGCGATGGTGTGGGGGTGTGATCGCACGCCTCAAGTCAAATCAGAAGGACTGATGTTGCATTAGAATATCAACAACCGGGGCATTCTTACGCATGGCAACATTGTAAGGCGTTGACAGATATTTGTTCATGGCGAGTTTGCAGGGTTCGTCTGCGCCGATGTGGTCCACTTCGATCTTCTCAATCCTTTTGATGAGAGACAGCTGACGTTCCTTCTCCTGGTTGAAGATCTCATTTTGCCTGGGCGTGATGGCAGTGCTTGCCGCTGTCGCCTCTGATGAAAAACCTGATAGAATATAAATCATCATGTATATATGTGGTGAGATACATTTGTATTAATTTGGTTTACAACATTTTCCACTTGAAATGAAAATTTGAAGATGTGGATCCTCGCAAAAGTTTTCGTTGATTTATCTTGAGACTAAAACAAAACAGGCAATGCTTGAGTTTGAAGCCAATCTTTGGAAGTGTTTATTTTGTGACAAATATTGTGCATCATGCCATCAATCTCAGACTCAGTGAAGGTCAGTCATTTAAATATGTATTGTAAACAGAACAATAACAGCAAACACAAAATCCCCCCCCCCCCCCCCCCCCCCGGCCTGATCGGGCCCCGGCCCAGCCTGGTCCTGGAAAACAATTTAAAAGAAAATAGATAGTGGATATTTTGCCGGAGGTAATGACGGCAAACTAACGTTTACTAAAGGTTTGCCGGCGGCAATCCATATCAACAGGGGGCGCTGTATAGGGCTGAATTATAAGATGTATTAAATTCCCATCAAAAGTTGTGTAGCACGTTTGGTGTAGTGGTTAAGCAAAGGCTTTGGTGAGCGGGATGATTCGGGTTCGATCCCGATCCCCGCCACATTTTTAAGTTTTTTTTTCCCATCCCCAAATAAATAAGAATATTCTTCTTTTATTATTTTAACATGTCTCAAACATTTTATTGCAGAGTATTACATTTTCTTTTTCAGATTTGTGGCTCTGGAGGATTTTTTTTAAAAGGGAAATAAAGTCCGAAATTATAAAATGGTCTGAATCCCATCTTGTGAATACGAGGTTACAGCGATAATATTAGTCCAAAAATGTGGGACTCTCAATACTGTGTATGAGAGTCCCAAAACTTAAGGTATCCATATTGTGCAAAAGTTTGTGCTGCATAATAAAACCAGTGTGAATCAAATTTGCAAGCTTCTTACTCACTACAGTTTCTTCAATAATCCCCGAAACTTCTGCCCTGCAAAGTTGCTGTTGTGAGCATTGCATCACCAAAAATTCAGCGTTTAATTCTAATTTTGCAGGGAGTTATCGAAATCCAAACGCGAAACATCACATTGATGTGTACTGCAATGCATTGTGCAAAAAGACTCCTCAGCTAAAACATTTTCATCGTGTAGATAAAACAGCGCCCTCTTGTTGATCTGAGTGAATGCAGAATGTTTCATTTTTTAACAGAGGGCGCTATGTTCATTTGGCCATCGATTAAAAAACAAGTAAGCTGCAAGGCTCTTCCTACAATACCTTGGGAATCACACCACCATTTCTAAAGCATGGAGAATGACGTGGATGGTTTTTGAACTGTCAAAAACTTGCCTTAAAATTGGATTTAAGGTCTCAAATTTTGCAGGTGACATGCTTGCAACTTAAGCAATTTGATGTATGTGTTGTGTGGGCATTAATTAGCTGAATGGTGAGTAAAAAAACGTCAGTAGTAATTTTGCACGTTTTTATGCACTCACGGTCCCAGTCTGCGATAATATTGGCATGGAGCCAGACTAAAATTTGTCACCGGAAAATGTTTTAAGTACAAAAAAAACAGAAACTGCGCATGTTCAGTGCATATCCGGCAAACTAACATTTACTAAAGGTTTGCCGTCTCCGGCAAAATATCCACTGCCAAGAAAATATTAAAAATGAAACTTGAAATTTGAAAGAGACCAAAAAGATGTGGGGACTTTTAATTATTTATTTAATTTCACAATTTCACGATTTCTTACAAATAATCGCACTGTACCAAATATATTTTTCCCATTCTAGTATAATAATTTGCATTTGTCACTTGCCAAGCATGACAAATGCGCTGCAGTGCAAGCTAGTGCAAATCAACCATTGTCCGGAAACTGGAGAATACAGGTCAACTCGTACGCGAACCAACTCGTACGCGACCAACTCGTACGCGGGTCAATTCGTACGCGAACCGACTCGTACGCGGACCGACTCGTACGCGGACCGACTCGTACGCGGACCAACTCGTACGCGGACCAACTCGTACGCGTGAGTTTAGACGATTGGTTTAGCTCACATGGACAGATGAAATTAGGTTCGGTACGGTAGGTCGGCATAATTTTACCTTTTCTGAAAGGTTGAGATTTTCAAATTAAATGTAGTTGATTTTTGATCCGCCAGTGCTACTTACAGTGCTACTTACAGTTTTTTTTACAAGTTCGCTTGATTGATTGGGAAGTTGTCTTCGCGATAACCAGTATGATTGGTTCCCGCCGCACCGCGCACTGTGTATAAAGAATTCATGATTGAATCGCTGTAACCTGTGTATGCCGCGGTACAATTGCTGGTTGGTTAGACAAGTAAAATGACAAGAAAACACCGATATTTGCGAGGTCTATTGTATAAAAAGGAGCTACTATAAAAAAAAGGAATATAGCATCACGCATGCTTATACAGTTGTACGAACAGTGTCCGCCAGTTTTTTGCTTGGGTCAGATAGTTTTTTAGTCCTAATTATTATATATCCAAATTATATTTTGTAAATTAAAACAATGGGGAGGTGAATTTCATTGATTTTTTAAAATTAGAATTTTATTTAATTTCACCAGAAATTCGAGGTTGCCCTGAAAATATTTTTTTTTCTTGGATCCGAAATTTAATTTTTAGCTTTGGTCCGATAATTTTTAGTCCTAATTATTATGTCTCCAAATTATATTTTGTAAAATAAAACAATGGGGAGTTGAATTTGATTTATTTTAAAAAAAATTGAATTTTATTTAGTATCACTGCAAATGCGTGGTGGCCCTGAAAAGGACCGATTGGGTTTTCAGTTAGTGCAATTGTCTATTCTCTCACTCCCAATCACACACAACGGTCACACATTGAACTACGGACTACCCGTCACACTATTCCCAAATTCTTCCCAACCATGCCAACCCAATCCTCGAAACCACTCCTAAAATGGCCCGCGTACGAGTTGGTTCGCGTACGAGTTGGCTCGCGTACGAGTTGGCTCGCGTACGAGTTGGCACGCGTACGAGTTGGCACGCGTACGAGTTGGTTCGCGTACGAGTTGTCTCGCGTACGAGTTGACCAATCCGCGTACGAGTTGACTCGCGTACGAGTTGGTTCGCGTACGAGTTGACCTGTTTCCAAACTGGACACCGACATTTGTTATCTTAAACAACGACCGCCGCGCTCCTGATTCATTTAAACTCGAATACTTACACCTGGAAATATGCCGTGTAAGAAAGGCTACTTTCTTGATCAATTTCATTTTTCTTCCTTAGATATGCAAGAAAAAATCAACAAAAATCGGTATCACGTTTTTCTCATCGTGCACAACACATGCGATCTCAAAAAAAATGAACTTTGACCCCGAGCCCGAGGGATCATCGATCTCGGAGATTCACGCGAGATATTCCGTTATTTACCATCGTTCCTAAGGTAACGGCCCTGTAAATAGTTTTTTTGCGCATGCTCTGCATGTACTGTACGTTGTCGTGCAGTGAAGAAACGAAGCAGGCCTACACGAATAGAAGTCAATCCCATCAATATTTTTACCCACAATTTTATCAAATAAAACCTTCAGTCAACTTGAGTGTGAGAACTAAGACACCCTGAAGTAAAATGGTGAGTATATTTCCTTCGTCAGTGTTGCTAAATAATCATGATCAGTGGTGTTTCGCGGCTAGCGTCCGCGCTTGAACATTCAGTGACATTAATTTGAGTTTGACTCTTGAATGAAATTTGAGTCTCGACTTTCGTGAGCCGGTTGAATTTTCGAGGCCGATTGTAATACTGATAGAATTTGTTTCTGGGTCATTGCTCCATCGTTATTTCATGTATTGAGGAGTATCATGTTCAACACAGTTTGTGTACATGTGTAAACTTACATTTTGTTTTAAAATTGAGAATAATTGTGATTTCCTCTGAGCGGTCATACTAAAAAGCGTCAACACAGCGTCAACACACTCCAAAGCGTCAACACAGTGTCAACACATCCAAAATGCATCAAAAGTGACAAAAGCAGTATGTAACCCATACATTATGGACAGAAACAAAATTTGGCTTAAAATTAATAGGTTAAACGTCTGTTAAGCTTCTGAAAATTGCGATTATCCGTTCAAGAATATTGGCTCTCCGTGCCGCTCCGAAATCGGCTGCCATGTTGCCTCGGTAGACCATACCATTATGCTAAAGAGTGATAACGTTGTACAATAAACCAACAGAGAAGGCGCGGCCGGCCAATACCAAAAGATGTCCATTTCAATAAAGTATAAAATGAAACATAAACACAACTCACAAATTAATGATCCACCTGCACCACTCCGATTCTCAGTCCTTACAGATCTGGTATCCCTCTGTTGTTAATGTTTATGACACGATAATGTCATTACCTACACACCCCTACTTGAAATGGTGTAGTCCAAGCTTTGTGCGAAGTCAAGATGGCGGACAACAGCCGTGCAAGTGAAAGGTCATTTTTTCGCGTGAAAATACTATATTTTTTACCACGAAATGGAAACTCAATCCAATGGAAAATCTCTTTTATTCTATGCTTTATAATTATATACCATTTTTGTCAATTCAAGTTGTGTTTTGGATGTGTTGACGGTGTGTTGACGCTTCTGTCATGTGTTGACGCTGTGTTGACGCTGTGTTGACGCTTTTTAGTGCGACCCCTCTGAGCCTTTGAGGCAATACTGTGTCATCTGCATGTGTTGTCATTTCATGATTGAACTTGAACTAAAGTTGAAGATTGTTTATCATTTGTTGATTTGAAGTTTGTTTCTTATTTTTTGTTTCTTTTGCCTTAGTTTGTTTGGCATGTTAATTTTTATATTAATAATTCAATAAAAGTTTTGCCAAAAATTGAAAAACATTAATATTAATTTAAAAACAACAGAGACAGTACAGTCAGTAGGCCTATCATTAGGCCTATAGCACAATAAGATCAAATACACAATAGATGTCCCCAAAATTTATGTGGAAATACAACATAGGTTTTTTTTTTTTTATTACCATTCCGGAATCAAACCCCTGATAACCAATTTGTAATTCTTTCTCTTCCCATGACAGCCTCGCAGTGTGCAGAGTACACAGTCCGCCGGCAGCAGCGGCTCCCGGCACGCCAACACCCGCAAGTACTTCACCGTCAGCAAGACCTCCACGGTGGATGAGTCGCTGTTCGGCGAGCACAACGCCGTGGCCAGGAGCCGGCGCAACGAGTCGCGGTCGGCTGAGCCCGTGCTGGAGACGCAACCGACTAACGGGAAAAAGAGGACTTCTGGCAAGAGGGAAGTGGTGCAGGTCATCACCAAAGACCTGATTCGCAACCTAATGTGAGTGCCATCGCTAGTGGACAGTGTAGAACAGACGGAGGCCTTCAGTGCCGACAGAATTGTCCAAGAATTTAGGGGCGATTGCTGCATGTATTGGGAGCCAACAAGAGTTGCAATTAAGCCATCACAAGTCAATCTCAAAATAATCACAAGTCGAACACAAGTCGATCGCCTTTTTTAACATTTGGACATGGTCTGACGATAGTAAGGTCCAAGTTAGGCTGCTGCCATGGCGTGACACAACTCTTCATTTGACCAAATTACCCAACATTGCCCAACAAAAACATCAGATTTTATCCTCAAAATGGCCACAAAATTACAAGATCTAAACGTCACCTGAGGTACAAGTACAGATCAATGATTAAAGATAGAGGTACTAAGGTTTACTTACGATCCGGATGAAAAGTGAAAAATTTCCCGTTTATCGGAGAATGCTCCGTTGTAAATGCCCCACGGATGCCATTTTGAATCGACTAGCTGTGTTTGACTTGTGGATGGCTATGCCTAGCATTCGACAGGCCAATCACAGGGCGCCTTGATTGGGCGCCGTCGAAGCGCCCAATGACCAATGAGAAGATTGACACTTCGGTATTCTGGTGGCAGGCTATGGAAATGTGTAGAAATACAGACTGAGTACCACAATGACACAGTCAGGGCAGTACTAAAAGGGTTTTGGACTGGTTGTTTCATGTGCCATTCTATTTTCTTGTTATTGCATGTTTTCACTATCTTAACCCTAACTCCCTAGCATGATATATTAGGAACCATACCCATCCTGGCAAATTCCAACACCATATGGGAAACTGTGCACACACATATTTCTGACTTTGTTTCTGGAGGTGTGCCAACCCAATGTAAAAGCCTGTCAGTTTTGGGGTACTGTACCCATCCTGACAGATTCCAACAAGACATGCCGTTGGGGTTTGATGGGTTGAGTTCTGTTAGGGTTAATTTTGGGATTCTCATACACAGTATTGAGAGTCCCAAACTTTTGGACCAGTAGAAGAACGGCAAAGACATTCTGTCAAGCATGTCCTAACCCCAAGAGTTTGTTCTGTTTTCTCTTCTTGGTTCGGTAGTGTACCCAGGGACGACCCATCCGGCCAATCCGTGGTGCTTCCCCGCGGGGAGTACCACCGCATCATCAACGCAGCGCGTGTCCTGACGCAGGAGGAACGCAACGCCATCGAGGAGAGAAGACAGAGGGAGAAGGAGGCTGCACAGGTTAGCAAAATGCAAATTAGTTTTAAAAAAAATATGTGGCATATGGAAGGAATTTTCATAATAGCACAATCACTGCAGCACAAAGTGTGTAGAAGCCAAGGCAATTCATTAAAATGCCCTGGTGGTTTCTTCTTACTCTATCTTTGAAACTGTGGAGGGGGTATTTTGTCACTGTTTTCACAAAGGGGCAAATTTCATGAAAAATGTCCGTTTTTCAAAATTTGTTTTTGGGTACAAATGAATAAACATATCAATATCTACAACCTGGTGAAGCTATACTTTCAAAAAAATAATTAGAATCACAATTAATCTAATTAACGAATGGGCGAATTTGCCACAAGTGCTGTTTTGCGTTTTTACGAAGGGGCGAATTTCCGCACTCTATGGTATTAAGAAACTTTCAGTAAATCAATACATTGTAATACAATGAAGCGTTATCATGAAGGGGCTAATTTCAGGCGGGTGCAATGAAAAGTTTTCGCAACGGGGCGAATTTTAAGGCGCACGCGCAGTGGGGCAAATTCTGCGCGTACTGTACAAAAAATGCCATGACTCGGACTGCAGTAGGGCGAAATCTGCACGTACTCACTTTAGCGTTTTCACGAAGGGGTGAATTCGCTAATTGGTGGGTTTTTTTTTTGTTGTTTTTTGGAGTCTTATACTAATGCATTACTTTGACCTCAATTTGCATGTTGATCAAGAGTGGGCGTGATAAATCTTGGTGAAGCAATTTTGCCACATTTTTCATCATGAACGTCATGTTTTGCGTAATAGAATACGTTGTAGAGTGTTTTCATGGAGATAATGTAAAGTTTCCAAAAAATGTAAAGTTTCCAAAAAGAACAAAAGAAAACAAGTGAATCATTTTTTTTCACATGCCAATTAACCCTGACTTAATTCAGATAGTTTTTCGCCAAGGCCACTTTGGTTTTAGAGCGGTGAAGCTGCGTACCATGAAGCGACTGGAGCAAAGACCAAGCCAGCGTTCGCAAGTGGCGAAGCCTCAAGCCTTTTTTCTAACTTGATTTAGGCGCGTACGAGCGTCACACGTCCGGGTAGTAGCCACGCGCGCATTTATAAGGCCAATGATTGGTTGGAATTTGGCTACCCTTTTAGGGCAGCAAAAATCGAGAAATAAAGAAAAACATAAGAAACTCCTGACAAGATGGAAAATCTTGATATGATAATCAGAAGAAAAAGCGCGCCTCCCATTAACCATTGTATTTTGTGCTTCTGCACTTAGGTCTTTTACAAAAAAAGTAGACACAGTTTTGATTTGAATATTTATATGTAACCTTCAACACAATCACTCCCACAATTTTTTTTATAACTAGGCAGAAATGAAGAACATCAATAATATTTATTTAAAAAAATCATTGGATTTATTTTGTATTTTTTTTGGAAATATAGGAGGCAGTTAATGAAGGCAAACTGCAGATGCAAGCCCGGGACCGCGCCCGACAGAAGAATGAGAAACTGAACGACCTGGAGGAGGAGGCCAAACAGAAGGCAGAGTACCTCCTGCAGAAGGCCAAGGAGCAACAGGAGGAGCAAGAGGATGAGATCAAACATCTCAACGAGGTACGCGATCAGCCGGGACTCACGAAATGTCTCGGAACTCCAAAGAATTCGAATGTTCCACTTTTTTGCATTTTGCATGGCATAATGTTTCATATGACTTCCTCCCGGCACCCCGTGAATGAACTTTTTGACGGGTCACGTTAACTCGGTTGGTAGAGCTCTGAAAAGGTGTCCTGGAGCTCAGAGGTTCGAATGCTGCTCCAGTTAATTACTTTGTTGAATATACCGAATGCCATTTTTTTTGGGAATTAATTGCGAGCGTGACCAAAAGTCCACAGAACACCGCATGCAATCACTACATCATAGTGTGCCAAGGAGAAGGTCAAAAGCAGCTTAGGCATGTTAGGCACTAGGCACGTGAAAGACTCTATTAGAGATAATCAAGTTAAAAGGTTTTGGTGCTCCTATTTCCAAAATAAAAATCAAGAAAAGCTGAACTTCGGATTCATGAAATTTGTTAATAATTAAAATAATATTGTACATTTTAATTCAAAGTATTACTTAGTTTTGAAGTTATTTACATTTTTATGCTAACGACCTTTTACCGGGCACTCCCTCTGCCTTAAACGTGGGCTTAAGGGGCGTGTTAAATTAAAACGTCCTTTTGCCGGGAATAAACAGGAAGGTTGAGTTAAAATGTTACGGTCACAGAAAGTAGATGCATTGATTGTTTTCAGTAGTAGTGTGTAGGTTTATCAACAGTTACCAAAAAAGAAAGAAAAATGAGACAATTAGAGCTTATAGTCGGGCCCAGGTTTTAACCCAGCCACATTTTCCTACTCTTGTCCTCCCCATCACAGCTGATTCTCAACGCCAAGTGCCACGCCATCCGGGACGCCCAGATCCTGGAGAAGGGACAGATCAAAGAGGAGAGAACGGACGAGGAGAAACGGCTGGACCTGATGATGGAGGTGGAACGCAAGAGGTCGCTAGAGCTGCAGGAAGAAATCGAGAGGCAAAAGAAGGAAGAGAGATATGAGTGAGTATAGATGGAGCACGCTGTTTGCTTTTTTGACCTGGTCGTTGATAACATCAGATAGAGCATTGTTAACTTGAATTTCAGCGATTCGCTAGACAGAGTTACGCCAGAGTTGGATTCAAGTCCTTCACAAGTCCAGTCACGGATGAATCACAAGTCAATTCACAAGGCCAGTCACGATTAGGGACCGTGACCATTCAACCCTGGTATGAAAAGGGCCCCCCGGTAAGCTCGTCCCCTCCCTAGAAGTCCTTTCGTACCGTCCCAGCTACCGGCCCAGGAGCTGGTCCGGTTGCTAATCAGGAACTCCTCTGTCCTGGGGTCTATTGTTTGCAAGTATTGACACATGTAATATATCCCAGAAGAAACCTGCTTGTGGTTTTCATCACTCAGCGCGAAACAATAGAACGCTTTCGTCGGCACAGATCAAAACCCCTGCCATGCGGTTTCACGCACAATGGGACAGTAAATTAGAAAGGCGTTTGGAAGGATTTTATCTTTAATCCGGTAAATCTGCTATTGTTCTGCTCTGGACGTTTTCTGAAGGGCAATAAATTGATGCGCCTGACTGACTTCAAAACTTCTGGTCAGACAGGACCATGTACCGGACGAGACTGGGCTGAAGACCGGACTGGCTCTGGACCGGACGAGGTACCGGGGGGCCCTTTCCATACCAGGGCTGAATGGTCACAGTCCCTTAAGCAACATGGAATGAACAAGAACTAAGGGTTGTCTTTGTCAGATCAAAAGTCAAATTATGGTCTGCTGTGGCCTTAAGATTGAAAAACCTTGCAGTCCTAAGGATTATGGGTTCAAGTCTAGCCAGTGGAGCCTCGGCGTGTGTGTGAGTTTGTTTCTGCATTCAACAGGGGACGTTGAACAATAGAGGACAATAGGGTCCCCAATTCCCGAAGGTCCCCAATTGACGATTGTGTACAAAACATACGGGAGGTCTTCCTGAAAAGTTAGAGTACAAACAAAAGAGGGACAATAGGGGGTCCCCGATTGCTGGCAAATACACACTTGTGTGTGTGTGTGTGTCATCTGACCAAGGGCCTATTTTAAGGCAAACGATCAACAGCAAGTAGTAAATTGGCACATAAACATAAAATGAAGTCAATTTATATTTGGCTAGGTCCTTTTGAAATCAGAATGCCTCACCCATTAAAGGGAATATACAACATTTGCAAACATCGAAAAAATAAAACTATCAAGTTTTTACGAAATACCTTACTTGATGTTGGTAAATGACAGTAAAAAGCATCCTGTAAAATTATGGCTCCTGGTGTGAAGTCATTTTCAAAAAATTGGTATTTTTGTATACATTTCCAACAGTGGTCGGCCGATCACCGTTGGAAACACCTAACTTAACTTTTCAACTTCTGCTTCAAATTTACAATTTTTTCAGTCCAAATTTTGTTTGCTATTGGTAACATGTTCATGAACGGGTGCAGGCCAGCTACACTGGTTCCCTTACGTTACAATTTTCCGGCATCTGTAAATTGATCCATTTTATCCTTAGTGAAGTCGGGGAACCAGACTACTTGAACATTTTCGTTTTTCTTGGTTTTTCCAGCATTTTCGAACACAAAACTTCAAACATGTCAGTGTAACAATATTTGACCTATTATACTAACCCCTCAAATAGTTCATTTCTGAAAATTACGGCAAAAGCCAATGATGTACATTCCCTTTAAAGCATACATTGTTTGACCTTTGCGTGCTTCACCAGGGGTGCGTCACAGGTTCTCACCCAGATTGCCCAGAGGGAGGAGGAGCGATTGCTGGATCAGGAGCGCCGAGACCAAGAGGCCCAGCACATGCTCAAGTATCTGGAGAAACTCCAGATGGAAGACCTCAAGGTAAGGGAGCGTCTCCAGTGAATGCTGGATGCTGAGGCGGCATCATCCAGATTCGAAATCAGCAGGCCTTGAAACAATCAAGAAACATGGTGTGATTGGTAAAATAGAGTTATCGGGTTTGGTGCCGGACTATAGAGCAGCTTTGTTGGCGAAGGCCCCAGCCCGAGAAACTGGACCCAGATTAAGAATAATAATAATAATAATAATAATCATGTTCTTCTAAAACGCACATATCCTAAACAAAGCTAGATCAAGGCGCATGACAAAAAAATTACCCAATAATAATGAATTAATGAGCTCTGAATAGTTCTGTCTTCAAACATTTCCGAAATGTTGTCACCGTGTCAGACTGACGGATTTCTTGAGGGAGCTTGTTCCACAGATGGGGGCCAGAATAACCGAAGGCACCCTGGTCGATTGATTTGTTACATATGGGTGTGGAGAGTGTTGTTGAGTCTTGTAGTTTACGGAGTCGGCTTTCGCGGTGATAAAAAGTGAGGGGATTGTTTAGGTAGAAGGGTGCTGAGGAGTGAATGCATTTCCAGATGAAGAGCATGATTTTGATTTTGATTCTCTCGGAAACTGGAAGCCAATGAAGTTCATGAAGGATATAGGGTGATATGTTGATATTTGCATGTTGAAGATACATAAGTGCACGTAGTTGATAAGTATAAATCTTGAATTGTCATTTTTTTTTTCTCTTCTTATTCTTAACAGGAGCTGGAGCGCAAGCATCAGATGACCCTGGAAGCGCAGAAGGAGATTTCCCGGGCCAACCAGGAGGCAGAGGAGCAGCGCGTCCGACGCCAGGAGCAAGAGAAGTTGGCCGACCTGAAGGTGACCGAGTTCACCAAGAAGAAGGCGGCGAGGGAGGCCGAGTTTGAGGCCGAGCAGGAACGCATCCGCGTGGAGAAGGAGAAGGAGATTGCCCGACTGCGCGCCATGCAGGTACGGTAGTGACGCATGCCTCCGGAGGGCACTCTTTTCCTCCAGAATTTGAACGTGCAACCGTAAAATCTGCGACGAGAATGAGGATGGAATCGGTGCATTGCTTTCAGAATTAGAAAGCTGATTCACATGAAATGTGTTGGTTTTGTATTATTGTGTTAGCCACTCCTGAATGGTGAGAGGAAATTGTGGTAAAGCATCCTGCTCAGGAACACAAATACTAGTCTTTCTGGTGGTTGGATTTCAAAATGAAAAGCAACGCTTTGTTAGCATTGAAGTGGGTCCTTACATTTATCCAAGACACATTTGGTCTGCTCTGGGGATCCATTGCCAGTAAACATTTCTTAACCCCTTGACGGCGGTATTGTTCGGCCACGGACAGCTGCACTTTGGGTGGAATGTTTACGTGCAGGCATTCAGCCGTTGTCTATGAATGGATGCGCATTGCAGCAGGAGTGTGGCTATAGCAGTCCCCGGCTAATCGGCTTTTATCGAGCTGCATCTAGAGCCGTCAGCCGAAATCAAGGTGTTAAAGTTGATTACGATTTTCAATTTATGTACTGACTGATGTCCTTTGTGGACATGCTGAAATGGGACATCGGCTTGACCACCCCTGAGGAGCTGCGCTCCTGCATGCTGAACCAGGACATCTGGACCGAGATCATTGGGAGGGCTCGAGCTGCCAAAGGGCCTTGACTTGATTGATTGATGTCAGTGCGCAGCCCAACACAGCACTACGATGTACATGGAAGGGTTGATCAAAGTTTGCAACCTCTCACATGTACCCTCTGACAAGTCCACACAATTAATTCAGCCACAAGTCAAGTAAAATTGCTATTCAAATGAACTGTGACACGTTGGCATTTCTTTGTTTCCGTGTTTGTGAAATGACTTGTGATCATAGGGCTATATTAAATTACTGGAGTGCTAACTCCTCATTCTTGCGCACGGAGACGCTTTGAAGCCGCTCTGGGCGCAGACATTTTGAATTTGTGTGCGTGTTTGTAGAACACAATCAAAATAGATGGATTGAATTTTAAAAGTGTACTCTAAATGCAACGCGCAAGTAGAAGATATCCAAACAACTTATAAGTGCGGCATGACGGTTCAACAAAACGTCACGGCGAAAGCATCTGCAGCGGAGAGACGCGCACACGTTGCGCTGTTTGCGTTGAGCAAAATGAAACGCTCATTTGCTGATCGTGCATTTCGGGTATGAGCGTATTTGCTTCGATGACGCACCGGTATGGAATACAAACGCAGATATATGCAAATAGCCGTACAAAAGCCGTACAAAATTTCGAGTTTTCCATAGGTTTGTGCACAAACATGGATGCGCCCATCAGGCATTATTTTGTACATCGGGTTAGCGCTCTAGTAATTTAATATAGCTCTATGCTTGTGATTTACTTGTGACAAAACTTATGACGGACTTCACAACAACACTGCCATAGAGCTAATAGTTTCATGTTTCTTTATCTACAGGAGCGTGCCAGGGACTACATGGCAGAGAAGGACGCCCTGCGGGCCAAGCGCAACCAGGAGCAGAGGGAGCGGGAGTGGAGACAGAAGGAGAAGGAGGAAGCCGTGAAGAAAGCCGAGACGGAGCAGATGCTCAAGATTGCCCGGGAGGTGCAGGTCCAGAACAAGGAGCACTTCCTGGCCGTCCAGGCCAAGCGGGAGCGTCACGAGTTTGAGCGTGTCCTCAAGTAAGTGTCTTGATCAGACTCCAAAGATGTTTTGAATGCTAGAGTCCTGAGTTTGTGTTGTTAACATTATGTCAAATGTAGGATAAAGTACAAGTTTCAGCATGTCCTCGTTTAGGTCTCTGAGTAAGACTCCAAAAAAATTCTGCATGTAGAATTCTGACTGTTGTGTTTGAAATCTAGGCCAGGTCTGATGTGGCACCATTTTGACCACTGAAAGAGAGATAGCGTCACCACAAACTCTCCATTAAATCTGCCAAGGATTCAGTTTCTGTGTACTACTGATCGCTGGTACAGATTAGAATTGGATAAAGCCAGTTAGGGAACGTCAGGGACCATCACCTTTTGCAACTGGGTTGTTTCCACTTGGAACAGCCTGGGAACGCCAGGTGATTCTGCGTGGGAACGTTGGTCTATGCGTGTGCACACTTACTTGGGCACGATCTTTTCCAGTTGGGAATATGCCGGGAACACAACGCGTTCCCGATTGGAACACACAGTGCTCCTAAAAGGAATGTTCCATACAGAACGGGAATGTTCCGACTCTTGAGATGCTCCCTCCACCGTATTTTTTTCTCCCAAAATGGCGACAAAGAGAGAGAGAGTTTGGCAGACACCTGAACGCCATTGCCATCATTCTTCTGGCAGCCATGTAAAAGACGCTGTGGGTTTGGGCGGCTGGGTTTCGTGCACATCAAAAATGAAATAAATCATCCAAATTGTGCGCTGCACGCCAGCAAAGGAGTGTATATGCAGTATGTCCTGCACACACAGGTCTCACGAGTGGTCACAAAATGCCAAGAGTCCATATTTGGAATTTGTGATAACTCCTCTGAACTTGCCTTGCTCTGCCCGTCGGCATGAGTCTCCTGACGACGTGCAGAGCATACTGTCCGAAACGTTGAGTTCTCCCCGCTTCTTTTCAGAACCTCACAAACTCATAAAAGAGATTTGTCACATGGTGCTACCGTAAATCTTGATCTTATTGCTATACCTCCTCCATGCGAACCTTCAAATATTTTATCTGAACTTACCCTGATTTCTCCAACAACAGTGCACAGAACGAGGCCATGGAGAAGGAGCAGGTCGAGGAGCAGGATCAGCACGACAAGCGGCTGAGGCACGCCGAGGACGTCCGCAAGCAGATCCGCCAGAAGGAGCAGCTCAAGGTGTCTGAGCGGCACTCCTTCTTCGAGGAAGGGGTGCGACTGAACGAGGAGGCCCGGGCCCGCCGCAGCAAGCTGGACGCCATCAAGCAGAAGAAGCTGGATGAACTCAGGTGAGGAGGGGTTCCCTGTCGCCCACGGGAGGGGAGATTTGTGGGTGGTCATGGATGATTCCTGGGGTGCTGGGCTGACAGGCTTTCCGTAGGAGAGGGGTGAAAGTGAAATTTATGAGGTTGAGGGTGATTGATAGGTGCACAGGGGTGATTATAGAGGTAAAAGGGTGCACCACCTGGTATAGGTGGCGATGTATGGGTTCTGTGGAGTGATTTGGGGATTGAAGGGGGCTTTTCGTGGGAGAAGGGAAGGGGATGAGAGTAGGACATCAAGGAGCCATTCTAGAGGTTCGGTTGTCCTGGCGGTACATTCCTCGCCCTCCGTGCACCTCTTTTTGATCCCATCAAGGGCAACATGTGGATTGGGTTTTCAGTCGCTTCTGTTTCTGTTCCATAAACGTACAAACACCCAGAAGGTTGTCGACGTACGTTGGTCAGGGTCAGGTGTGCAGCAACTAAATTCTTGATTGGGTTTTGGAAGCCAGGTCTTGAATGTTTCAGTCGCTTCCTGATTCCGTTGATTAATTTCCCTAGAATGTCATTCCTGGGTTTCCCTCCCACCTCTTACTCTGTACCTTATCTCCTAGAGAGAGAACCCACTGGAAACATATTGAAAGTCTTCCGTAGGCTATCCTAGCAGAATGTTGAATAATAACAGAGGTTTATGTTAGGGGGAGTGTGGCCCAGTGGTTAGGTTTTGTGACTTGTGATCAGAGGGTCAGGGGTTCAAATCCAGCTGCTGGTCATGTGTTGTGTCCTTGGGCAAGCCACTTCATCCCCACTTGCCTCTCTCCACCCAGGAGTATAAATGGTTACCGGCATTAGCTGGGGAGCAACCTGCGATGGACTAGCATCCCATCCAGGGGGAGTAGAAATATAGTCGTTTCATGCTACTGTAACGGGAGATAAACGTTGGCCTGATGGACCACATTGGCTCATGACAGACTTTACTTCTTTTATGTTAGGTTTCTATCAATCAAGGCAATTTTAGGGATCCAGTGGGTCATTTCCAGTTGAACCTTTAAAAGGCAGGTGTGTGTCAATGGCCGGGTGGGGGATTCTTTTAAGGGTCAAGCGTTCTTGGGGTATTTGAGGGGTAGTTCAGGATAGGATTGGTAGGTGAAGGGTTAGTTTGATGTAGTCTTGATACATGTTAACCTCTGGGTTAAGTTTGGAGGCAAAACAATTGAATCAGTGGATGTTATGGGCTCTGCGAGGGAACAAGAGAGAGTGTTTATTTACCACTTTATCTGAATCATTATAGTCGGTAAAGCGCATCCCATGGGAAACATCACACCAACTTAGAGAGAAGACAATGAGATGAAATTACAGTTTTATAGGTGGGAGGAAAAGCCCAGAATACATTCTGGTAAAAAGCCACGGAATCAGGCAGGGACTAAAAACCCAATCCACATGTTGGCCCAGGCGGGATTGGAACCGGGGTCACAGCGGTGGAAGGCGAGGAAAGTACCGCTACGCCAACCTGATTCCCCTTTCGAGGGCCCCGTGGATTGGATACACCGTATGCGCGTACTGGTTGGCGCGCATATAGCACTAAGTATTAAGCACGACTCATATTATTCTGAACGTGCCCAAAGCCATAGCGTCTTCACTTGAGCGTCAGGCTCATCGGCAATGCATTCGAATGTCTCTCCCAGTTGTCTCCCCAAACTCTTCCTTACCGTTGAGGGGGTACTTGCGCACAGAGCCCACGGACCTTGGAAGTTAAGTTTACGAGTTGCAGGTGATACACCAAGGTAGATTAGAAGTAGTTCGGAGGAGAGTGCTCAAACTTATCAATTTCTTGTTTCGTTTGACAGAAATGCCGGCGTTCCCGAGAAATACTGCAAGGAGGTTGAGAGGAGGATAGAGGGACCGGCGGTGGCGCTCTTCCAGTAGAAAGTTCTCCCGCGTAATGATCTCTTGTAAATTTGTCATCAGGAGGGAAGATTGGGTTAGGCCAGCGGGGGAACACCTCCGCAAAACTTGGGTGATAATGAATACAACTGGCTCTCAAGTTGGATTTTTTTTTAAGTCTGTATTAATTTTCCAAAAAGGTGTTTCCATGAAATTTGTTTATTGAGAAAGCAGATTTCCAATGTGTTTTAGGTAGAGACAAAATATTGTTTGTTTTGAACTTGTATGTGTATATATTATAATAATGACTGCATTTTTAAGAAGTAAGGATGTCTATTTCAGGCATGCTGCTGGGAATTTATAAGAAAACAAATATGAGCAAACTCTAAACCACACAAGACTTTGTACAGTGTTTTTCAATTTGTAATGGCATTCATGATGAGAAGCAAAAAGCGAGGAAATCAACGGATCTGAGGAAAAGTTGCATGCGTGTAATTTGGAGATGTCGTGATTTGATGGACCCAAATGTTCACTTGAGCATTGGTTTTTGCAACATGAGGCGCATTGTTGTCATGACATGCATGTATCCAATATTGAGTATTCATAAGCTTGAAATTCATGCCTTGGTAATGAGATTATCATTATTTATTTTTTTGAAAAAGTAAAAGTGCCCATATCAGGGATGAGGGAAGAACTAGTCTCTTTTACAAACTACATGTACATGTACTTGTGCAGGAAACATAGCATCAGGGAAGCCACAAAATGAGGCTAAGGGAATGCTGCGGTGTATTCGCCAGGGCGTTGTGGGCAAAATTAAGGTCAAAGGTTCGAGTGGGTACTTTAAAATGTAAACACACCAGGTACACTGTGGAGTTGTCTTCCTCACTGGTAAGTTTAGTTTTATCACTGTAACCAGATCAATAATAGCTGAAATCAGAGGATATGCTCTGAATTATCACAAATATGGCCATCCAATTGAACATTGTTGTTAATCAGGAAGTATCTGTGTGATTAATCTCGCCACTGTACATGTACACGCTTCGAATTCAAGTTCCCGCCGTTTGCAATCTAACTAGCCACGAAATCGTCCAGTTACGCCATTTCACCAGGTCAGCCGAGCCACCAAAGATGCGTTCGCGAGCTGGGGCAGTGGTGGTTGACACCGGGGCAGACACGAGTGTAACGTGATGGCTTAATTGAACGCTCTCGTGTAAGATTTACTTTACACATGTTAATCCGTCATGGCCGTTCCGAATACCGCAAAACCTTTGCGGGTACACACGTCATCCGGCGTGAACTGGTTATAAATGAAGATGCATATTTTGTTTTTGGTCCATATGTACACATGGTCAACAGTTTACAAAATTAGAGCTAAAATTAGCCATCACCTGCACTCATGATAAGATATTTATTTGGTTCATCAGATTTCTAAACGTAAATAGAACCAAAGGATGCCTTCCTACATTAATTAATGCCTTAAGTTTCAGTTAACGGTGCTAATTTCTTCCAAATTATCACTCCGTCCGAACTTCAGATCTCAAGCACCAGTTTGTTGCAGCACGAAAGAGAAACACTAGTTGATGTTACACTAGTTGATGTTTATGTTTTTAAGCATGGAAATTAAATTGTTGCAACTGTAGAACCAAAACATGTTTTCCATTGTACATAATGTAAATACGTAAATACTGATGTACTGTATTTTATTCTGTGAAGACCAAGATTGATTGCTTTTGTACACATAGTTCCTCCTGCATTGCGTATGTAGTGCCTTATACTTCCGTTTGAATGTTGAATTGTTATACAGTACATTGTTTAAAATTAACAGCTAAAATTTCAAAATTTGATAATCCGTCCATTCTTCAGATGTTGTTAAAAGATTGAGTTGAGTATGTTCGTGTAAATAAAGATTTGAGATATCAAAGGAATGCAAAGTTGTGGACATTAGATGTTTTACCAAGAAGAAGCGAAAAAAACCCACCAAGTTCTTTATTTTTGATTGCTTTATTTCAACGCCAAACAGAAAAATAGGCGCAAACTTCATTTGCAACACCTGTGAACAATGAACATTTCTACAATGATGATGCAATCCCTTTTGTTATATGAAAGGTTGCTGCATGAACTAATTGTGATGATAACAGCTTTCAAAAGCAAACGCAAAGCATGACAGGCTCAGGGGTGTGAGAGACCACTGGTAAAAAGCGCTGAAAACACCTGAAAAAGGTGTAAACAAAACTGAACTTTGGAAATCTCCTATACTTTTGTACACAGCAAGCGAGGGAAAAACGCTGAAATCTAAAACAAAAACAGCTGAAATCAGCTTTACAGCTGAGATTTCACACCCCTGCAGGGCCCTGCAGACTTCAAAATTAAATTGATTGTTAATACAATTTTGCATGAAACACTGCTTCTAGGAATATTGAGAGTTGCCTGAATTCTACTATTAAACCAATAAAACAGTTTAGAACATGAAACAAAAAGAAATTGTTAAAGTATTTTGCTTGAAAACTGCCCCTACGTCAATTGAGAATTGACTAAATTCTACTTTTCTACCAGAAAATAACTAAAAGAAATGGTTAAAACATTTTGCTTGAAAACTGTGTCTACATAAATTGAGAATGGACTATACATGGATTTTACTTTGATACCAGAAAATGACAACTTATAAGACATAAACGTTATATGATAAAAATGAAATTGTCTTCTACATTACTTCCCCATGTCTTCTTGCTAAAATTGAAAAAGATTATCACAGCAAAATGTATCATACAACCACACTTTTTTCTAACAAACTTCAGTGAATCACACGTGAAACTCAACACAAAATTGTCTTCTAAGTTTTTTCCTGTGTTTTCTTGTTAAAATCGAAAATGACGACCACAGCAAAATGTATCATACCGGTACACCAACACTTTTTTCTAACAACATTAAGTAAATCACACATGGAATTCAAAATATGGACTCACTTTTTACATCACAACTACTAAGCAACTTTTTCAAAACAAGTTTTGAAAATTACCACTAAAAAGAAAAACTGAACATATAGTAGTAAAGTAAAGCACATACATGTACATGTATTAACTTTTTGATTAAAATCATCTTGTTTTACAAGTTAAAATAATCACACAAGTAAATGCAAAAAGAGGAAAACCTGTCTGAAGTTACTATTTTCCCAATTTAGTACACATAACATAAAGTGACTTTCATCAAAAGTATTTATGTATCAGAGGTAAACAATAAAAACTATAAAACATCTTTCCAATTGAGGGAACATATCAAGTACTTTAGAAAACCAGCTCTCAAATATGACAGTTATGTAAAACAACATTTCTATTCAAGCGTTCTTCGTAAATTCAAACATTTCTATCCAGGCGTTCTTCGTAATTCATTTAAAACCAATAGTTCCTTTCTTTTCCCCTGGGCAGGGCTCCCATCTTAATAGATTGTCCTTGTTCTAAAAGCAAACTATTCTACGCACCAAAACAGCTAGAGTTTCCAAACAAAGGCATATTTACAAATTCAACACACATCAATCTTTGTTTTGTTTTAAGCATGTTCAATATTTGGTAACACAAAACTGTCTATAAGAACTCTCTATTGTAACCAGCATAACATGAGTTTAAACGTCGTAATCGTGCTTGTAACACTTTGATAAACAAACAGTAAAAGTACATTCATTTCTACCTACTTCATATCTTAGATGTGTTTTAATGAGTTTTCAAACAGTAAATATTGAAAAATTTCAATGTTTTTAAAGAAGTGTGGACTAATCTACACTTGTTGGAAGATACACTTTATAACTTCATGCGCATATGCAACTTTTCCTTGAGCGTTTTTATGATTAAGATACGACTTAAAAAATAGTCTTAAACCTTCAGTGTTACATGTTTATGAATATCAGTACTGTAAACATACTTAATATTTTACTTAAGTCTAGACTACTTGTATAAGATGTTTTTTTAAAGATCTTAACAAAATATCACTTTCACCGACAACCTGAATTGGAATGAAGTAAATAAAGAAATAGTACTCAACTAAAAGTAACATCAATTTCTGGTTTTTTTTTTTTTAATTTCTTATTACAGCCAACTCCCGTTAATACAAAGTCAGCCGTACCTAGCCAAAAATGTTTGTTATATCAGAATTTTGTACTAAGAGGATTGTCGGTCCCAATCATTGTGCACATAAATGCACAGTCAAGATCAAGGCTTTTTGTTTGCTATAACCAGAATTTGTATTAACAGTTTTTGTATTAACGAGAGTCGACTGTATTTTCATTAACATTTTGGCATCTTTTTCATTATTGATATTTTTGCACCAAAACACTAAGGCCTCCAGTGCGCCTTGCCATTACACAACTTTTCAAATTTCTCACTAATGTTTTGACAATACTTTACAATTACTTGTCCATAACACTGCACACAGTTTGAGCCAATTTTAATGGTATATACACTGTACTTGTACTATCACAACCTTTTTCACTTTCTTTACAGTATTTTTCAAAGATAGAACAAAATCAATTCACATAACCTTAAAACATATCACAGCATAACTTTGTTTTGTTCTAAAAAAACAAACTACAGTTTGATGACTGACTTTAATACAAATTCTATATCTAAAACCGCGAAACAAAAAAAGTGACAAAATAACTAAAATGGTGAACTGATCGAAGTTGGAGCAAACTATCATTAAAATGGAAAACAAAAATTGAAATGAGAATGACACCAATGCAGTATTAATATATACATATAATGGGCATGTATCCAGTTTCAGGACAAAGTTGATCTAATCTTCAACAAAAGCATCAGCATTTCAACCCCCAAATCCCTGTTACACCCCAAACTGCCCTGCCTATTACTCCAAGTACCTCTATGGTGGTATGGATTCATGGGCGAATAAACACAATGTTATACAATGTAACACAGGTGCCAAAAAGTTCAAATTGTAGCTACAACTTGTCATAGTTGTACCTATCTTTAAAATGCCCTAACACTCTATGGTTGTATGGATTCACGGGCGAATCAATACAATCAATGTTATAGAATGTAACACGGGTGCCAATGAGTTCAAATTGTAGCGGGGAACGTTCAAATACAACTTGTCATAGTTGTACCTATCTTTAAAATGCGGTAACACTCTAGGGTTGTATGGATTCATGGGCCAATAAACACATGTTATGCAATGTAACACAGGTGCCAATGAGTTCAAATTGTAGCGGGGAACTTTCAAATACAACTTGTCATAGTTGAACCTATCTTTAAACTGCCCTAACACTCTATGGTTTTATGGATTCATGGGCCAATAAACACAATGTTAGACAATGTAACACAGGTGCCAAAAAGTTCAAATTGTAGCGGGGAACGTTCAAATACAACTTGTCATAGTAGTACCTATCTTTAAAATGCCCTAACACTCTATGGTTGTATGGATTCACGGGCGAATAAACACAATCAATGTTATACAATGTAACACGGGTGCCAATGAGTTTAAATTGTAGCGGGGAACTTTCAAATACAACTTCTCATTGTTATACCTATTTTTAAACTGCCCTAACACTCTATGGTTTTATGGATTCATGGGCAAATAAACACAATGTTATACAATGTAACACGGATACCGATGAGTTCAAATTGTAGCGGGGGACGTTCAAATACAACTTGTCATAGTTGTACCTATCTTTAAAATGCCCTAACACTCTATGGTTGTATGGATTCATGGGCGAATAAACACAATCAATGTTATACAATGTAACACGGGTGCCAATGGGTTCAAATTGTAGCGGGGAACGTTCAAATAGAACTTGTCATAGTTGTACCTATCTTTAAAATGCCCTAACACTCTATGGTTGTATGGATTCATGGGCGAATCAACACAATGTTATACAATGTAACACAAGTGCCAATGGGTTCAAATTGTAGCGGGGAACTTTCAAATACAACTTGTCATAGTTGTACCTATCTTTAAACTGCCAAAACACTTGATGGTTTTATGGATTCATGGGCGAATAAACACAATGTTTAATACAATGTAACACAGGTGCCAATGGGTTCAAATTGTAGCGGGAACGTTCAAATACAACTTGTCATAGTTGTACCGATCTCTAAAATGCGGCAACACTCTTGTTGTTTTATGGATTCATGGGTGAATCGACACAATGTTATACAATGTAACACGGGTGCCAATGGGTTCAAATTGTAACAGGGAACTTTCAAAAACAACTTGTCATAGTTGAACTTATCTTAAAACTGCCCTAACACTCTATGGTTGTATGGATTCATGGGCGAATAAACACAATCAATGTTATACAATGTAACACAGGTGCCAATGGGTTCAAATTGTAGCGGGGGAATGCTGAAATAAAACTTGTCATCGTTGTATCTTTATTTAGGTGCAGGATATTCGTCTGGCAGCAGGGTGTAGTTGCGGCACGTGGGGCATGTGCGCTGCTCCTGTAGCCACATCTTGATGCACTGTGGAGGACATAAAAAATATATCAATATACACTGTACTGCTGACTTTTAGTCCTTCATGATCTGATACACCGTGCCCTCTGGAGACATGCACACAATAGGGAACAAAAGATTGTATACGTCTCCACAGGGCAATTTCTATAGATGAATACGTCTCCACAAGGTTTTCACAAAATAGATATATGGATTTTACTCAAAAATTAGGAATTTCCAAGGTGTGTTAATCCGTCGCAAATGGTAGAGTTTTAGAAAAGGGATATTAAGTCTGAATTTCAGCCAAGGAAATTAATTCTGGTTAAAATGAGAGCATTTTGAAAGTGTACTTTCAAACTCGAAAACTTTAGTACACGAGAACAAAGAAATGTCTCCACAAGGATACAAATTTCAGTATGTATGTTTTGGATGGTTGATTGGCAGAGCGCTGTGGTCTAATAGTTACGAAAGGGTTCGACTTTTTTTTTAAACTTTTTTTTAAAACTTTTTTTCACTATTCAGCAGGGCCACTGAAACAGACTCTTAACTAACCCGCATGTTTTTCTTTTATAGAATGTTTCATATACAACAATGTGCATACATCTAAAACGTGTATCCTGAGGCAATCTTGTCAGTGATTTTATAAACATTTCTAATAATTTAACAGTTAACAGTTAATACAGTTTAGACACAAATTGATACAGGTTCGCTTTCTGATTTTAAAGATTTATTTCTTTCTGTCCTTTCATCTTTGCCGTAGCCCAATCATTTTTGACTCACCAGCTGGGCTACCTAAGGAATAGTTTGACTAGCCCGCTGCTGTTTTGACTATCAGGCTACCGCTAAAGTCAAACCCTATAAGTTCGCAAGTTCGAACCCTGACGGGGAACAAGGTGCTTGTGTTCTTGGGCAAGACACTTGACTACAATTGCCTCTTTCCACCCAGGAGTATAAATGGGTACCTGAGAAGGTAGAGACCTGATCTCGAGCTGCTACAAAAAATGGTCTCATGACCTGATGAACAGGGGTAACAATTGTAAAGTCCTTTAGAGACCCTTGATATAAAGTGCTATATTTACATGTAAGCGCCACATTATTATTATTCCTAAAGCAGTAAATCAAAGTTGGATTTGTTGCATCATATTTTTGTGCACATAGGGCGCTAAGTACGCACTACCAACTTTATTTTGAATGTCCATAAACCTGTCGCTTCTTCAGGTGCCAATCTGGGCGATTCACTATGCAGTGCGCCACCAAGAGTTTGCCACGGAGAGTCCATTTTTCAAATTTACAGTCGACAAAACATGGCCCATTTCAATGAGTGTCAGTAGACAATTTGAGCTAATGTGTTATAGATTGGGGCATATATAGCCTTACAAAAACACACCATATTGATAACAAGAAAAGAAAAGGGCAAACAGATCCTCGAATCATACGCTTACGAAACTACTGACCGCAAAACTAACAATTTCAAATGTCCCGCGCTGCGAATTTGTCGACCATCTCCCACAATGCACTGGGAAAAATGATCTCTCCATGGCAAACTCTTGGTGGCGCACTGCATTGTGAATCGCCCAAATTGGCAAGGCATTTGAATGTCCCCCAGTGGTCTCCTACAAGTTTCCCTATGCAACCAATTGAGTACATGGAGGCACCCAACATAAATAGAGCCCGAGACAGTGGTAAATTAGTTACCTCGGGATGGAATTTGTGTCCGCAGCGCAGCGTGACCGTGTCCATCAGCATCTCCTCGTGACAGATGACGCAAGGGTCCTCCTCCTCCTCGTCCTCCTCCCCGCCTCCTTCCGTCATCGGTGTCCCCCAGGCCGAGATGGGCTGGGTCTTGGCTGGCTCCCACTGGTGCAGGGAGGCGCGCGACGGTCCGGCTAGTTGCTGCTGCAGGGACAGGGTTGCTCCAGGCCGGCCGGCTTGCTGCTGCATTCTCTGTTTTAGAGAAAGAAATCCCCCAATGTAGAATTGCTAGTTTAAAAAACACTGCTATACGGTACACCTATAACCTATGACACCCCTTTTAGCACCACACGATTACTATGAACATCTTCATCCCTTTAACATTCATTAAAAGTCCATTTCTCCGTGAAACGAATCTTTAAGAGATGTTTCACGGACATTTACATGGGGCTTATATAGGACTAATCCTGTAAGGGTATTTTCACGTTTTTTTAATGACCCTGGCTGCTGAGGATTATCATTGGTTATACATAACGGTACACTTTGTACACTGGGTCTATCTCCATGGGTAAACAAAGGGACTTTCTTGAGGGTGTTTTCACGGACTCCTCATCTGGCTTAATATGTTGAAAAATCTGTGAAAATTAAGTTAACTGTAATTTCAAGGGAAAATGGCTCTTTGACAAATTTTTAAGGGATGAAGATGTTCATATAAGTATTGTGTCGGAAACGTGCTACAAAAGTAGAGAATTATCATCGGTTCATCTGGTTGCGGCGAGGATCAACGGTGAAGGTGGCACCGTTTAGGGTTTTCCGCGAGTCTCGGCTCAGAGGGGCATAGGTCGTTTGTTTTTCCCCCACCCACCCATCCCATTGGTTGGGCTCCGGTTTCTACACTTGATTCTCTCTTACCCCAGACCTTAACCTCCGACTCTGGAGCCCGAACAAAGTGGCGATGCAAACAGATTGCTAAAACGCAAGTTCGATCGGGAAGTACGGTTAACCATATTAGTTTGACTGACTCGGATCGAGCACTGGCTGGTCACTGATATATAGTACACTATTCAGGATCAGACTTGACTCAAGTTACTCAACTGAAACACTGCTGGAGTGTCCTCGACGATACAGTACAGCAAGGGTTAGGTATTAACCCTAAAGGGGCCGGGGGGGGGGGGGGTGGGGTGTGGAATCCGCCCCCCCCTCAACATTTTCCGCGATAGCCTCTAAAAAAAATTTTTTAGCGACCCGAGCTGTTATGACTTTTTAGCCTCGAGCTTTGCGCATCTTTTGATACCAAAAACATAAAAATCGGATAAAAAACATAAAAATTTTCCAACGCTACGCGCCGTGAAAACTGAATTTTCGCATATACGTCGTGCACACCGAGCAGAATTGCCATTCATACATATGAATAATTAATTAGCCATAATTCCAAAACCCTTTGATCTATAGTCATGAAATTTCTTGGGCATGTTTAGGAAGAGTTGCTCTATGCATGTGCTGAGTTTCAAAATTTTTCGTCACTCGATGGCTGAGATCTTTAGGGGGGGGGGGCAGAATCCCCCCCACCCGGCCCCTTTAGGGTTAAAGGATTACTCCTAAACCTTCCTCAATCCTCTTCAATCATCCAAGCGTTTTTGGAGGGTATTTTTTTAGGATTGAGACTGAATGTCAAAAAAAAGGGGTCGGTTGATTTTGGAGGATGCATTGTGTCAATTTGGTAGGCTGTTTCCAGCATTATTTATATTCAGTCATGCATAATTGAGCCCTGCATTCTGCTCGATATCATCCGCACTGCTTCTGAATGTCATCGGCACCGCTCAAAGTATTGACAGTGTTTGTTGGAGGATTTTGCAGGATTGAGGCGGTGGTCATCCTCCACTGAACAAATTCAAGAAGTATCGGATGATTTTGGGCGATCGAGGCTGCATCCAATTTTTACATGGTGGACATTGGAGAATTTTGGGTTAATCCATTAGTTACTAATATACCACCCCAAAGCGCCCTGCCTCTTACTCCGAATATACCGCCTCAAACTACCCTGACATGCTATGGTTCCATGGACTCATCCAAGAGTAAGTACGGTGTAGTACAATGTAATACAAGTGCTGAAAGGGTTAATAGTATTACCTGTAGTCGAGCCGCGTTCCTCTGCTGGCCGACTATGAGCTCAGTGGCTCGTTGGATGATCTCTTCAATAGACAGTCCCGACAGAGAACCCTTGTTGGCTGCGCGGACTTCCTTGATTACTTTGGTCAGCTGCACCCTGAAACAATCAAGCACAAAGGACCGGTCTGTTAAGCCTTGCCTCCTTGTTTTGACCGATCATGAGCTGAAGAGGCCGCGTCCAAATCACTTGGCTACGGTTAGCTGTAAGGGAGCGGGGATTTACTGCAATTTTGCGTGGGCACGCGGGCGTACGCATGCAAGCCGTTGTCTCGCACGCATACAGCGAAATATTGCTTTTCAACACTGCAAATGCTGCGCACACACTTGATGCGGTTGGCAGCAGTATCATTTTGGCGGGCGGCTTGATCATTTTCTTAAGAGGGGGATTATCTTTATTCTAGCATGCGCCAGCCATATCGATATCACAAATGTGTGCTCTGAAAAAAAAGGTGATACCCTTTTTAGATAATGGTGGAGCCGCCCCACAAAATAACGTTACTGCATGCAGGCGATCACATCAGGTGTGTGTGCAACGTTTGCGGTGTTAAAAAAGTGATGTTGGTGAGTAAAATCTCTGATTTATTGAAACAATTGACGCTCTGAGGTCATAAAACAGTTGTGTGGTATTTAGTATTTTGTAGTTTTCATGTTTGTTGTGTCCTCCTCTAGGATTAGTACCATGTATCGGACTTCAATCCCCTCAATTCACTTTGGATGTGAAGAAGTCGAACTTAGGCCAAACAAAAAAAGTCTCCGGTTTCTGGTATGCGAGCGCGTCGCCGTAGCCATGCGCGTCGGCAAAATGAAAAAGGTTTTTTTTCAATACAAGATGATGTTTCAAAACCGCCAAACTCACTGGTTTGACTGGAATTCTGCTGCTGCACAATTTTAACGTGTTTTTAGATGGGGTTATGATCGAGAATAAGATTTATGTGGCCTCTCTGGACTTCCATATATTTGCACTAAGTTTAGTCGGGCACCATTTGCAGTCATCAGCCGGAATTTGAAGCAAAAAAAAAAAAAAAAAACAGGTAAAAAAAAAAAAAGCCGCGTCGCCGCACCACTTTTGGGGCAAGCTCCATACCAGAAACTCCCCCCCCACAGTAGTGTGGTTGGGGTCTACGAGCGAATACTTACCTGTAGAGCGAATACTACATATGCATTGTTCCCTATGCCGGCAGGCAATTCGCTAAGAGTTTTACATACAATAGCGCCCTCACGTGTCCTACCCACGACGCCCTGTGACATGCGCACTACGTTAGCGTCCTCTTTTTCTCAAGCGTTACTTGCGTAAGCACTCAAGGAATCGAGTATAGTGGGGAAGGAGGGAGGGGTGCTCTACAGGTAAGTATTCGCTCGTAGACCCCAACCACACTACTGTGGGGGGGGGAGTCTACATCACTCTACTTACCTGTAGAGCGAATACTACATATGCATAGACTCGCACCGAGTAAGGCGGTGGGTATACGCAAATTACCGTATGTCTACAGGGGTGTAGGACATGAGGCGTGTCCAAAGGTTTCAAACAACACCCAACCAAAACCTACACCCCAGACGCTCTAGGTTTCACCTCGTCAGGGGAACCCAAAGAGCTCGTGCGCAAGAAGTCAGGGGGGTGTAACCATTATGGGAATGAACACATGATAGGTAAACCTAAGTAAACTTAATGCCCATACAAATATATATATGTATATTGATATGCTCACCCGTTAGTGCTTCCGTGAGGCTCGACTGGCCGCTAGCAGCACTTCTCTTCCAGCCTTGCCATCTGCCTGGAGGACATCCTTCAGGTAGCATTCGGAGAACGTGTTAGGGTTCTTCCAGCAGGCTGCCTTGACGATGTCACCTAGGGGGACACCCTTAAAAAAGGCCCACGAGGTGGACACTCCCCTGACCTCATGCGCTCGAATGGGTCCCTGGGTCGCTGGCCAGCCGCCCGGTACAGACCGGATAGCTGTCACGATCCAGCGAGTGATTGTATCACGGGACGCCGGCCCATGGGGCGGGGTCGTCGTGATGAACAATTTTTCGTGTCCCGTACGAAGTGACTTCGTACGGTTGACATACCACTTAAGTGCTCGAACTGGGCACCAAAGTTTGTCGTTTGCCTCGTTCGAAAAAGACTTGATGTCCGGGACAAAGATGTCCGGGGGCATAAAGGTCTCCGACTGGTTCTTTGCGAGAAAACCGGCCGTAGGGATCAGGCGGACACCCCCCGGTTCCCACCGGATGTGTCCCGTCTGTATCGATAACGAGTGTAGTTCGCTACGTCGTCGGGACGTAGCAACAGCCAATAGAAAAGCTACTTTGATGGAGAGCTGTAACAAAGTTGAGCAATTCATTGGTTCAAAGGGAGCCTTCGCCAGTGTAGATAATACACCGAAGAGGTCCCAAGATGGGATTAATGTGCGTACTGGGGGACGAGTATTAAACATCCCCTTGATCAGTTGGCTAATTGCAGGGTTGCCGGAAACGGAGGAACCGTCCGAAAATCCCTGATGGATCGCGGCAACGGCCGACCGATAATTTTTGACCGTGGCCGTCGTGAGCCCACTGTTAAAAAGGTATAGGAGGAAATCCCCCACTTCCCCTACAGAAGTATTGGGGGGATGAATGGATTGCCGTCTACACCATTTAAAGAAATGGCGTAGTCGGCTATCGTACACCTTTCTGGTTGAGGCTCTACGGGACTGGGCTGCAATTGTTGCAGCTCGTCGCGAAAGGCCTGCTGAGCAGAGGGATCGCGTGACAATACCCAGCACGTCAGGTGAAGATCCCCCGGAGCCTGGTGATTGATTCCCGAGCTGGGCTGATAAAGGAGATCGGCCCTCCTTGGTAGAATTACCGGGCGGTGAACCAAGAGTCGGACGAGCCGGGGAAACCACGGCTGGCGGGGCCAGAACGGGGCTATGAGGAGAATTCGGCAATCCTCCTGCTCGATCTTGGTCAGCACTCGAGAAACGAGGGAGATGGCTGGGAAGGCATAGGAAGGAAGAGGGAGGAAGAGGGACACGCACTGCCGAAGGTTCAGCAGGCGGTCCTCCGATGGCCGGGCCAGTCCCCTGCGAAGATCGAGGGATGCACCTAGAAAGGTGGGAACCTGAGAGGGGACTGGATGGGATTTCTTGGTATTGATGAGAAATCCCAGGTCGGAAGCAAGTTGCCACGTTAGTTGGAGCGCCGCTTCCGTCTCCCCTCGAGAACGGCCCACTACTAGCCAATCGTCGAGGTACATGAATATCATGACCCCTCGACGCCGCAGTGCCCCCCCGATCGTCTTCACGATCCGGGTGAACACCCGCGGAGAAGTGGATAGCCCGAACGGGAGCACCACAAATTCGTACAGTGTATTTTTGTATTGGAAACGTAGGAATTTGCGATGTTCCGGCCTGATCGGTACGTGAAAGTACGCGTCTTTCAAGTCTATACTGGCCGCCCACGCTGGTGTCATGATCGATGCAAGAATGGTCCGTAACGTTTCCATGCGGAAACGTTTCGGACGTATGAACTTGTTGAGGGGTTTTAAGTTCAGTATTGGACGCCACACGCCGGTTTCCTTCTTGGGGGCCAAGAAGAAGGTTGACATGAAACCTGCCCGGGTCCCCCCTTGGGGGACAACACGAACTGCTCTCTTCAGAAGGAGGGCGTCGATCTCCTCCTCGAGGGAGCGGCGTTTTGCCGTGTCGGGCGGTACGGGCGTTGTCCGAATTAGCATGTCCGACGGGGGGGTCCTCGTAAACTCGAGCGCGTAACCGCTGCTGATTGTTTCGAGGACCCACCGGTCGGAAGTCACCTGCACCCAGGACCCCACGAACTCCTGAAGGCGGCCTCCCACGGGTCCAGCGGTGGGAGGCCGCCTGGAGACGCATAAGTCACTTGCGCCACGCCCCGGTGTACCGGGGAGTGGGCGCACGGAAACCGCGTCCCGACTGGGGACGCTGTTGTCCGGTATGTGGTTGTGAATAGCGCGGGCCGACCGCCTTATCGGCGCGCCCACGAAATCCACCACGGGCCGCTCTGACCGGGGGGCGGCGCCGGGGAATGACAAAAGATGGCTGTTTCTTCTTGTCCGCGGTTTTCGGCTCGACCGGTTTCTTGAGATTTATTTTCTCCGTGGCCTTGAGGCGCTTTGCTTCGGCCTCCATGGCCTCCTGGAACTTACCAGAAAATAAGTCCGGGCCTGAGAGCGGGAGATCGTCGAGACGCTTTCGTGCTCCCGGTGAAGGGAGGAAAAGCGCATCTAGCACATTGGCGCGGCGTGACGATGTTGCTAAGGTCGACACTCTAGCAAACTGGTCGAGAGTGGAGCACAGGCCGCGATCGAGGCAATGGAGAGCAGCCACCATCATGTCGGCTGGTATCACCGAATCTTCTTCATATCCCAGTGCCAGGTACTCTGACAGGAGAAGAAGAAAGGACGTCGCACGCATACCCATGCGTGCCGCCGAGTCCATTCTGCGGGTGACATCTTCCAGCTTTCCACGGGTCTTGTCTGTAAAAGGAACCTTGGATGAAGCTGTCCCTCGGTCAGCGGCGAGCTTGTCAATGGCCGAGTCCGGCAGGACTGGAGTTGAGAAATATTTCTCAAAATCTCCTGGGGGGAAATGATAATATGAGTCTACGCGTTTAGCGTAGGCACTCCAAGTCTTTGCGTGCATTATACCGTCGATGTGGTCACCGCACACGCGGTCCAAGGGCATTGTGGGAAAAGCCCGGACCGGTTCTGCCGTCGGTCCCGATCGCTTCTTGAACGACTGACGCTCAGGAGGAGGAGGAGGTTCGGTACCAGCAGGAAGATTTAGAACTCTGATCATATCCCGTTGGACCAAGCGGAGTTCGGTCTCAGCCACCGATAGGCGTTGCATGGTGCGGGTCAGTTCGCTCTCGTCCGCCGAATTGTCAGAGTCCGGGGGGCGAGTTGCCACCGGGGAATGGGAACCAGGCCCCGGGGGCGAAGCAGCGCCGTCACGGCGTCCCGGTATCGAGCCCCGCTCAGAGTCCAGTGACGCCGATGGGTGTAAACTAATACCGGGCGGGGACGCCGGTGCACGGCCCTCCGTGCACGGCATTGTCCGCTGGTCTGTAGTCACCCCACCACGGCCGTGATGACCGGCGTGTGGGGGCTGTAATTCTGGAGGGGACTCCGGCGCACGGCTAACCGTGTGCGGTATGTCCCTTTGGCCCGGAGTCGGCCAACTGTGACCGTAATCTCCCTGTCTGCCCGACAATGAGGCCGCGAGGGAGTGAAAGGCCTCCAAAAAATCATCGCGTGAGATCGGGTCGCCACCCTTGTGGCGTTTCCCACGGTGCGATCGGCCGGATGACTTGCTGGAACTCGTCGAAGAACGGCGGGAACGGCGGCTCTTTTTTGATTTTTTCTTCTTTGAGGAGCGACTCCGAGTAGTTGCCGAGGATTGCGGGGACACGGGGATGCCCGAACAACGAATGAAATCCGATGTGGAGGCAGGGCCCTCCGAGCGTAGCGTTAAATCTCTGGGGGAATCCCAGGGATTCGGTTCTACGCTATCAATAGCCCGGGCGGCCGACAGCGCCCCCACGCCGGTAACATAGGCGGGTGCTGTACGGTCAATCAACCGGCCATATAACAGCCCATCCCCAGGCATCGTGGTAATCACGGGGCTGGGTGGGCCTGGGTGCACTGAGCCATGGAGGAGTACTTCCTCCGGCTGCGTGTGCCCCGTAGACGGGCCAGGGACAGGCACGGTGCGCCCCGTAGCGGGGCCACCTTTTGCCGTACGTCCCTTTTTGGGTATTGCCCCGGCGTTAGACAATTTCTTTGTCTTGCCGGTGCGTTTCCCCTTCAGTTGGGCGGACCCGCGAACATTGACCGAAGACGGTGGGGTTGTACGGCCCCCCGCTTGGTCAACGGGTCCGTCAGCTCCGACAGCCGGCAGTGGCTGAAGGGGCCGACTAGGGGACTGCTGCCGCGGTGACGTACCATCACCGGTGCAGTCCCCCGAGAACTCGGGCTTGTCTGGTGGGATGTACGTCCCTCCATTATCGACACACCCGGTCCTCCCCAACTTCCTATTACTCATTTCTTTCACTTTCACTCAAATCCTTCACTAGAACAACTCTACAATACTTCACTAGAACAACTCTACAATACTTTCTTTTCGAAATAGCTTTCTCTAAGCAAAAGAGGTACCAATAAAATAGCGAAATTCAGGTCGTTGAAATTTCACGTGTACCTCGTCCTGCGGCTAAGAGAAAAAGAGGACGCTAACGTAGTGCGCATGTCACAGGGCGTCGTGGGTAGGACACGTGAGGGCGCTATTGTATGTAAAACTCTTAGCGAATTGCCTGCCGGCATAGGGAACAATGCATATGTAGTATTCGCTCTACAGGTAAGTAGAGTGATGTAGACCGGAGACTTTTTTTTTTGGCCTTATACAATGTTATAAAACTAGTGCAGTGCCCGTTCAAAATGTGCCCGTTTGGAATGGGCAAATTGCTTGGCCTCTGGTAGACCGGCAAACGTGGCAGTAGAGTGCAGTGCCCATATCACAGCGCGCCATATCTACACCTCACCGTTGCGTGATCCTCCCCCTTCAAAAAATGGTTGAGGCCCACCTCACCACTGCGCGATCTTCCCCTTTCAAGAAATGGTTGAGCCCATACAGCCGACCACCATTTCCACATGTGTTAACCCGTACCCATGGCGCGGTATAGAGTGCAGTGTCTGTTTAAAATGTGCAGCAGTGCGTGGCGCGGTCTGTACACGTTTGTATGGTCTAGGCCTCTAGTATATTGCTGCTATTTTAGCAGCAGCTTTTCTGAGAACCGCTAATCCAAACAACTTCAATCTTGACACTGCACATTCTGGGGTCCTGAGCAGTACACCTGCTGATTTTCAACTTCATACATGTGCCCGGTTCTGGAGATAATCGAAGTACAGACAGACAGACACACAGAGATTCCTGGAAATATTGTCAGATAGAAAATGTGACTAGGTCTCTCTCAAAGACCGCCATCTCGGTAGGAGAACTGCAACTGGGTATTTGACTCAATCAAGCACGCATTGCGCAGTGTTGAAAATGGTCCAAACACGCGCGCTTGTTGCTCAACAAAATGTGTTCAAAATGCGACGCAGCCGATGCGCGTTACGCAAGTTGACGCTCAAAATGACAATGCACGTGCCTGGTCTGTAGGAAATGACATCATTTGAGACAAACCTATTCCCTCCCCACCGATTTCCGTCAATCTGGATGATGAAAACCTAAAACTTTATCTTAGCTGGCCATAGCAAAAATATCAGCTTGGAAGCAAGGTCTGAAGTTCAGAATACTCACTTGTTGTACTCAGGGAACATGTTGTGCAGTGGGAAGATGATTTTCTCAAAGTTGGACCTGGGCTGCGGGCCAGGGGGCACGGTGGACTGGGCTGCGGGGTCAGCACCCGCCCCTTGGGTGACGGGCGGGGACGGGGCCTTGGGCCTGGGTACACCTTGGGAGACCACGGTTGACATCTGTTGTGAACCTGTTTTGGGGGAAAAAAACAGGAAAACACAGAATTGTTTAAACTATCCAATGCCAGGCCACTTTCAATACAGGGCGAGTAAAGAAAACGAAACCCAAATGGCAGCACAAATTTTTGAAAGAAGTTTGGCCTGTAGCGCTTTCAAAATCAAGGACATGAAAATCCAGTCATTAATCTTTCGTTTAGTACAAGGATCATTCAAATCACTCATGACTGTACTTTTCAAGTGACAGAATTTTGAACACAAACACCGTTTTGAAGTTCTGTCCACTGATCACAAAAAAAGTTAGTGTTCTTCAGCAAAACGAAAACAATTCTCATAGGGGATGCGTGTGAATTGTTTTTCGTTTTGCTGAAAGAACACTTACCTTTTTTTGCGATCCGTGGACAGAAATTTAAACGGTGTTGCATATCAACTTGTGACATTCATGCCAGACTTTCGAGATAAATATGGAGTTTGCGCATAACCATGTAGGGTCTATGGTGTTTGTATAACTTTCTTGTCTTCTACATATAGGTAAAAACACCTTAATGGTAAAAGCTCAGGAATTCCTGTTTTTGAAAGGGAAAAAAAACCCCTGAAATCCCAATTCAAGGCAAGTTTAGACACACAATTTTCAAATAGTGAAAATAACCCAGACGACACGACACAAAGTGTAACCATGGGCCAGTAAGTCCACCATCACATTAGCAGTGTTTTCGTAGGGCTACAATTTTTGGCCCTTGCTTGAAAACTCAAACTTAGTCAGGTTGGATTGAAACAACAGCAGCCTCCGAAATTTATTTGAAGGTACACACAATGAATAAGAATCGACTCGTCAGCTCAATGTTTGGGAATAGCCACGATGCATGTATGATGTGATATCACTGGAAGCTTGACATTCAGACCTTACCGCTGAGAGCGTTTGAAGTCATTGTTGTCGTTGGGGGCTGTCTGATGGGTTGCGGTACCCCTTGCGGCACCTGAAACTGCCCACCTGGGGGCATGCTGTATCCTGGCATTCGTACACTGGTGGTAATGGACGGCTGCTGGTTGGACTGCATGTGGGCCAGTGACACGGGCCAGGTCGGGACGGGGGCAGCCTTCGGGGGCTGTGGGGGCCCTTCCACGGGCTGGGCCTGGGCCCCTGGATACCCGGGCACCTGGGTGGGGGCACCCATGGACACCGGCACAAGAGGGGGAGTGGCTTCCCGCTCTGGCATCGGAGCCCGGATGTCCTCCAGGGCATTGAATTCCGGGCGAGGAGGCTCTGGCTGTTGCTGTTGCTGCTGATGATGCTGGTGGTTGGCGAATCCCGCAGCTGCCACCGATTTCGGCGGCATCTGATTCTGCGGGGGCATGGGTTGGCCGTGTGCACCTGGGGGGACCCTGGGGCCACCGGCGCGGGGGCCATCCATGCGGGGGCCAAAGGGTACTCCTACCCCTGGGGGTCCCCTGTATGGCATTTGAGGTGCTTGCTGAAAACAGAGGAGAGATGATGAATTTTGATGTAAGAGATTTTAGAATGAAGACTGTGTTCTTTGGAACAAGAAAGTTCCAATATTTGAGAAACACACCTACATGACCTATAGTTATGGTCAAGGGCTAAGCACAGACAAACAAAGATGCTTAGCAAAAAGACGGCACCAGCCAAAACGTCATGCTTTATACATGTAACTTGCGAATGGATCACAGCTCAAGTTTTGCTCAGAGGACCGTGTCCGAATTACTTGGCCAAGGCTATAAATTACACACACGCCTATGGTAGCGGCTGCAAATAGACCCGTGTGTCATCTCCAGAGGTAGCCACGTAAGTGGGACGCGGCCTCACGTCCATCCTTCGACGGAGCGAACACCTTTAATGTTTAATATCAAGTGGCTGTATGGAAGCACTCCATGACAACATGTAACTTGAGCCACCCGACCCTCACAAACAATCGAAACAATCCCAATGTATATAGTGCATTTGTACACAAGCCTATGTAAATGTGCACAAGCACACAGGGTTTTCCCGCCAATTTTCAACCCCTCCAGTAGGATCGCAAGACTGACACCCCCTCTGGTGGATGTACATTGGTCCATACTAGGATCTGGTGATAGATGGCCCCGGGTGGGTATACCACGTGGCCAGGACAATATCAAACATAAAAATGTGGACAATCGTAATTCCCAGGTGAATCCTGTTAGTTTCTTAAGGCCGAGACGGTTTCAGTTGAAAATTTGTATGTTCCCCACAGTGGAATTGTTTTTAATGTCTATCATGTTTCATTTTTACTGAGCAACAATTTTTTTTTCCTGATTTTAAACCTGAAATAAGTCACTTTTTACGTTCTTCCTTTTTTATTGGATTTTGTGAAAACTGAAATTTAATTAAGTTTTTTTTTTTTAATATTGTGATAAATTTATTGAACTGAGTATTACCCGTAGATGCCCTCTAAGTAACACACTTACCGGTTGCTTGGCAGGTCTGATTGGTTTTGGGGGCTCAAGCTGGTTGAGAGAGAAGCCGGCTTTAATCTGGTGAACGAGGTCGTCGTACTTAGCCTGCGGTACAAAACAGCAAAGTGAAGGGCAAAATTTGAAGTCAAAAGCAATCACACTTTTTTTACAGAGCTAAGTCAGTGAAGGGCAAAACTTGAAGTCAAAAGCTATCACAGTTTTCACAGAGCTAAGTCAGTAAAGGGCAAAACTTGAAGTCAACCACAATCACAGTTTTCAGAGAGCTAAGTCAGTGAAGGGCAAAACTTGAAGTCAAAAGCAATCACAGTTTTAACATAGCAGAACTACATTGTAAGTCAGTTAAGGGCGAAACTTGAAATCAAAAGCAATCACTGTTTTCAGAGAGTTAAGTCAGTGAAGGGCAAAACCTGAAGGGCAAAACTTGAAGTCGAAAGCAATCACACCTTTGACAGAGCTAAGTCAGTGAAGGGCAAAACTGAAGGGCAAAACTTGAAGTCAAAAGCAATCACAGTTTTTACAGAGTGAAGTCAGTGAAGGACAGAACTTGAAGTCGAAAGCAATCACACTTTTGACAGAGCTAAGTCAGTGAAGGGCAAAATTTGAAGTCAAAGGCAATCACAGTTTTCAGAGTTAATTCAGTGAAGGACAAAATTTGAAGTCAAAAGCGGTCACACTTTTGACAGTCAGTGAAGGGCAAAATTTTGAAGTCAAAAGCAATCACACGTTTTACAGAACTAAGTCAGTGAAGGGCAAAACTTGACGTCAAAAGCAACCCTACTTTTACACAGGTAAGTCAGTGAAGGGCAAAACTTGACGTCAAAACCAATCCTACTTTTACACAGGTAAGTCAGTGAAGGGCAAAACTTGAAGTCAAAAGCAATCACACTTTTCACAGAGCTAAGTCAGTGAAGGGCAAAACTTGACGTCAAAACCAATCCTACTTTTACACAGGTAAGTCAGTGAAGGGCAAAACTTGACGTCAAAAGCAATCCTACTTTTACACAGGTAAGTCAGTGAAGGGCAAAAATTGACGTCAAAACCAATCCTACTTTTACACAGGTAAGTCAGTGAAGGGCAAAACTTGACGTCAAAAGCAATCCTACTTTTACAGAGTAAAGTAAGAGAAGTGCAAAACTTGAAGTCAGAAGCAATCCTACTTTTACAGACCTTGTGTGCATTCAGTCGAGCCCTGTTCTCTCTCAAACATTTCTCCCATGCTCCACCAAATTCCCTGAAACTGTCAGCGACATTAGGACTCCTGGTAGAAAACGAAAAATGCCATCAGCTTTGGAGGAATTTTTCAAGGTGGTTTGATTTTTTTTTTTTTAATAAATTGTTCACATTCTATAGACAAAGTCAGAGAAAGTACTGAAATGCTCTGAGGATTTTGACTATCCTTGTTGCTGTAGGTGTATCCGACAGATTGAATAAAAGTAAAGTCTGTCACAAGCCAATGTGACCCATCAGGCCGGCGTTTGCCTCCGGTTTCAGTGGCATGAAATGACGGGATGCTAGTCCATCCCAGGTTACTCCCCAGCTAATGAAGGGCAAAACTTGAAGTCAAATTCTATGTCCACTTACACCCCTGGGTGGAGAGAGGCAAGTGGGGTGAAGTGGCTTGCCCAAGGACACAACTTAGGGCCAGTAGCTGGATTCGAACCCCTGACCCTCTGATCACGAGTCACAAACCCTAACCACTAGGCAACAATCCCCCACAAGAAGGTAATTGAAATTTCTGACGCGCCATACGAAAGCAGTATTGGCCTGTGAGCTCCGCGTACCATTGCTGGAAAGCTCACCTCTCAATGACATTCTGGCAACTGCTGATGTGGAACCGACACTCTTGGATGATGTTCTCTAGGGGTGCGATATCCTTGTCACAGCGCAGGCGAAGTACGCTGATCTGAAAAAAAAAGGGGAAAATGAAATCATGCACGTCCTCTGCAGAAAACGATAGCCTTAGTTAACCCTTTCCTTACCATGGGCGACTTTTGTCGACAAGAAGTACCCCCCTGCTGGTTCCCATGGGCGACTTTAGTCGACCAGGAAACTACACACAAAACACCCTCAACACAGATATATTCACTACTTTTCAGAAAGGCCGCATGTTGATATGTTTGGCCGCCCATACATCAACTATATACCAGCTGAAAGAGTGTTTTCGGATCTTTTTATTGGTGTGGTTTATTCAAAGTGTTACCATTACAAAAAAATTAGAAAAGTGCTTCAGAAGTATCAACGCACAATTTGAGGTATGGAGTGCCATTTGGTCATGTGGTGAAATGGCCTGCAGTTTGATAATTGGGACCAGATGAACAAAAAGGCATAACTTTCCTATATTTGCACGTATGGACTTCATTTTTACATCACATACAAGAGTAAGGTTCAAGGAACAAACTTTACACACAACACATATGATTTAAATCACTCCTTGTTAGTGAAAATCTGGGTTGAAAAAAGTGAGTTTTGGACTTGTGGTCATTTTGTTCACGCTCTAGTGATTTCTGCATGACTGAGCAAACAATTTGGTCCTAGGGAGAGCCAAGTCAATAAACAATGTGGGCATGAAAGGGTTAAAACAAAAATGAGGTCCTCCTACATTTTTTGTCCATTGAGGAAAATGACATCATCAAAATAAGAAAATAAATCCTTGGTCAAGGAAAAATGACGTCCTCAGATGGGCAAACGTGATGTCCCTGGAAGAATGGTGTCCTTGGATGGAGAATATACGTCCTCGGAATGAAACTGATGTCCTCAAAAGGAAAAAACGGCACTTTTGAATAGAGAAATTGACACCCCAAAAACCATCAAAGAAAATGACATCATTAGGAGGAGAAAATTGTCTTAAATGTTTTCTATCCACTGAAAATGAAATCATGCACGTCCTCACAGAAAATGATAGCCTTAGTTAAAACAAAAATGAGGTCCTCCTACATTTTTTTGTCCATAGAGGAAAATGACATCATCAAAATAAGAAAATAAATCCTTGGTCAACAGGTCAAGGAAAAATGACGTCCTCAGATGGGCAAACGTGATGTCCCTGGAAGAATGGTGTCCTCGGATGGAGAAAATACGTCCTCAGAATGAAACTGATGTCCTCAAAAGGAAAAAACGGCACTTTTGGATAGAGAAATTGACACCCCCAAAAAACCATCAAAGAAAATGACATCATAAGGAGGAGAAAATTGTCTTAAATGTTTTCTATCCACTGTTTTATTTAATATATTCGTATTTTTATTTTCTATAATGTTTATTGTATTTTTTTTTTATTTTTTTTTTTATTTCATGTACCACACTTTTTATTTGGCCTCAGGGCCAAGACTGGTATTAAAATAAATAAATCTAAATCTATATCTAATCTAATTAGCATCTTCAGATGAATCGCACACACTGCCATGTTTCCCCTCCAAGAAGCAACTTCGGTTACCAAATTTAATTCTTTTAAAAATCTGTTTTCTAATAAAGCAACAAAAAAATCAGTGGGGTAACAGCATTGAGCGGCGGGATGCGTTACCTCTGCGTCTTGGCATCGTCTCAGCATCGACTGCTGGGCCTTCTCCAGGCTGCTTGCCGCCTCCTCCAACTTTAGCTTCTCCGCAGTCCACAAGTCCCTGCAGGGATGCGAAACACAGACATCAATAAATGGCACATTTGCAGCGACAGTAAAGCTCTTTAGTTCGTGTCGTACTGATATGTAGTCATGAGGAAAAACCTGAGTAAGCTCAAGGTACTAAACAGTACGCTCTTTTCATCATCTAAGACTATTAGCTTCCAATCGTAACCTTAAAGGGAATCTACATCATTTGCTTTTGCTGTAATTTTCAGAAATGGATGGAATTGGGGGGTTGGAAATATATAGCAAATATAGTTACACTGACTTTTTTGAGGTTTTGGGTTCGAAAATGCTATAAAAACCAAGAAAAACAATCACTTTCCTGTAGTCTGGTTCCCTGACTCCATATAAGAAGAAACAGAGCAGTTTACATACATTGGGGAATTGTAAGGTCAGGGAACCAGTCTAGCTGGCTTGTACCCGTTCATAGGTGTGTAACCGGAAAGTTAAAAAGGGCGCCACCTTGTGGCGAGATACACAAGCATGTGTACGGTCAAGCGTCGGCAAGCTGAATTGGGGGGGGGGGGGGGAGAAACCATGGCCGGATTAGGATGGTGAGGGCATCTTTTTCCCTTCCAATAACTGTTTATGATTGTTTATTGTATAATTCCAATAATTAGATGATTGATTCTTATAATGAGAGATTATTTAGATGTTAATTCGGGCTCAAATCCTTCAAACACAACGTGTCGGAAATACACGCATCCAACGAACATTCATGTACCACCGTATATATTAGTGAATGTACATGTGCATGTATGTAGGTTTTCGATTCGACATCCCGTTTCATGCACTTGTTTAATTGTTTCATTTTTTCCTCGTTACCCTTCAGAACAGGCTGACGGGCTTATGATGGGCACTCCTCAGTGCTCAACAAGGGCCTGCCACGGTGCTAACCAGGGCTTTTCACAGCCACTGTGTTCTTTGCAAGCTAACAAGAACTCGATGATAAATACACCGCTTTCCGCCACGCCCTGTCTCTCCACCGGTCTTTTCCTTTCCCCCTTTGCTATTCCATAACAATATTACAATTTATAGAATAAACGAAAATGGAAAATATAGATGGCATAGCTCATGAACCTTCAATTTCGATTTGTAATACTGGCTTTTGCCCTACTTTTATGTAACGTTAAATACAAATACCTTTCTGAATTCATTGTCTTCAGCGAACTCTCGAACAGTTCATCTTTGGAGGTCATCTGCCTTGTAAGACTGTAAAGGGAAACAAATTATTTTTTTTTCTTCAACTACATGTATACATGAACGACAATGAGTCTGCTTGAGTTTGAGAGATAACTGATTAATTTCATCAAATCCAATTTTAGAATAAACCAAAATGGGAAATACAGATGGCTTAGCTCGTGTCATTAGAACCTTCACCTTTATTGTAATATGAAACTAGTTGAAAATGTGCTCGCACTATTCCAAACTACCCCATCATAAAATGTTTAAATCCAACTCTGTAGCAAGTGAACAATACGCGCAATGCGCACACCACTAAGGCCTAAAAAAAAAAAAGTTATGTTGGCGTAACGGGCCAGAAAAAATAGGGTAGGTAGGTCGTTTTTTTTTTTTTTTTTTTTTAAATCCCAGCAACGAAAATGACATTAAGCCGGTAGTAGTACACGATAACAAAAGAAAACAAGGCTCATCATCAACCTTTCCAAAGGTACCTATCAAAAAGCGGAATCCAAAATCAGACAAAATGTTAGCCGTTTCATCTGCCGCGACATCTTTATATGGACCCGATTCTTCCTTTGAAGTTTGTATTTTTAGCACGGTGTAACCCGCTTTTACACCATCGGCACACCTCTGGGCGATTACCCCCAGCTCTAGACTCAAATTTATCCGCATTAAACGGTCGAAAATGACCGAAGATCCCCATTTGCCCTTGATGGAAACACTGTACGCTTCGGTACTGGGCGCCATGATGTGACGGCGGCGTACGCGCGTAACCGGACCACGGGTCGAGGGAGGGCCGGCCGGGTCGCGTTGGCCGCCGGGGTTATAGAATAGTTTACCATTTTAAGAATAAATATATATCAATTGTTATCGTGTAAAATAGTGGAAAATTAATTAAAATAATTTATATTATAATGAACTATTTTTTTAACATGGAATAAATAGCGAAGTATTTTCAATAGTGTATGTAGCAGTTCGCGCCGTGCAACAGTCTAGGACGAGGCTACACGTGTACTGTACATGTACATGTACATATGTGCATCTATCATGCATGCATGGTGCATCAATCTCCGCACGCGCACTGCCTGTACAGGCCTGCGCGATCAAGGTGCAAAACATTGTGCACTCCAAAGTTCCACGCGCGCTATCGTCAACGGTCAGAAATGGTTTCAAAACGTATTTAAAATTCATTTCTATAGATTTTAATTATATTTCTTCCCTTCAAAAAAAAAAAATATCCAGGGTCGGCCGCATTTTTAGGGTCGGTCGGGTTACGCCAACATAACACTTTTTTTTTTAGGCCTAAGCATGTGCACATGACCTTTTTGTTGCTACCGTACATGTGTGTATATAGTGGAACGCCGTTATAACAGACATTGCGGGATCCACAGAAATTGTTCGTAATAGCTCTGGTACTCACTTTGCAATAAATAGCGCCCTTAACTCCACCCCGCACGCCCTGGTAGTTACTGAAAGACGACTATGAACACGTGCCGACTATTGAATTATGTAATTACACAGTTTTTTTGAGCTTACTTCCTACAGCAATTGGTGGCTTTCCCCTTCTATTCCTTGGGAAAATAGCCACTTGTTGCTCTTCTGTTTACATTTTTCAACAACAAAGTTCGGTACGTTTTGTACAAAAATCGGGAGCCAAGGACGATGCTCGGTATAGCCGAATGTTCAGTATAACGGTGTTCAGTATAGCAACGTTCCACTGCAGTGCTTTTTAGCGGGAACAAATAATAGTCTTTTCTGGCCGTTGTATTGGTTTTTTTTTTTTGGCTGTGCACAGCAAGATAGTAAAAACACAAGCCAATGCCATGTGACTAGCTCTCGGCCAATCAAGATACAGAATCTGCGAGTGAGGTGTTATAAGAGTCCACAGCTAACCTGGCCATCTTGCTGTCTAGACCGCGGATATGAGTGTCTTTCTTCTGCAGCTCCTCCTGGAAGTGAATCCTCTCCGCTTCCTGAGACTTCTTACTATCCAGGAGCTGACGACTAATCTGCTTATGCTCGGCCTCGTATTTCTGCATTACGGGGATTGACACAAAAATCAGCAAAACTTGATGGATTTTGAGTGTTGTTTTGTTGTGAGCTGTCACCGCGAAATGAGCTCAAGTCGCAAATTCAAATTTCCTTGGGAGTTCAGTGAGGCAAAGCGAAAATTCAAAGGAGCTGTCAACTTTTGTTTTCAGGTGAACCTCAATCTGTGATTCCTCCCCCTTTTGTTGTTCTATCAAACATCCTGAAACGGGTCAATCTTTTCAAAAAGTTGGGCCTGTACCAGTCTTGTCTTAGGCTTCAAATTGTAATCACTTAGCTTCACTTTCAGGTGCGAAATGTTGCAGGAAAGTTTCCTTTAAAAAATTGAATTAAGACCTCCAACTTGGCTGGTGAAATACTGAGGACCTTGACTTTGCCTCACGAGCATTTGGGAGAATTTTGTTAGCTACAGAGTAAAATTGGCCTGATTTTGATAACTGTATGTTTTTCTGTACTCAAGGTCCCAACCTGGCAACAAACATGCCTGAGAGGCTGTAAGGCCAAAAAAAAAAGTCTCCGGTTCCTTATATGAAGCCTGCCCAAAAAGTGGTGCGGTGACGCGGCTTTTTTTTTTTTTTTTCAAATGTCGGCTAATGACGGCAAATGGTGCCCGACTAAACTGAGTGCAAATATATGGGAGTCCAGAGACGCCACATAAAGCTTATTCTCAATCGTAACCCATCTAGAAACACGTTAAAATTGTGCAGCAGCAGGATTCCAGTCAAACCAGAGATTTTGGCAGTTTTGAGACATCATCTTTCATTGAAAAAAAAAAAACTTTTCATTTTGCAAACGCACATGGCTACGGTGACGTGCGAGCATACCAGAAACTGGGGACCTTTTTTTTTTGGCCTAAGGGTCTTAAGAGAGAAGTCAGGTTGAAGCAATGGTTCTTTCCTCGCCTTCCATCTCTATGGCCTGGGTTCGATTCCTGCCCTGGTCCACTGTAGATTGGATATTCAGTCCCTACTCGATTCCGTGGGTTTCCCTTAGAATATTCTCCTGGGGTTTTCCTCCCACCTCTCTATAACCGTAATACCTCCTTATTTTCTTCTCTTTTACAGGCTTCTTCAGGCTTACGAGCGACACTGCCTAGGGCGCTTTTGAAGAGGAATACTTGGTTTCATTACCAGAAATATATAACAAAATATTAATGGCTGCGGAGTGTTAGATTCTCATGGATTCAGACTGATGCCTTGTTAGATTTACTTAGTTATGGTCGATGTAAATGTACTGAATATCTCTCTGTCAATTCCAAGATTGGTAATGAACAGAAGCCCTTTGTTCACTTACTGCATATGCCTGTGTAAGTCTCTTTGTTTCATCTCTGAGGCGAGACGTGTCAGTGTCGTATCTGTCCCTCAGACGTGAGTGCTTCTCAGAGATATCTTTTAAATTCATCTGGTGAAAGGGGAAAAAAGTAGGTAATTAAATAAAGTGATTGTCTGTACACACTCGAAGTCACTTGCATATCTTCAACAATGCTTTAATCATACAACCCAGTCTGTCAAGGTGGACTTCCTTCAATTTTAACACTAAAATTCATGAAAGATCAACCAAATGTGTAAAGCTCAACAAAACGTGTGAAACAGAGGCATGTCAATGGTCAAGGATGGTAAAAAAGAGGGCATCAAAGTATGAGCTTTTTCAAACAAAAGAACATACCTGTAAACGGAATTCATTGTTCTTCGATTCTTCTAGGATCTTATCGGGCCCAGTCATGATGCCGCGAGTTTTAAACACCACTTTCGGACATTGAGTCCATGAACTCTTCATAGCCTTCTTCCTGTCGGTGTAACATTTTAAAGCATTGTACAGCTGTGTGTATTTCCTCCACAGGTCATTATACTTTTCGGTGGTGACCACGCTGCCGGGGGAGTTTCCTTGATTACTTGGAGTTGCACCAGATTCTCCATTTGTATTGTTACTGGTGGCAGAGGCGGCAGTATTGGTGTCAGCGGTGGGATCGGAGGTGGGATTACTTATGTCAGAAGGTTTGTCCGAGTCAGCTGGTTCATGTTGGCGTTCTACACCTTGATTTGGATTGTTTGCGAAGCCAGAGGCCGTGTCTACGCACGTCCCTTCATCTGGTACGGGGTTCGAATCCAGCAAGGATTCAAGAACACTTTCCACATCCAAATCTTTGTTGCAGTCGTCGTTGCCGTCAATGCCATTCTGTTTGGGCACAGTGGGCTGATATTCATTCTCTTTTAGCCTGAGAGGGGCTCCAGAAACATTCTGCGAGTCCCAGTATTCAGTAGACATCTCGCTTCTGAGAGAGCTCAGAGAGGATTCCCCGCTCGTGCTGGACGAATAAAAACCACTCTCGGCACGATCAGCATTGCCAGTTTGAGTAACAGGTTGCAATTGTAATTCCGTGGGCTGTTCTAATTCAACAATCTTACATTCTGGTTTAACACTAGGGACATTAGGCTGAGTTGCCTCTTTCTTATCAGTCGATTTAGAGTCTGTATCAACAACATTCCTAGCAGAATTTGGTATAAAGGCTCCAGTATCGGCTATAAAAACAGAAGCTGAAGAGGCACGGCTCTTAGCCTTCGACTTGGGACTGGTTTTGGCAACGGGTAAATTTTTTGCTAAATGGGCAACATTCTTATCGCGTTCTAGATTCTCTTTGAGCGATTTGTCAAGTGAAAAAAATGAATTCAGAATGCCTCCCTTGGTGAGAATCATAGTCTGGATACCTTTTGGTTCTTTCTTGGGTTCTTTCTTGGGCGTGTCCGCTTGAAACCGTTCTTCTAATTTGCGTTTCCGCTCCTCGTATTCCTGATCGTCTGAGATATTTTTACGCATCTCTAATAATGTTTGTTCATGCTTTTGTCGCCGTTCCTCTTCAATCCTCTTCTCCTCACGTTTTCGTTCCTCTTGAAGTCTGGTAAAGTCTAAGATTGTCTGCTCATTTCTGAGTCGCCGCTCGTGATCGAGTCTTTCTTCCTCACTGAGTCTTTGGGCTTCTTTGAGACGCTGCTCCTCTTTGAGGGACTGCTCAGCTGCACGCTTTCGCTCTTGTGCGAGTCTCTGGAATTCTAACATTTTCACATTTTTGCGTCGTTGCTCCTCCTTGACTCGTTGCTCCTCTTTGACTCGCTGCTCCTCTTTGACTCGCTGCTCCTCTTTGAGCCGCTGCACTTCTTTGACTCGCTGTTCCTCTTTGACTCGCTGCTCCTCTTTAAGTTTATCCTCTTCCTTGAGTTTATCTCCTAACTGCTCCAATTCTGCATAGTATTTGACACTTTCGAGTAACTTAAACGCCCCACACATTTCTGGGTTCTTGATAAAGGCCTGGCGAACGGCGTTACTGTCGGTGACATCTAGATCCTTGGCATCATCGTATCCTTTTTTAACGTCTTTCAGTACTTCCCGTTTGCGCCTCTCCCTCTTCTCAGGATTGTCTGCATAGAGTATCTCCAGCTCCGCCAGGCTATAATCCTTGGGGGCCTTGGCCTTCTCTGGCTCGGTGGCAGGTGCTGGCACTGACGCGGCACCTTGTTGCTTCTTTCCTTTCTGATGCTGAGTGGCATCCTCGGCAAGCACCGCGCCGATTGCGGGAAAGTCCTCGGGCTTCAAATTGGCCGTGGCATTGTTCCAACCAGAGGGACGGTTGGGAGTCTTGGGCTGGGGTGAGGCGGGCAAATTCCCAGCCTTCAGTGCTTTGCTTTCCTGCACCATCTCCTGGCACTTGTCTGTGTCTCTTAAGAGGCAAACGTAGTCCTCCACCATCCCAAAGACTGGAGATTCCAGGAGGAAAGCGCCAAGCCCACCGTAGCGGTGCACAACAGCTTGTAGGTCGGGCGGCATCTGTTGGAGCTCGTCGCCAAGGCGCGTGTCTGTGATGGGGACGGGACCAAGACGCTGCAGAAAATCTTCAAAGTGCCTAAGAAAACAAGCATCAAACACATGACAAAAGGCATCTAACTAGGTAAACTTTTGTAAATCATTTTCCATGTGATCAAAACATATTAAACTTCAGCAGGATTGAAATTTGCGACATTAGCCATGTCATACTTTCTCTCCACCAACTGAGCTAACCAACACTTTGTTGATAGTCTCTGAAACTTGCTGAGTGTCGAGCTGTAGCCAAGTTCTCACAAGTCAATTGCACATCGGGCAATAAGCTATTGACATAGGCCATCACATTTTGCCATTGTTCATCTTCTGTTACTTGCGATTTGACTTGTGATGGATTGGACCACGGCTCTGCCAATCTGTAAAATGATCTTGTTCAAGAGGCGCTAGTTGGAAGCCATATAGCCCTGTATGTGTCATCTGGCCATGGATAATGCTTAAAGCTATAGTCCATCATTTGCAGCTATCCAAAAAAGTAACTGGCGTAATTATTGTTGAAAAACATACTGGTTGAAAGATAGTAAGGGGGCTAAACTCCCTGTGAAATTATCCTTTCTGGCAAGCTCTCATTTTGAAAAAATCAACAAAAGAAGGCATTTCCAACGGTGCTTCTTAAGAAGCACCGTAGGAAAATTTAAATTAGTTGTTTGTTTTGTTATTCGGCGCAGCGCGCACAAGCATTGGAACGACGCGCAGGCGCGCACGGTTGCTATAATTCGTCGGATCAGTGCGCGACATCGCGTAAAGCTGTAATTCAAAACAATTCGAAACATGATTTAGCAACTTTTGATTTTAAATTGAGATCCTAGAATGCTGTTTTTCTCGAAATATGAAGCTGAAGCTGAGCTGAAACTTCATCAGGTTAGTTGTTCAGTATCCTTCATTAGATTTTGAACACTTTTGTTGCTTCAAACGAACAAAATGCACTAATTACAAATGATGGACTATAGCTTTAACATGATGACAGGCTCAAATGATAGACGGGGTGGTGCAAGGTTGGTGTAGCGGTACAATAATGATCAAAAGGTAACAACTTACATGTGTAAAACTGTGATTTGGCTTTTTTCCTCCTCGGACTTGGCGCCGGCGATGGCGACTTCAGACAGCTGGGTCGGTCTGAAGACACTCTCAAAGTCGCTTGCTGCTTCTTTGAGATGTGCTGGCGTGGCAAACGGGTTGTTGGGGTCCAAAGCTGGGTAGGATCTGGCCCTAGAGAAAATTTGGTAACACAATATTAGGATAATAATACAGCCTCTACACCCTGGCAGGCATAGCCCCGCCAGACATCAGAAGATCAGCAGCCAGCATGAAGGAGCGTCAGCGACAGACAAATGACGAACGACATCCTATGTTTGGCCAGACACCAGCACAGAGTCGCCTGAAGTCAAGGAAGAGCTTTCTGAAATGTGTAACTCCTCTTGAGGATGACACAACAAGCGAGGCACGAGTCACCATGTGGGCAGACAGAAACAACAGTCTGCCACCCTCGGCAACCATGGGGCTGATGGCTAGAGAGCAACTACCACCTGGTGCAGACGCAAGCTGGGCAAAGTGGAAATGCCTCAACAGACTGAGAACTGGAGTTGGCAGAGCCAAGGTGACACTCAACGAGTGGGGATATAGTTCCTCCAATGACACCATGTGTGATTGTGGCGTAGAGCCACAAACTATGGAGCACCTTTTGAGATGCCCTCTTCTACAACACCCTTGCACAGCTGCCGACCTTGCCTTGTACAATGAAGATGCAGAGAAATGTGTTCGGCGTTGGCTGAACCGAATATAGCTTTGTGACGTGGACTCGATAAAAAGAAGGATAATTAACAATTGTTGACTGCTGTGATGTGGGATATGACTTTTTAAACACCCGAGGGAGGGGCCCCGAGGGTGTTCAAAATGTCATATCCCACATCACAGCGGTCAACAATTGTTTTGTTATAGCCTGTGTCTTGGATTCTTTGGATTTTGATGTAAAAAAGCAGGAAAACGAATAGCAGTAAACACAACAATCATGACAATCGAATGGCAACTCACAGGCATGTTGCGTGCTAGAAACAGATGATCGTCTGCTAATTCACTACTCACATTCGTATGTGGAAACATGGTGAAAATAGCATGGGTACTGACGATACAAGCGTTTCACACCGTACGTACCGTACGTACAGAGTCATTGCACGTGATATCCCACAGGGACTGTGCAATGACGTTTTATAAACTTCACACATGATCTTTCTAGGCCAATGTAGCCTTGGTCAAGGCGATAGTTGTTATTCATCCCAGCCGTAGCGCGGTAAACGATATCCTCGCTAGCGCTATGCATGCGGTGCATTAAAAATACAGTGCGAACAGCGACCTCACGCGGCCACCATTTCTATGCAAATCAGTTGGACCCAATCTAGCGCCTTGGTTCAATCGTCGGCAAAAGCTTATGTTTTTCTTTATTTTGCGCTGGATTTCTAGCGCACGACCTCGTATGCGAATAGAGATAAGTGTAGGCGGGGCTAATGTGGAGTGTCCAATCACACCTTGGTATATCCAGACGTCATCAAATTATTTGCAGCTATTCGCCTTTTGCAGACGTGACAGGAACCACAGTTTTTGTGCATCGGGGCCGTGTGCAGAGACACACAACGTGTACGTGTATGGATTATGTGCGGTGCCACGTTTCACTATGCAAGTTTCCATGCAACGATCGACCAATAAGAAAACGACATTTAAGGTCAGCTAAGGCTATTAACATAATGAGCACCACCCCCAAAACCTCACATGGACGATTGAACCAAGGCGCTAGATTGGGTCCAACTGATTTGCATAAAAATAGTGGCCGCGTGAGGTCGCTGTTCGCGCTGTAATTTTAATGCACTGCATGCATAGACATATGACTGCATGCATAGCGCTAGCAAAGATATCGTTTACCGCGCTACGGCCGGATGAATAACAACTAACGCCTTGACAAAGGCTAAGGCCAATGAAAAAAACAGTTTTCAAGACAGAGGTATAACAATGGTACTTGTATAATGCAATGCTGTATACAATCTTCAATCTATCCAATTACAATAAATGGACTCAAGAAGAGTTCAAGTTACCCTGCTAGTTGCCCGTTGGCCTCCTCGGCATGCCCCGAGGAAAACCTCATGCGCTCCGCAGCGTCTGAGAACTTGAACTCGATGGGCATGGAAGTCTTGTCCTGAAGAGAAAAAAAAAATAATGGTTTTACTAACTAAACATTTACATACAGTGGACTGATACGAGTCATGCGAAACATTTAGGGTCAAAAGTGTGGTACTTTTCCCGATCCCCGACTCACGGCCAACTGACACACCTGAGCGAGCAGGACACACTACGAGCATCCCACTCCAACACAATGTCCAACAGACAACCAATCAGAATCTACCACCACAAGCACTCCCAATCCTAACGCAGCCTACTTAAGCAACAGCATCTCCAACTCTCCTCAGTCTCCTGGCGAGATGACTAGAGCAGGCTAGTCGAACTGTTGAGACCAAAGACAAGTTCTTTGAGAACTTAACCCTTTCCTTACCATGGGCGACTTTTGTCCACAAGAAGAACCCCCTGCTGGTTCCCATGGGCAACTTTAGTCGACCAGGAAACCACACACAGAACACCCTCAACACAGATATATTCACTACTTTTCAGAACGGCGGCATGTTGATATGTTTGGCCGTCCATACATCAACCATATACCAGCTGAAAGAGTGTTTTCGGATCGTTCTAATGGTGTAGTTTATTCATAGTGTTGCCATTACAAAAAAATGAGAAAAGTGCTTCAGAAGTATCCACGCACAAATTGAAGTATGCAGTGCCATTTGGTCATGTGATGAAATGGCTTGCAGTTTGATAAATGGAACCAGATGAACAAACAGGCATAACTTTCTCATATTTACACATATGGACTTCATTTTTACATCACATACAAGAGTAAGATTCAAGGAACAAACTTTACACACAACACCTATGATTTAAATCACTCCTTGGCAGTGAAAATCTGTGTTGAAAAAAGTGAGTTTTGGACTTGTGGTAATTTTGTTCACGCTCTAGTGATTTCCGCATGACTGAGCAAACAATTTGGTCCGGGGGAGAGCCAAGTCAATAAACAATGTGGTAATGAAAGGGTTAAAGCAAGACTGTTCTTATCAGAACAAGATCTTTGTATTCAGGTCCTTAAACTTCCTGAGACGCAGCCTCAAACATTTTGTCAAAGTCCGCAACTCACACGTCAAGTAATTAGGCTACAAATCTCTTGTAAGGCCTCTTTTTAATATGGAATACAGTTCAGTAGTCCGGGATCCGTACACAAAGAATCTTAGTAGTCAACTGGAAATGGTGCAGAGGCATGCAGCAAGATTTGTTTTGAATCGCTGTGATCAGACTTCAAGTGTTGGAGCAATGCTGAAATCTCTTCAGTGGCAAACCCTTGAAGATAGGCGTACAATAGCAAGACTCACGATGTTCTACAAAATTCACCGTGGTTTGGCTGCCGTCAACATGCCAATTGAGTCCAAGAATTTAGATGCTCCTACCCGAATAGAAAACTCACAAGCTTACAAAATCCCAGAGAATATTACCAGATGTCCTTCTTCCCCCGCACTGTATTAAAGTCAATGGAACAAACTTCCTGCATCTATTATAGAGGCTTGCAACCCTTCAAACTTTAAGCAGATTCTAACTACAAAAAAATAGTTAGTGGCCTGACGTTTTGACCCTAGCAGAGTCTTTCTCGAAGGCTGAATGACAAGACTATAAACATAAACAGGTACATGTATACATTACTGATGTAACAAAAGCAGTCAAGTGGAAATAGATGATGCAGAGGAAAATACACAGAGAAAGCAGGCGGCTGAACAGAAAGGAGGGTAACAAAAGGGAGGGGGATTGGGGGAAGGGGATGGTTGACCACAAGAGGTGGGGAACACAAAGGACAAAGTCAATGATGGGGAGAGGGAGAGAAAGGTAGTTAATTGGTGAATGAGGCAGACTGGAGGGGGGGGGGCTTATCTGTGGTGAAAAGGAGAAGGCAAAGACAAAAAGTTATTAGTCATTTCCTTCTTGGATGTTCAGACCATGGGGTTGAATGGTCTGGAGACGTCTTATCATATATTATTTTAATATTTGGTCAGATTCTAACTACTAATGGGTCTACAATGTCAACATAGTAGGGTCTACAATAGTAGGGTCTACAATGTCAACATAGTAGGCTACGCACTCCATCAGCAAGTTGCGAACCCAACAATGTGCCTTTAATAGTCTTCAACATTATGAAGTTGGCGCAGAACTTGGAAGAAGAAGAGGTCTACCAAATGGCTCACCTTTCCCTTCTTCTTTCGAGATTTGGATTTGACCGGCTTGTTCTACAATGAATAAAATGAAAACAGAGCAGCAAATTACAACATATGAATAATAACTCCAACAGACAACGATAAGCCATTTGCCAGTTAAATTTGAATAAAATCTGGAACGCTGACTTAATCGAATGCTTTGCACGTTTTTACTTTGCATTCTCCCGACCAAACTATATCACGTGATTCGGGGCAAGCCTTACGCTAGCAACCCCCAGCTCCGGCATGGTCTGGTGTCTTTGTGCCATTCTCACCCATTGTGAACAATGTATTGATGCTTAGCGTGTCCTACGTAACTATGCAAGAGCTTGCCCCGAATCATGTGATTAGCAACAGTGTCTTTGGTCTGGAGAATTCAAAGTTAAAATGTGCCAAGCATTCTGAGCAAGTCAGTGTACCAGATGTTTTTCAAATTGAAATCCCAAAGGGTATAGGTCACTGGCAAAGTGGCTTATTTTAATATGTGGTCTTTATTTTGAAATATAGCAGTGTCTTATAACTTTAACAAGGAAGTTGAGCCCTGCTGCAATTAAAATAGTCCTCTTTACTGTTGTGTACATACATCGTCACCGTTTTCACGAAGAGCCACATATGTCAAAAATTACAATTTTTCCGATTTTGATTTTTTTTTCAATATTTTGCTTTAAAACAAAGTACTTAACCATGTTGACATGTTTCTGTAAGCAAAACATAATTAATTTCCAAGTAACATTAATGTTGCAAGGGGCCGAAATCTCGATAAATGCATTTTGAGTTTTCACGAAGAGCCACATACATTTTGGCCATTTGCACGGAAATACGTAAAACTAGGTCAAATGAGATTTGCGTTTTCACGAAGAGCCACATATCTTTGTTACATTTTCAGCTGTGCGCGCGTACTTACGCGCGCCTATGGAAATACACGTTGAACAGAAAGGGCCAATGTGTCGGAAAACTGAATTTGCGTTTTCACGAAGAGCCACATATCTTTACTACTTAATTTTCACTAATTAACTGCTATATTAAGTCTTATTACTGGGCTCATGTAAAAAATTCAGCTCTCGTAGAATCGTGGGATGGTTTCCTTGCTGCACAAAGTTGTTGCAAAGTGGTATTTTTTGCAGTTTTAAAATATGAGACATGTAACAGCTAACATAAAACCTGATGCCCCATAGTACATGTAGTAAACTGTGCCTACCCCCCGGTATGCAGACCCGAACACGTCAACACTGATTTATATATCAAGACTGAAGCATGAAAGTTCACTATTATAAAAAAAAGGCACTTCATTCAAGATTTTCTGTGATATTAGTCCATGGTGTTTTTATACACGCTCAGGGGCAAATGGCACCCTTGCCTTACAATTTCCTCCCCTCGGGAGTACCATTTGCACCCCTCAGAGTTACTATTTACACCCCTCGAGGTCACCATTTGCACCCCTCGGGGTTATCATCCGCTCCCCTCGGGGTTACCACTTTCACACTGTTGGGTTACCATTCGCACCACCCAGGGTTATCATTTCCACCCCACAGTGATATCATTTCCACCTCTCCGGGTTACCATTTGCACACCTTGGGGTTACCATTTGCACCCCTCAGGGTTCCTCTGGGTTACCATTTGCACCCCTCAGGGTGACCATTTACACCCTTCAGAGTTATCATTTGCACCCCTCGTGGCAACAATTTGGCTTTCACCCCTTTAAGGTTACCATTTGTACCCGTCGAATTGACTATTTTCACACGTTGGGTTACCATTTGTACCCGTCAGCGTTACCATTTGCATCCCTCAGAGTTACCATTTTCCCACCTACAGGTAACCATTTACACTCTTCAGGGTAGCCATTCGCACCCCTCTGGGTGACAATTTGCACCCCTGCTGGGTTACCATTCCTACCCCTCAGGGTTACCATTTGCACCCCTTGGGGTACTAAATCACAGCAGACCATTGTGTGGCGCGTGTGTGACTCACCACAGGTTCCTCCTCAAAGTCATCCTTCTTCAGGACGTATTGTGCGTCGACTGGCACTTCATCTTCATCCTCCTCATCGTCTTCTTCATCGTCCTCGTCGCCGTCCCCGGTGTTGAAGCTGGCCACGGAGGAGGCGTCCCCAGCGGGTGGGCGTGGCAACTCCAACCCCAGCATGGTTCCGTGGTCATCCTCCGCTCTCTTGTTTTGGTCTTCAGTCTCGTTCTCCTCGTCTGCTTGGCTTTTCTCCTGATGCTTCAGCTTCTTGGCGGGGTCCTGTTTATGTGACTTGCGGCTTTTCTTAGCTTGCTGCTTGCTCCTTGAATAACGATAGACATGAGTTGTCGTCAGGATATGTCATGATTCATCACAAGTCAATCACAACACAATCAACGAGTCAATTAAAACCATAGAGCTATATTAAATTACTAGAGCGCTAACCCTTCATTCTTGCGCACGGAGACGCTTTGAAGCCGCTCTGGGCGCAGACATTTTGAATTTATGTGCGTGTTTGTAGAGCACAGTCAAAATAGATAGATTGAATTTTAAAAGTGTACTCTAAATGCAACGCGCAAGTAGCAGATACGCAAACAACTTAAGCGCATCATGACGTTCAAAAAACGTCACGGTGAAAAGCATCTGCAGCGAAGGGACACGCACACGTTACGTGTTTGCGTAGAACAAAATGAAACGCTCATTTGCTGATCGTACGTTTCGGTTTTGGGCGTATCGGCTTCGATGACGCACCGGTATGGAATACAAAGGCAGATATGCAAATAGCCGTACAAAAGCCGTGAACAATTTTGAGTTTTCCCATAGGTTTGTGCACAAACATGGATGTTGCCATCAGGCATCACTTTGTACATCGAGTTAGTGCTCTAGTATTTTAATATAGCTCTATGATTAAAACTGAAACACGTCAAATCACCATCATTCACAAGTCCACTGTCTCATGTAGAGGAAAAACATTTTAAAATGAACTTTTCTTTTCTCTGTCAATGTTCCTGCCCACTGACTTGACTTGTGACCTGATCCGTGAGCGCTTTAATTTCCACTCAGTCAAAAGAAGACATTGTCGGTAAAGTCTCGCTTCCAATATTAGTGATGGTTTTGCGTAGTGTACAACAAGTAGGCCCTTAACTTTTACAAGTAGTTCTTTGCGTAAACTGTTCTGTTCCAAATTTACACTCCATAAATTTAGTCCAAATCACGACACAATGGAATATGGATTTATCTTTGTTCACTTCAAAACAAGTGGGGGAATGTAGCCTAGTTTTTAGGGTTCGCTGGTGACTCATGATCAGAGGGTCAGGGGTTCGAGTCCAGCTGCTGGTCATACATGTATGTTGTGTCCTTGGGCAAGCCACTTCACTTGCCTCTCTCCACCCAGGAGTATAAATGGGTACCAGCATTAGCTGGGGAGTAAGCTACGATGGACTAGAATCCCGTCCAGGCGGAGTAGACATATTCCCAGTCATTTCATGCTACTGAAACCGAACATAAACATTGGCTTTTACTTCTTCTTTTAACTTTCAAAAAAAAATTTAAAAAATGTAATGATGCATGCTGAACGCCGCAAGTTCGGTCTTCAATTCACTGATTTACATACATAAGGAAATTACCATAAAGCCATCTATGACCTGTCGCCACAAAAGGAGTTCAAAGTTGCAAATTGCCATTTTAGGGAACAGCGGGCTAAAATTTGAAAGGGGATTGCTTACTTATTTATTATTATGGTTTGTTTGGATTTTCCGGTGAACCTCAATACATGTATGTAATTCCAGCTCTACCATTTGACATTATTTTGTTCAAACATCTTTAAAACATTTGTTTGATCCTGTTTTAAAAGTTGGTTGTTCATTCACCGCAATACAACAGCACAGGGTTACAAGTTTCTGATAAAAAAAACTAAGGTTTTACAACTTCAATCATGTTGGCAGCCGTTATATCCGTCACTGAACTCAGTATCCGCTACACCATTAGACAACTCTTGTACTGTAGAATCCAGAACAATGCCGTACATATCCCAGTGATTAACCCTAACTCCCTAGTGTCTTTTACTAAGTACTGGACCAAGTCCGCCAAAATCCATCACTGACCCTGCTTCACATAATGTATCAGACATGTCAGAAGCAAATAATAAATAAGTAAGCAACCCCCTTTCAAATTTTAGCCCGTTGTTCCCTAAAATGGCAATTTGCAACTTTGAACTCCTTTTGTGGCGACAGGTCATAGATGGCTTTATGGTAAATCCGCTGAAATCCACCACAAGACCACCACTACTATAGGTGGATTTTGATGGACTTGGTACTCATGGCTTGCCTACCAAAGTCCCTAAAATGGGGAATGGATTTTGATGGATTTGGTGTGGTTAGGGTTAAAAAGTCAAATTTTGAGAACATTTTTTTGTGACCGGTCACAGTTCACTTTCTTACATCACTCCTTTGTTCTTCTTCTCCTTCGTTTTGACAGCCTCTTCCAATTGTTGCTAAAAAAAAAATTAAAAAAAAAATTACACTCTTTATAAATGCTATCTATGTACTTACTGAAGCAAACGCCAAGCTTCTTTGGCTATCCTTCTCTTGTTTTAGGTAGGTGAATATCCGACATAATTTATCAAATTCAGTCAGATCTTGATGACAAGTCAAAATTTAGTGTTGACAGTGTGATTAAAGGGAATATAAATCATTTGCTTTTGCTGTAATTTTCAGAAATGGATGGAATTGGGGGGTTGGAAATATATAGCAAATATAGTTACACTGACTTTTTGGAGGTTTTGGGTTCGAAAATGCTATAAAAACCAAGAAAAACAATCATTTTCCTGTAGTCTGGTTCCTTGACTCCATATAAGAAGAAACAGAGCAGTTTACATACATTGGGGAATTGTAAGGTCAGGGAACCAGTCTAGCTGGCTTGTACCCGTTCATAGGTGTGTAATCGATTGCAAACAAGTGCGATGGTCAATTGGGGCCCGTATTTGAAAAAAAAACAGTTTTTTCCAACGCTGGTCGGCCGACCAGCGTTGGAAATTGATACAAAAATACCACTTTTCTTAAAAATGACAGTATACCAGGTGCCATGATTTTACAGGATGCTTTACACTGTCATTCACTAACAGTCCAGCAAGGTATTTCAAAATGATTTGGTAGTTTTATTTTTTGATGTTTGCAAATGTTGTACTTTCCCTTTAAGAAAGACAGGTTTCACTTAACAGAAAATCAAATGTCCGTCAGAAAATTTACACAATTCAATCTGTAGTAGAAAGATCCTTGGTTAATATTTTTGTTCTGTAACAATATCCTTACAGTGAAATGTCCACTTCAAATATTTGAATTCAAATCAATTTATCGCCGAATCATCCCCAACGGGTGCCAGTTCAAAAGAAAATATCTCAATGTCCTAAAATGGCTTCCACCTGTCTTGACTTTGATGCTAGCTCATAAGATGTAAACAAGTTGCGTGATTATAATAAGGGAATAAATGTGTGCTCCGGAGGTTTTTATCACTCGTTTAATACCGCTTAGAGTCTGGGTGCTGATAATTACCCGAGCCGGAGGCGAGGGTAATTATCAACACCCAGACTCTAAGCGGTATTAAACAGAGTGATAAATACCGACCGAGCACATATTTATTCCCATTCATAAATACCTTATCCGTAAAAATATATCAAATAATTCGTTCAAAAAATCCCGATTTTGTTCAACAAGTTCACTTCATGCTTTTTGAAACATCCCTCTAGCAAAATAATGGAGTGTTCAGCTGGCGAGTAAGATGTAAACAACCCTTTTATGGAGATTGACGCGCGCGTAACATGTTCTGCGCGATGTCACGCAGAACGCACCTGGGGCGTTGCGTTTTGAATTTAGAACTATAAAATTCTGACTCGCTTGTAGTGTTGCGCATGCCTACGTGAGGATTGTGAACGTTCAACCAATGAAACGGTAAGAGGCACTGGTTTTTTAGGAGTCCACATTTTATTGTGACACTAGAAAAGTGTTTAAGACCAGCTAGCCATGTCGTCATGTCTTTATCATCCGTTTAAGACCGGCCACGTGACGGGCTCTCGACCAATAGGAATAGCTAAACTGTCTGAGGTATTTATGAATATGGAATGAAGTAAACTGATGCAATAACATATTAAAATCAACTAACCTCTGTTTTGGGCAGTCCATCTGGGCCGTAGATAGTCACACTAATGTAGACGCCATCACAGTCCGGGGTGCGACAATTCTTTGTCAAGAGCTCCTGCAACGAAAAACATTTAATAAATAATATTATATAACCGACATACAGATCCTTATCATTTGATTGGTGGAACTCACATCACGTGGCATTCGTTATTGCTCCCATTCATGCCGTGGCTCAAAAAGTACTATCCGCCCATGGGGAATGGGAAATACTATTCAACAGTTAGGATCATGACGCGGTATTTGTGTGCAAATGCATGCTGGTGTGCGCGTTCAGCGTTGTGCGTAGCGCGTATTGTTCCAAAGAGCCAGCGCTACAGCGTTGGGTTCAAACATTTTCATGAAAGGGTGGTTTGGAAGAGAGAAATACATTTTCCTCCAGTTTTGTATTGAAAAAAGTTCAAATATATCAAATGACAAGGATCTATATGTCAGTTATATAAAACAAATATTGAGTGGCTTTAAATTGTGAAATGGGAGGAATATTATCGCTCGGTAAAATCTGGACTTTCCCAGTTCACTCGGCTTCGCCTCGTGAAATGGAAAAGTCCAGATTTTACCTTGCGATAATATTCCCCTCCCATTCCACGCTGAGCCACTCAATATTTGTATATCGATACCTCTCTGATGAACAGAAAACTTGAATATCGGCTTGTAAAGAGAAACGTGATTCATTTCTGTAAATTACAAATGTCATGTAATTCACTAACAAATGTGCCAAGAAGAGCCGATATGGGTGTGAAACTTCCCCGCCACAAAACAAACCCTGTTGAACGACCTCTCTGACATTTTTTTTTATTTTTTATATTTTTTAATTTTTTTTTAAATGTTATTACACTCGTAATGCTTGTACAGTTCTTTGGGTGAAACTTGTTCTATGGGATGAAGTAGATCCGTAGGTCGAGTAACTCTTACCCTCTGATGGGTGACGTCGGGGTACTCCTCTGCCTTAATCTTCTTCCAGCAGGCGATGTGGTAGTCCATGTGACACCTCTCCCTACACTGGACCTTGACGTAGCCCTTGAAACCCACGTCGGTCAGGTACATCTCCGGCTTGTAGGGGCAGGAGTCCAGGCGACAGACGGCGTCAGGGGACGGGGGGTTACGGCAGATGTCCTCCAGCTTCTCCAAGGCAATCTGGGTTTGAACAAGGTTGAACAATGAAACAAAAACTGCCGGTGGTACCACGCTTACACAACCCACATAATGTTCCCAATTTTTGATAATGCCGGTTTTGACTACCTCCCTTTGCTTCGTTCATTTTCTTTGTTGTTTTCAACAGTCAGAATACACAATAAACTGCTTTTTCTTTTGACGAAACAGGTTTGAGGGTCATTGCGTTTAAATGGTGATATTCTTTAAACGGCTTGAGCAATTTCAGTTATTTTTTTATCTAAAAGTAGCTTATGAAATTGGCTTTCCAGTCATAATTACGTTTGGTGCTAAATATTTGATTAAATATGAAATATACTTTTGGGGGTTTGGGTTCCGCTTTTTTGACTCACCCTGTATGTGGACATGCATATCCTGCCTTGTGTATTTGTGTTTTGTTTGGCTTTGCTTCTCTTGTTAGTTGTTTGGCTTTGCTTCTCTTGTTAGTTGTTTGGCTTTGCTTACCTTGTTTGTTTGTTTGTTTTTTTTTTTCTTTTTTGTATACATATGTTGTTATGTTCTGTGTGCTTGGGTCTGTCTATCTATTTGTTGTGAATTTTTTTTCTGTTGATAATGTGCTTGTGTAAAAATGTACTGCTGCAGTTGAAGAGCCTCTCGATAAGCTTCTTTTTAAGCTTTTTAGCCAATACTGCAGGCCTGCATATGGTACAATTTAATGTAATTAAATCTAATTTCTTGTATTTTAGTTTTGTGTACCTTTGCCCTTTGTAGTTTGTCCTTTTGCTCATTTCCCCTTTGTTGTGACTTTATTTTACTGTTATGGTTTTTAATATTTATATATTTAACTTGTCATGTATTTTGATGTTGCCTTAAATATTATCCTGTAAATAAATAAATAAATAAATAAATAACCAGGGACCAGTACTTTTGCAACTGTCACATAAAATGTTCCAGTACATGTCATACGCATGAACACTCATGTCAACTTTCTGTGGGAAATTTATCACTACCGTGATTGGTCAAAACATCACAATACGGGGCTCCATGGATAAGTCTTTATCAAGTGCATGAGTTACGCCCAAACCTTCATCTGTCCTTCCTCCGTTTCTTTGATCTTGCGCCTCGTGCCGGGCCAGGTTTCCACGACGATGGGGAAATGCTCCACCATGTGCCTGGCTTTCTTCAGTGGCTCAAACACCTCACTGAACCTGCACATTTCAATTAAAACAAAAGCAAAACAAAAAATGGTCATCACTACAGAAATTCTCACAAGCCCATTCTAACAAAACAAATATCTTTTTCAAATGAATCACAAAGGGAAATTGTTATAATTCAACTAGACAGTTTTCCCTTTGTGGAAATAAAAAGCCATATCCTCTCTGAGTGATCCTCGTTTGCTATTTCCTAGGTCTGTATCGTGACTTTGGGTGTGATCCCTGGCTACATGGCATATACGGGTTTATGGCTTCTGACTAACGCCCCTTGAACAAAGATATTGACAAATTGGGAACTGCCAACATAGGGCTGGATAGCTCAGTTGGTAGAGCACCGGACATGCTGGAACGGTGATCCGGAGGTCGCAGGTTCAAGCCCCACTCCAATCAATTTCTTTGTTCAATTCTTCTCTAAAAAATCTTAATCGAAAAAGTTTGAGGCCTGACATTTTCACACTAGCAGTGTTGTTCTCAAAAGGAAAAAAGGAAAATGCATCATGTTGAATATATGCACAGCATACTGAATCTAAAATGCATTTAGCGATTGTTATCAAATTTGGCACACTGGGAGAGACTGTCATGCCTAGTACCGGTATAACTGCAAAGTTTCAGCTAAAATCGGACAAAGGTTTTGTAATAACAGTTATTAATATACTTCTATCGGCAAATCAGTGCTATTTCCTACACACGGTCGGGGGAAAGCACAATTTTTTTTAATATTTAATGTCAAATAATTGATGTTTCTCGTGAACCCTATTGTATGATTTTTCTGAAAATTGGTCTCAACACATCTGTGAGACATCACTTTACCTGTATATATTCCTACACACATTTGTAAAGGCTTGGCATGAACCCAAAAAACCAAAATAAAATGTATCAGCCTTTTTAGGGTTAAGGCTAGAGACAAAAAGAGAAAGTGCAAACTGACAGAATCAAATAATGAGAGAATGGTTCTGAAAAGAACCAGAGGTATAAACTTGACGTTCCGGTCAGTATTTTGATGTTGCCTTAAATGTTATCCTGTAAAAAAATACATAAATAAATAACCAGGGACCAGTACTTTTGCAATTGTCACACTGAATGTTCCAGTACACGTCATACACATGAACACGCATGTCAACTTGTTGTTGGAAATTTATCACTACCGTGATTGGTCAAAACATCACAATACGGGGCTCTCCTTTAGGCACTCTCCTGGAGACGGTCAGAGCATACTGACCGGAACGTCGAGTTTATACCTCTGGTTCTTTTCAGAACCATTCTCTTAGTTGAGAAATTATTCGCACATGGTGTTTCCGCAAACCTTTCATTATTTAGTATCTCCACCATGCAAAGCCTCAAATCTTACTTGACAGAATCAAAGCCAAACCACTTACTTGTTTTGTTTGAACAGTGCATAGCTGAGACCGTAGCTGGGAAGCGGGGAGCGGATTCTGCTGTGGTCCTCCAGAATCATCTCGAACTTGTTGGATGCGTCAAGAATCTCCTGCAAAGAAATTTACATTCAATAACAGTTATATGCGGCGCTTCATATCAAAACCAGTCCCGGAATCATTAACCCTTACCTTCCCAAATCCTCCAAAATCCTCCTTGCATACATGCAAGTGGAAGATTTTGAAGGATTGAGGCTATATGTCAAAAATGTGTGGCTGATTTTGGAGGATGCACTGTGTCAAGGTCTGGGGCCGGACCATGTGTTGTTTACGCTCAGCTGTGCATAAATTTAGGCCTAGATTATACTTGAAATCATCCGCACTGCTCCAGGATGTCACTGGCTCTGCCTCAACATATTGACAGTGAGGGTTTTGCAAAATTTTCTTCTTATGGTCTTTTCTCTACAATTTTTTTCAGGCTTTCGAGCTACAGTGCCTACCTGGGCACTTTTGAGGAATCCTTGGTTTCATTACCAGATATGCCAAAAATGAATAAATAAAATCAATACATCAAACCAGTGTTAAATGCAATATCAATGGAAACACATCCAACAAGCTTGAATTCCATCGGCAGTTTTGGTCATACAGTTTTATATTATTATTATTATTATTCTGGTTTATTCAGATAAAACACAAGGTAGGCAGCCACAGAAAAGTGTCGCTGATATAACCACGTTTACACTTCACAGGAATTTAAAATGGTTGAATAGCAGTTAAAAGGAGTAGAAGCATAAAATAACAAAGTATAGGATCATGTATACAGCACAAAACAGCACAATATTAAAAAGAAAAAGATTTATAAACTTTTTTTTAAAATTCAAAATTGAAGACAGATTATTCAGGGAAGTTGGTCTAATAAGAAGTACTCACTTGCACCTACATTGTAAACAATTCAGAATTACAAAAGTTCAGCTAAGACAGGAATTGTAGACTTCATGTATCTATCAGTTTTGCACTTGGGTACAACTAGCGTAGACGTGGAACTGTCTCTGAGTAATCTGGTAGTGGTTTTATTCAATTCAAGAGGGGGGAGCATATTTCTAAATCTGGGGGAATGTAATAGTTTGGTGCCAAAGTTATACATTTATTGTTTGAAGAATCTCACCTCATCAATGCCGGATTCCAGGCAGGCCATGCCGTAAGCATACAGGAACGTGACATAGTCCTCCTCACACAGACCCCCATACTGTCAAAGAAATATTAGAATCGGTCAAAATTCCAAAAAAAGCTATTTCACCAAACAAAACTGTTTTGATTCAAATGATAGGTTTTGCCCTTCACCGACGTTTAAACACTGTATACTCAGTGTGTTACCTCCCGAGTGAAAGTTGGGGAAAAATCACTCGGGTGGGACTCAAACCCACGACCTCCTGCTTTCCAGTGAATAGCCATTGTGAACTAATTGAATAGAAGTTGGGGTGCTTGGAAGCCAGATTTCTGGTTTGCTATTGTCTAAAGTTACCTCTAGAGCTGAATTGGTGATGTAGTCCGTTGCCTGCTTGTAGTACACGAAGGCCTGCCGGCCACGCTGCTCCAGTATGGCCTCAGAGCCCAGGTGGAGCAGCCTTTCCAATTCACTCTCCTGACGCTTTACAACCTATTAATACAAGACACAACAGTGGACGGGCTAAATAGGTACAGCGTTAAGATCATCTACCCAAGGAGATGTAGGCTTACAGTTCATTGTTGCATAACATTACATAACAATCAAAGAGAAGTAGAGCTAAAGCCGGCCTCAGGTCGACCCTGCGACGACACAGATCAGTCGGCGACTGACTTTTCAGAATCAAGCTGCGTCTGAGCTACGACTGTCGGGAACAACTCAGTCGCCGATTTTGTGCGACCTGAGTGCAACTGCCAGGATATTACAACGATCGACATCAGTTGGCGCGAATAATAAAATCACCAGTTGCAAGAGTAGAAAAATGTCAACATCTGCGATGTGTTCCATGCCATCACACGATTTCTCAGTTTTGTGACCCGAGCGTAATTTTTGTGCTGGATGCCAGCGGTTCCGTCGTGGCGCAAGCAAATCGCGGGTCGACCTGAGGCCGGCTTAACAATCCTTGTTTGGAGTGTGTTAATATTTCGTCTTCAAATCAAGCTCAGATAGCTTTACACTGTCATTCACTAACAGTCCAGCAAGGTATTTCAAAATGATTTGGTAGTTTTATTTTTTGATGTTTGCAAATGTTGTATTTTCCCTTTAACAATCCTTGTTTGGAGTGTGCTGATATTTCGTCTTCAAATCAAGCTCAGATAGCTGAGCTCAGTCAAGCCGATGGAATGAATACCTCCGTGGACAAACAGGTTTCGCACATGAAATGTTCAAACAACCAGAGCTCAGACACAAAATATACAACAGCAACAATTTGTTCATCACTTACGCTTTAAGGCCAGTACAATTAGCTACTAATCGAAAGTATAAAATAATTTTTAAAAATAGGTGAAAATTGCTGTCCAAAGTGGATTTCCTTTATTTGGAATCACCCTGCATTATGAATTGTTACGAGAGTCTAGGAGATGATATGCAATCAAGTCAAATGAGTCGTTTGTCGACCCTGGTCAACATTTTTATTACTACAGATTTGAAAAGAGCACAATCTCAGCATTACTTCTGTGAAAACCGCATGCTGACACCACCTTTAGTTAAGAAATTATGGAAGTCGGAACACCAAGAGATGTGATGAAGTGATGTGATGAAGTGGCCCTATTTTGGCCTGTATCTCCAAATGAAAATTCCCGACAAACGACTCATGTAGCTTGATTGCATCACATAGGAAGCGATGGTTAGGACAGGAATTTCCACTTACATTCATTTGCTCATCCCCCTGTCTCTTCAGCTCCGCCTCTCGTCTCTTCCTCTCCTGCTGCTTGGCTCGCTCCTTCCGTCGGGCTTCGTCTTCCTCCTTCTGCCTATCCGCCTTCTGCTTCCGGGCCAGTCGCTCAGCCTCCTCCTTCTCTTTGTTCTCCTTCTTGATGCGTCTCCTATCTTCCTCCTCCTGGCGTTCCTTAGCGGTGGTCTCTGGGGCCTTGACCAGGGCCTTGGGGATCTTGATCAGGCCTGTGTTGTCGTCCAGGGCCATCAGGTTCTTCTTGCGTAGCTTGGCTTTCTCCTCTTGGACTTTTTGCTTCTGTTTTTCCACCTTCTTGGTTTTCTGTCATATACAGGTATTGAATCAAAGTTGTTCACTGATTTAAACAATACTTTGTTTTTTTAATGAAAGATTTTTGAAAACGTAGGGTAGATACACCATGTACACAGGACTGAAGCCAATAGGGGGGGGGGGGCAGGCTGACGTCATCCGATGAAAACATCGAGTTAAGTTTACACACCAGTTTTCGTCAGTTGCTATGTGTTACCATTCAGCACTCCAGACTCAAGAACCACTGACTTTCAAGAACTTACCAATAGGAGCTAGATAAGCCAATGTAAAATATTCCCGTAAGTCCAGGCCCACCAACAAGGCAGAACTCCTTCTTTCATGTTATTTGTTTACTGCCCCCAGCAGTAATATCAACTTTTAGACAAAATGGGGCATGCGGACCTTGATGCAGGACATGAAGAAACAGCTCTCAAAAGTAACTATTTTTATGACCTTATTCCTACAATGTACATCATAGTAACTAAAAAATGACAGATGTCTTCTTCAATTCAAGACCTTATTTTAAATATTCAGAATCTTTCTAAAAGTAATATCAAAGCACTTTAAAAAGAATAACCATTAATCACAGAGGAAAAAATCAATCATAATAATAATGTGTATTTATAAAGCTCCCATTTCCACCAATATCGGTGCTTAAGGCGTTAATATTATCCTGCTCATTGGGCCAATGAAACAATCCAAATACCATCTCAGCTCCCTGGGGAGTATACAGCTCAATGCTGCCATTTCAGCGCAACGCAGCTACAATCAATCACAATAAACCATCTCTGCCCTCACACGTGCCCTTCTACATTCATGTACTCCTGGGTTGAGAGAAGCAATGACCGACAAAGTACTACGTGTACCTTGCCCAAGGGCACACACACCATAGCCCCAGGGTGGACTCGAACCCACAACCTGCAGAATTACCCGCAGCTAGACTAGACCACAAACTCAATTCATCCAGACCGCGAGGCCGCGGCACTCCACAACCGGCACTCAACAGCACTCCATAAAGAGAGAAAAACCTAAGAATGTTTTAATCCTAAAGTGCTGACAATGGCTGAGCATAAAGATTCTGCCATATGAGTTTTTTGTGAGTCATTTGCAAATAACTCCAAAACCTCTGACAAAGGAGTTTCTAAATTTAGGGTAACATTTGGATGCAGAGTTTCTCGATTGCTGACTAAAATCTTGGACGAGAACTTAAAATGGAAAGAACCACGGACCCTGCACAAAAAATGCACAATGGCCTTGTTCAGTACAGGAAAATCACCAGAACGTCCATGACTAGAGGGAATAGCTAAGGAAACTGTCGTCCATGACTGCTCTCGGCTCAGCTGTCAGGCAGGAAAAGACAGACGTAAACCACTCCAAATATTAACTTCGGGGAAAAACCAAACAGTTGTAAACGATTGGGGTTTCAAAGACGAATGCATGCTGTATAAAATGGCATACATTGTACAATAAGTTCACTAAAACCAACACCACTAAAACCAAAACTCCCTGTTGCCTCATTTGCTTCCGGCTCCCAGCAACTTGTAGACAAATGGACCATGCAGGCTCTCAACATAAAACCTTTTTATTATCTCATTCCGGATATAAATTGCACTTTTTATTATTACATGGTGTCATCGTACATGTAGAGGTCCAGCATGGAATTGCTTTCAACTGCAAAACAGAGCGGCGCCAGTTTATAAATTTGGGGTCCCTTCTTTCCTCATTGTCGATATCTGCCGACCCGCCAACAAACTTACCGTGGTGTCGGGCTCGTCCGAGGTTGCCTGGGAATAAGCGTGGGTGAAAAGCAGGTAACAACAATAGCCAGGGATGAAACAGTGAATCAACACCTGGCCGAAGATCACCACCACAACGTCCATGACCAGCGAATAGGTAATGAAGATGTCATCCATGACTGCTCGGCTCGGCTGTCAGGCTAGAAATGACTGACGCACTCCACTCCAAGCTGTGCTCGCTTTCAAGCACACGGAAACCGAAACCGTGTCATAAAATATCACAGAGGCCTGTTTTCCTCATAAGCAGAAACAATCACTTTCGCTACATGTATCACACAACACTTGCTTGAATGATACATCTTTATTTCAACATCTACATGTATTTATAACAAGGTTTTTGGAAGTCGCAAATTATATATTAGTTTCCACTGATTTATAAGTTTCCTTTTAGCTTGATACAATGTGTGTTTCCACAATGTAATGACAAAAAGTGAAAGTATAATGAAGTCCCTTTTTTTCCCCTTTTGCGACCGTGTGTTTAATACATGTAATAAGACCAATGTTTGTAAATCACAAAACTCAATCTATTTAGTTTCAGCTTATGTTTCGTTTAATTTATCGCTTCCTCCTTATCGTTTATCCAATTGGGGCCGGATCGGGTTTCTGTAATGACGCACAGTGTTCACCGAGCCGTGAAAGGCTTTGTGAAAGCGGTCACAAATTATCGGCACACTACGCACATTGTACGTCAATAAAGTGGGAAAGCAAGACAAGGCAGGCATAGAGGAAAGCTGGTCCCAAAGGGCAGAAAAGTCTATTCAAACGATTCAGAATGGCTGTTCATCGAAAGTCTTTTCATGGATACAGCCTGGGCCAAAAAAGAAAGAAAATAGTTTTGCTTCCGGTTTCCCTACCTACCCTATTCTGACAGCCCCTACCCTCATTTTCTATGGGAAAAAAAAAGAAAAAAACACCCAAAACCATGAATTTCTAAGTTTTACCACTGACTACACACAGACGCCTCCATATGATCGTACACAAAAAAAATTGGCAAAAAAAAAATCCCAACCTACATGTACATGTACATGTCTACCCTATTTTGGAATGCCATGTAATCGGAAGCAGAACTATTTTTTTTCTGGCCCTACATGTACACAATAGGCCGGATTTAGCCTGTTCATTGAAATTTATATGGGGTATTCCTTCATTTCATACTTTTGGACCAAGAGACTTGACCCTCCTTTTGTTTGATCAGTCACAGACAGTCAAAATTCAATCCTGTTCCCCTGCCTTGCCTTTTACACAGGCTAGTCACCAACAGTCAGGTCATATTTCATGTAGGCACTGTGACAGTCAAATTCCATCAACAGTTCTGTTTGAATCTGTCAAGATGGGTACAGTACCTCTAAACAGACAGTCTTTTACATTGGGTAGGCACACCTTAAGTCAGAAATACATGTATGTGTGTGCAGTTTTCCATACGGTGTTGGAATTGGCCAGGATGGGTATGGTTCCTAGTAAATCATGCTAGGCAGTTACATGTAGGTTCATGTTGTATACCGTTGGAAAGCTCTTGTTCTGCAGAATTCAGATCTATTTCTATCTCAATTCAATTTTTGATTTTCAGATTTTTTATTTGTAATCTTTGTTATCTACTACACACATTTTAAAGAAACAGTATAAAATCATGGAATTAAAATGTTTGTAAGGAAATAATCAATTGGCTTCAATCACTTTCACTTCAAAACTTGAAACTTTCAAAGCGTTTTTCTCAGTATTTTACTTTTTTGATATATCGTAGTGAAATGTAAACAGCCGTAACTTGACAACGGAATGTCCGATTGAAGTGCAACAAACAGAAGTGTAAGGAGAATTGTATTCTCTTTTCTAATATCTGCAAACCTCCATTTCGCACTCTGCCCAGTTTTGTCTTCTTTTGCCAGGGCGCCTCACATTTTATTTGCTAAGAAAACGCCTGTGTTTAGGCGAGCCATCAGATAACAGACCGTTCGGGTACCGGGACCGGTAAGCTAATTTCTTTCACCCCAATCGGTACGAAGCCAGAAGCCACCCGATCACTGAAGCGTGACGCCCCAATCCGTCCAAACTGGTGACTCAGGGTTTCACAATAGGCAACATAAATTGAAGTCTGGCCATTGTTGGAGGATTATTCAGCCCACTGGGATTACCAGCGGCAACTTCTATGAAGCTCGTCACAGTCATTGTTGCCTACTGGAGGATTAGCGCGTCGCAAGTTGGTTCCTTTGCGATGAGCCAGAGCCATGGTGCAGAAGCTTGGTGGAGTTAATCCAGGCCGATCGGTTCCATGCAAAGTCCCAATCCCTTCAACATACTGGGCGGGCTCAACCTCGAATGGTCCGGGGAGGGATTCTAATTTGAGGGCTCGCCTTAGCAATTCTACAAACTCAGCCCCCTTTGGGTTTTTCTTGCTCACCTCATCTGAATCCATGTCGCTATCCTCCGAGTCGGAGCTGGACGGATCGACGAGATCGGGCACGTCATCCAGCGCCACGCTCTCTGTCTGCTTGACCTGAAACCAGTCCTGCTGCACCTCTAGATCCTTGATGTAAGGGTCTTCCGGATTGTACGTCTTGCAGTGTACGATGGCGTCGGCGTTGGACTGCATGGCACGCTTCTGGTAGCCCAATTCAAACATGGCCTGGGCAAACCGGTGATGGCCCTAAGTACAAAGATGGTTACAGTCAGTGGAATGTTAGTATACATGGTGGATAAAAAAAATGAAACCGAGATATTATTGCTAATTGGAACAGAAGTAGGGCACATGTGAAACAAAGGGAGATATCCTCTGTTAGGGTTGAATCTCCTCTTAAAAATGACACCCTGGTCATGTCCTTACATTCACGGTTGACTGAGCAGTGACCCATTTTATGAGAGGGTCTATTTAGAGAATTGCGCCACTTTTCATGATGACATCTCTTTTTTTCCCACCTGCCTTGATTGGCGACCATATCCTTTCACGCTGTGACAAATGACATCACAAAAACCACAACTGAAAAGTAGGGCAATTCTTAGGTTTTTTTTTATCCACCCTGTACAATTAATGTTGGCATATCTGAAACCAAATTCTGTTTGGGGATGACGTGAGTTGCTCTCACATTTGGTTTGTTGTGACTCTCAACTGTCAGTCTGAAAGACATTTGTAATGACTAGACTCAAGTCCGACTCGAGTCACACTTTTTGGTGACTCGACTCGACTCGAGTCACTGCGAGCAAATGACATGACTTGACTCATGTCCCTCATCGGAAAACTCAACTCGACTCGAGCGAAGGCTAAAAAGACTCAAGTCCCAAAAATAAAACCAAAACTTTGCGAAAAGTAATTGCAACGACTTGCCCTTGCAAAATTATGTTGACGTCACTTTGTGAATGCAGTACGGTACAGCAGCCGCTTGACATGTACATGTACAAACATACGTGTCACAGACTCCCACCTCATGGTTCTAGAACGCACAAAATACTATCCAGAAACCGGACTTTAAACACATTTTCCAAATTGTTGTTTCATCATAGGCTTTGGGCGATTTCTTATAAAGCTCTTGGATTCGGATGCTGGCTAAATTTATGCCTTCCTTTGATAAGTTTCGGTATATAGTATTCAAATATTGGTGACTTGAATTGACTTGAGCTATACATTTGACTCGACTCCACTCAACTGTCTTGACCTTATGACTCGACTCGACTCGAGTCACTTCTTTAAATTTATGCTAAATTTATGCCCTCCTTTTATAAGTTTTGGTATATAGTGTTCAAATATTCGTGACTTGAATTGACTTGAGCTATACATTTGACTCGACTCCACTTGACTGTCTTGACTAAATGACTCGACTCGACTCGAGTCACTTCTTTAAAAGCATGAGCGTACTGTACTGGTTCGTGCGCGAAGTACGCACGACGTTTGAATGTGCAAAAGCTATAGCCACAGCGTCTTCGCGTGAGCATCATGCGTTGTCGGCGCTGTGCTCCAATGGTTACAGTGTTCGACTCACTTGCCGCGGTACGTGGGTTCGAACCCGGACGGGGAACATGGTGCTTGTGTTCTTGGGCAAGACACTTTACTACATTGCCTCTCTCCACCCAGGAGGATAAATGGGTTTCTGTGAAGGTAGAGACCAGAATGCGCTGATCTCGAGCTGCTGCAGAAACCGGTCTCATGGCCTGATGAACAGGGGTAATAATTGTGAAGCGCTTTGAGACCTTTGGTATAAAGCGCTATACATGTATAAGCACTATTATTATTATCCCTGCCCCCAATAACTTTGGATCGAATCAGATACCAAGGCCAACAACACTGACCTTTGACCAGGTAGTATTAAGAGTGATCGCCCTCTTGGCGTCCAGCAGGGCGTGCTTAAATTTCTTCTGATTAAGGAAAGCCATGGAGCGATTGCTGTAGAGTATCTCATCGTAGCGATTCTTGCGGATGGCCTTGCCATACTGGTAGATGGCTTTGGAGTAATGCTCTGCCTTATGTTCCATATTCCCGTTATTCTTATATGTTTCAATGGCCTGCAAAAATAAAATGTGAAGACAAAGACAAGTTTAAGGGGATCTATCCTTCTTAAATCATCACAAGTCTGTCCTAAGTCATCACAAGTCCTTCATACATTGTAAGTCATCACAAGTCCTTCACAAGTCATCACAAGTCCTTTATAAGTCATCACAAGTCCTTTATAAGTCATCACAAGTCCTTTACAAGTCATCACAAGTTCTTTGAAATTGATCACAAGTCTTTCACAAGTCATCACAAGTCCTTTACAAGTCATCACGAGTCCTTCATAAGTCATCACAAGTCCTTCACAAGTCATCACAAGTCCTTTATAAGTCATCACAAGTCCTTTATAAGTCATCACAAGTCCTTTACAAGTCATCACAAGTTCTTTGAAATTGATCACAAGTCTTTCACAAGTCATCACAAGTCCTTCATAAGTCACCACAAGTCTTTCATAAGTCATCACAAGTCCTTCATAAGTCATCACAAGTCCTTCATAAGTCATCACAAGTCCTTCACAAGTCATCACAAGTCCTTCATAAGTCATCACAAGTCCTTCATAAGTCATCACAAGTCCTTCATAAGTCATCACAAGTCCTTCATAAGTCATCACAAGTCCTTCATAAGTCATCACAAGTCCTTCACAAGTCATCACAAGTTCTTTATAATTGATCACAAGTCTTTCACAAGTCATCATGAGTCCTTCATAAGTCATCACAAGTCCTTCACAAGTCATCACAAGTCCTTCATAAGTCATCACAAGTCCTTCAGAAGTCATCACAAGTCCTTTACAAGTCATCACAAGTCCTTTCTAAGTCATCACAAGTCCTTCATAAGTAATCACAAGTCCTTCATACATGTAAGTCATCACAATCCTGAATAAGTCATCACAAGTCCTTCATAAGTCATCACAAGTCCTAAATAAGTCATCACAAGTCCTTCACAAGTCATAACAATTCATCACAAGTCCTACATGAGTCATCACATGTCGATCACAAGTCAAGTTACAAGTTATTCAGATGAACTGCCACAAAGCATCTCCTGTTACTTGTGCCCTGACTTGGGACGTGACTTACCTCTCTGTCCTCCCGTATTAATCTTGTCATTTCCTCGTGATGGTCTCTCTTTTTAACCGTATCACAAGCAAACTGAATATCTTCACAGGAGAGAACACACATATTCGAAAAGCATTTTACCTCACAGCGTATTCGATTACTTCCCTCGCGCTTACCCATCACGCCCATGCTTTTTTGTCTAAGGTGTACCGGTAGATGCATAAGCGCAATCTGTAGCAATTGGTGAACAAACTCGGCTTACATGTACTCTAGGTCCAGCAGGCATGCGGCATTGTCCCTTGGATTATCGCCTTCCATTGAGCTGAAGGCAGTGCAGCTATTGTCCCCAGATTATTGCCTTTTATTGAGCTGCAGCTGCGCAGAATGTTCGTTACTAACTAACTACATGTATAAACATGAGAGACACAACAAGTTCTTGAGCTGCTGTCAGCAGCTAACAATATATAGATACAGGTACATACATGATATTTATCCAAGGTTTTTACCTCAATGTCAATGTTCAATTACTTGAATATTCGATCGAATCCAAGTTCAAATAACTGAATACAGTCGAATCTCGTTAGTACAAACTCTGTTAATACAAAATTCTGATTATAACAAACATAAAGCCTTAGTCCCAACTGTGCATTTATGTGCACAATGAATGGGACTGATGTTCCTCTTAATACAAAATTCTGATATAACAAACAATTTGGCCAGGTCCGAACGAGTTTGTATTAACGAGATTCAGCTGTACTAAGTTTAAATGCACAGCATACGGTGAACCATGTCTTAAGGTCTTCTTGGGATGTAAGTGGGCTCTGACAATTTGAGGGGGATATTTGATCGAAAACTATGAAGTACCTTGTACCTTGTAGTTCTAAAGCTTTTACAGATTTTCACCTTTTCGGCAGAGTCCACTTTGCCGTGGAATTCAACAGTACTATTTTTGCTTAACAGCTCCTTTTATAAACAAAACAGTGTAAATTTTAAAGGCACACTTACAGGAAAAGACAACCATCATAAGAGCGGCTTTGGATTGTTCTGTTGTTGGAGAATGCCGTACCCTAAAAGTAAAAAAAAAAATATATAAAAAAGTTGGAAGAAAATCTGTTGACTGCAACAATACACGATTTTCACACTTCATCAAAGTGAGTCCAAACCACACCTGAAGCAGTGTCTGTAATAACATGAATAATGCACATGTTGCCTCGGTCCAAGACCCGATATGGTTTTTATTCCCTTAATTCATCCCCGATCCCCGCCAAACCACCGCTGCGGTAGGGTTTGTCATCGAATCAAGCCTTTGGAACATTGGCAGCGCTACCCAGTAATTTCCAAGCATACATTTGTACATACATGTACATGTACCTCACACATGTTAAATAGCTTGAATACCCCTAACCCACTAGTACTTCCTCAGGACTACCCTGCTTAATCCAACAGAGTCCAACGGGAGTTTCCTGCTCAATCCACTGTGCCTTATTTTCAGTTGTCTGCTGAATCCAACGGAGTCCAACATGGCATTATAATGCGGTTCAGTTGCCTGCTGAATCCAACATTTTGCATCAGGAATGTACACAAGGGGTTTACTGCTCAATCCAACAGTCTCCATCGGGTATATGATATCGTTGGATCCTGTTGGATTCAGCAGGGTTATAGGGATACAGTGCATGTGAGGTACATTGTACATGTACATGCCCAGCAAATTACAAAGAAAGAAAAACAAGTACACATCTTTTATGTTCTTACCAAAGTCTTTGAAAAGATACTTCTTCTTCAGCTAAAGCTCTTGCTGTTGCAAAACTAGTTTGCTAATAAAAAAAAAACAATCAAAGGACACTGTGGTCAAGACTTCAAACTCGCACAGACAGAAAGAAATTGTTAGAATCAAATACTGAAAAACTTCTAATTTCTGTTTTGAAAAGTACTGCTCATATGGTCCTGTAATTCACACATCTTTTTCAGGTGAAGTCAACTTTAAACTCACAAAAAATGAACACAGTTAATAGGGGAAGATCGATGTTCTATTGTAATGAACACACATTTGTGACCTGCCACAGCATAATGAGGAATAACGCCCACCTTTGACTTTTCACATTACATCATGTTTAAGTGCAAATCATTGGCTTTCCAATGATACCAAATTTATTTCTATAGCTTAGTTTACTCCAAAGATATGCCGCAGGAACTTCAACAGTGTCCTGCCAAGTTAAGCTACCCTTACTTTCAGAAAAATGGATTTGAAAAAAAAAAAAAAAGACACGCATTGCGCCACCAACGGCCATGACGGCAGTGATAAACATTATTGAGTTTTCCACTTTTGTGGGTATTGTTTCCCCAACCACCAACAAAAATGCATAGGGTGAATCTTGGATACCTTGGCTACTCAAAAACACAAAACAATCAATATCGAATTTGTCGTGATTTTTCTAGTGTATCCGACTGCAGGTGTCCATTACTCAAAACAAGAGTTTGGAGGATATTCCTCATTTTGGCTCAGTAGGTCACATTTATTAAGGGAATAAATGTGTGCTCTGGAGGTTTTTATCACTCTGTTTAAGACCACTTAGAGTCTGGGTGCTGATAATTACCCGAGCCGGAGGCGAGGGTAATTATCAGCACCCAGACTCTAAGTGGTCTTAAACAGAGTGATAAATACCGACGGAGCACATATTTATTCCCATTCATAAATACCTTTTCGGTAAGAAAAAATCATATAATTCGTTCAAAACATCCCAATTTTGTTCAACAAGTTCACTTTATGCTTTTTGAAACATCCCTCTAGCAAAATAATGGAGTGTTCAGCTGGCGAGTACATGTAAGATGTACACAACCCTTTTATGGAGATTGACGCGCGCGTATCATGTTCTGCGCGATGTCAGAACGCACCTGGCGCGTTGCGTTTTGAATTTAGAACTATAAAATTCTGACTCCCTGGTAGTGTTGCACATGCCTACGTGAGGATTGTGAACGTTCAACCAATGAAACGATAAGAGGCACTGGATTTTTAGGAGTCCACATTTTATTGTGACACTGGAAAAGTGTTTAAGACCAGCTAGCCATGTCTTTATCATCCGTTTAAGACCGGCCACGTGACGGGCTCTCGACCAATAGGAATAGCTAAACTGTCTATGGTATTTATGAATATCTGTTAAAATGAGCAGTAGTTCTGAAATACAATGTACAAACATTATGGATGCATTGTTTGGCAGTTTTCATATGAGATCCAACTGAACATGTACACTGTAAGCATCCATTTTGCCCATGTGAGCTTTTAAAGTTTTATTGGAAATTCATGTCTCTTGTGATCACCAAAGAAAATGGACCCACCTTATCCATTCTTACTGCTAAATTCATGAACCGTTGAAAATCAACACCATTTGTCTGAAAACAAAACGGGATAATTTAGTGAAGTTCTTGTAATGGATTTGGTTATTAGATTTAGACAAGTGAATGAAAGATGTATAACGTGCTTGACCAAAACAGTTTAGGCAAAAAAAAATAAATAGTTCTGCTTCCGGTTTCCCTACCTACCCTATTCTGACAGCCCCTACCCTAATTTTTTTTAAGAGAAAATGAGAAAAAGCACCCAGAACCATCAATTTCTACCTTTTACCCTTGACTACATGCAAACGCCTCCATATGATCGTACACAAAAAAAATGGGCTAAATTCCCTACCTACCCTATTTTCGAATGCCATGTAATCGGAAGCAGAACAATTTTTTTGTTGGCCTTAGTATTCCAACTGGGCATACACACACCCAAGATTTGCCAATTCTCAATTCAGGATAAACGTAGGAGATAAACGTTTAAGAGGGATGGTTTTTAAATCCAGAATCTGAATTTTGTTTTCATGCAATCCAAAAGAAGATGGGAATACTGTTTGCACAAACTATAGAGAGTAAACAATATTCAAAAACATGGATGTGCACCTGCCACCTAAACTGTTTGAATTCTTCTACTTAGCATGTTAACATGCTTAAAGGGAAAATACAACATTTGCAAACATCAAAAAATAAAACTACCAAATCATTTTGAAATACCTTGCTGGACTGTTAGTGAATGACAGTGTAAAGCATCCTGTACAATCTGGCACCTGGTATACTGTCATTTTCAAGAAAAGTGGTATTTTTGTATCAATTTCCAATGCTGATCGGCCGATCAGCGTTGGAAACAACTGGCTTTTTTTTCAAATACTGGCCCCAATTGACCATCGCACTTGTTTGCAATCGATTACAAACCTATGAACGGGTACGAGCCAGCTAGACTGGTTCCCTGACCTTACAATTCCCCAATGTATGTAAACTGCTCTGTTTCTTCTTATATGGAGTCAGGGAACCAGACTACAGGAAAATGATAGTTTTTCTTGGTTTTTATAGCATTTTCGAACCCAAAACCTCAAAAAAGTCAGTGTAACTACATTTGCTATATATTTCCAACCCCCCAATTCCATCCATTTCTGAAAATTACAGCAAAAGCAAATGATGTACATGTATATTCCCTTTAATGCACAACAAGAGTTTTCTCAGACTCTTCTTGTTGAAAAAAAATAAACCCTGTGAATGCACCAAAAGATATATACAAACCAATGGCAATTGAAAATGGAAACTGAAACAAAATCCAATCGTAAGCACACATTGAAATATTTATTCAAATTCTGAAGCCGAAATGTTTGACAGAAAATTGTCAGTTGACATCAACTTAGATTTAACACGTCACAAACACATGATGAATTGTGAAATTTAAAAATTTCTTGTAACACACTAAACAGGTTGAAATGGAATTGAAGATTTCTTCAGTGGAAAACAGAGATTTTTGAAACTGAAACCGCTGGACGTACACCAACTTTTGCAGAAAAAGCAATGACTGTACCGGTACTGGTACATGTATGTGAGGCATCAATCGTGTGCAAATATTGAAACAAATTGTTTATTATATCCTGAAATGACGTCAACAAATATGATACATGTACAGTGTATGTGTTGCAAAATAACAAAAGAGGTTCAAGGTACATGTGCACACAAAAGCATGAGGTTTATGGAGTAAATCAAGGACACGTGCAACATCATCGGTGGAACTTGGATAGGGACCAAATAGAAAACGTGTACAAAACCAATGAGAGCTGTTGCAAAAAAGTTGGAGTACAAACAAAGGAAAAGGAAAGAGAAACAAAGTAAAATCCTTGATTTACACCATAAACAAACGTGTATGTACGTACTTGTGTGTGTACAAGAAAGTGAAAGATTATAAAGTTCCACTTTCAGGATTTTTGAGGGCAACAGGAAGTTATATTCCGACAGTTAAAAATAAACCTTATAAAAAAAATCAATGTACTTACTATAATCTGTGAGGACAGCAAGCTGAGTAAATCTTTAATTAGATCTATTTTTTCGTAATCTTCAACGTCAATAGTTTCAACTTCTATCCATTTCCTGCAAAGGGGGAAAAAAATTACAAAGAGAAAACAAAAGTTGTGTCAAACTGAGAGTAGGCTTTGCAACTGATGAAACCGGTTTAAAGGGAAAGTCCATCATTTGTAATTTGTGTATCATGTTCGTTTAGAGCAACAAACGTGACCAAAATCTAAAGAAGGGTGCTGAACAACTAACCTGATGAAGTTTCAGCTCAGCTTCAGCTGTATATTTCGAGAAAAACAACATTCTAGGATCTCGATTGAAAATCAAAAGTTGCTAAATCATGTTTTGCATTATGTGCCTGAATTCAGCTTCCGAAACACGTTCTCACTGAGCCGATTGCAGCTACGCGATGTCGTGCACCGATCCGACGAATTAAAGCAACCGTGCACCCGCTTTGCTAAATAAATAAAAATAACTACTAACGGAAATTTCCAAAAGTGCGTCTTTAGATGCACCACTGGAAAGGCCTTCTTTCTTTGATTTCTTCAAAATTACAGCTTGCCAGAAAGAATAATTTCACAGGGAGTTTAGTCCCCTTACTATCTTTCAACCAAGTATGTTTTTCAACAATAATGTCATGTACGTCAGTTACTTTTTGGATAGCTGCATATGATGGACTGTAGCTTTAAAACCAAAAAAAATAAAATGCGAAGATTGCTCTTCATGTTGAAGCCAAGAGGATTTATAAAACCCATTTTTTTTAAAGATGGGCCTTCAAAAGGACTTTGTTGAGTATTTTTAATTTTTAAAATGAGGTTTTATCCATGGTGATGTTTGAACACAATATCAACAATTCCACATACCGGTATCCCATTTTGGATGAAACAGATTTTAGGGTCATTTCGTTTAAATGGTGACATGTACATGTATGTATAATTTGAACAGATTGAGCAATGGAAGTAATTCTTTCATCGGGTATTTCATTAAATTGGCTTACTGGAGTCATAATTATATTTAGTGCTACATATTTTTTTAAATATGAAATAAATATCATTGGGTTTGGGTTCCGGTTTTTTTGACTCACCCTGTACATGTACCATTATTGTAAACATCAATTCCCTACGTAATGTTATTAAACTCCTTAGCATACATGTATACATGTACATGTAGTACTTATCTGTGGGATACTCTGATTTCTATAGATCAACTTGTGGAGTCCTATTGCCCCTTCTGTTACCCTTTGAGCCCAGAAACCCCCAGGAGTATAATGAATACTTGAATAATGAATATATCATTGAATAATGAATATGAATAATCCACCATTGTTTGACATTTGAGGCCCCCCCCCCCCCAACACACCCAAACTGAAAAGCAGGTTATTTCCATGACTGATTGCGCAATATCCATCCTGACGCAAAGGTAAATTCCCCACCAGTGATTGCGCAACCTCCCATTGGAGTGCTCTGTACGGTACATGTACACATGGGGATACGTTTTCTGTACAAAATGAACCTTTCCTACATTAACCCTCCTATGCAAAAACACGTTCTGTGCACAGCTGTCATTTCAGTCAACATCAAGTGACTGTTTTCAATAGTTAAGAGCTCCCAGCCTGACATAAAGCAGGATTGACTGGCTGTGACTGTTTATGTACATGTAACTTGGTATACAGCTACATTTTGACTGTAGGTGATTGATAAGCCAGCTGTGCATTCGTCTTGCCTGCGTTTGTCTGTTGACTGAATTTGACTAGTCACAGTGCTTGCTTGAAATATGATCTGACTGTTAAAGGGAATGTACATTATTTGCTTTTGCTGCAATTTTTAGAAATGGATGGATTTGGGGGGTTAGTACATGTATGTTATAGCAAAACATTTTATACTGACTTATTTTACGTTTTGGGTCCTTAGATGCTGGAAAATCAAGAAAACAAATCATGTTCTTGTAGTCTGGTTCCCCGACCGCACTTAAAATGAAACAGAGCAATTTGTAGATGTTGGGGAATTGTAAGGTCAGAGAATCAGTTGTACCCCTTAGAAGATGGGTAATCAATTGCTGAGACAATGTGGAATAACTAAATATAAAAAAAGAGCAGTATTTGAAGAAAAGTCAGTTTTTCCAGCGCTGATCGGCCGACCAGCGTTGGAAATTGATACAAAAATATCACTTTACTTGAAAATGTGAGCACACTAGGAGCCATTGTTTTACAGGATGCTTCAGACTGCCATCCCCTGACAGTCCAGTAAAGTATTTTGTGATAATTTGGTCATTTATTTGTTTGATGTTTGCAAATGTTGTACATTCCCTTTAACTAGCCTGTGTAAAAGGCATACATAATGTAGCAGATATGAAAAATACTCACAAACTCTCCAAGATGTTTGAGACACACATCAAAGTAGAGCTTATTTCATCATCTTTTATTTTCTGTTCAATTTCTTTGGGGTTAACCAATGACTGTTGGAGAAAATTCCATCCAAAGATGATCACCCTAAAAGTAGTCCTGAAGCCTATCTCCATTTTGAAAAAGGATGCCTAGACACTCCATTGCAAAATAGAGCAATTTTAGGGGCTAATTCCAACCAAATTTCACAAAAATAAGAGCTCACAGTCCTTTTCACAGCTTCCACCCTTCTTTACAAACGCTCAAGTTCATGGCCCACAAAATGCTCTTAATACTGGAGAATTTAAGGGCATGAAAATCGTGATTTGGCTGGCGTAGGCAATTTTGGGCATACGTATTATTCTTTTTGGACAGGTTTTTTTAATCTCCCTCCTAGGTAAATAATCTGTGCTGTGAAATGAGAAAGATTTCTACACAAAAAGTCTGGATTTAAGGAAATTATTTCTTTTAAATTGCAGAAATTGGATTTGTAAGTAAATTCATGCAGCCAAAAACAAAGGCAGAAAGTGCATAGGCCAAGGATTTTAAAAGCAAGGCCATTTCCTTGTAACTTGAACACACACATCTAATTCCTGTAAAAAAAGAAATTGTACAAATCACTTCTTTCTATTGATGCATAGTTTCACTGACGCACGGTTACCATTGGTTACCACCTGCCAATGAAACCGCAAGCTTCTCATTTGTAGTTTTGATTTCCGTGAATAACACAAAAAAGAATTTCTGCAATCTGAGTTGAGATTTGAAGGTTTGCATGGTGGAAAGATACTAAGACAAGATAAGTTTGCGGTAGCACCATGTGAATAAATTGCTTTTGTGAGTATGTGTGGTTCTGAAAAGAACCGGAGGGACTCAACGTTTCAAACAGTATGCTCTGCCCGTCTAGTCTATGTAATAGACCCCTGGCGAATGCCAGGGGTCTATGATATGTGAGCAGATTCGCTGATTAATTAGGCAAGACCCCGCCTCTTGACCTAGATTTTTACCAATCAGCGGGCGCTTTCTATATTGGGTCTTCGGTCATTCACCCGTTGCGCGTTATAGACAATGGATAAAAAAAGCCCTGCGTCACGCGCTCTGTACATCATGTTACGCGATAACGCGCCCGGCTGTTGTTGCATTACAAAACTCTGCATTCGAATTGACCAACCAAACGTTCAGTCCTGATTTGGGAATGAAATGACGTCACGATTTAGTAAAGTCGACTCCGATTGGCTGAGGCGCGAGATCGCATAAATCTGCATGCTTTGATATATCAGACGTTGGACAGGAGTCTGGGCTCCGTGGATAACGGGTGATACTCCTGACTACTGCCCATCAGGAGAATGAGGGATTCCAACGATGACTCAATGAACCAGACTCAATGAACACAAAGCCCATGGCAGGAAGGGAGACTTCCAGAAATCTTCCATCGTCAAACACTCCCACACCGAGGACCACCAGATCAACTGGAGCCAAGCAGAACTGCTCACTAGCATCGACCGCTGTTACCGTACCCCCGACGCATCAGAGAAGCCATCGAGATCATCAAGCATAACACTGTTCCCCAAGACATCGGTTTCCACATCAGCGACATCTGGCGCCCCATCCTCAAGTCCAAGTCCGATGGGTCTCCTATACCAAACAACTTAGGTTCAGTCCTCGCCTATGGGTCACCTATACCCTGAGCTCCTTCCCCTTTGCCCCCTCACTGTGTACTGACACGCTCCAGTGATCATCCAGCATCCCTCAGTCGACTTGCATCCTTCTCTGCTTCACCGGTTTCGAGCTTCACCAGTTTGCATCCTTCTCACGCCTCACCGCACCCATCCTTATAACATCGCATCATCGTTGGAATCCCTCATTCTCCTGACGACGGGCAGAGCATACATGTACTATTCAAAACAAAGAGTCCCTCCGGTTCTTTTCAGAACCACACATACATGTACTCACCAAAGAGATTTATTCACATGGTGCTACCGCAAACTTATCTTGTCTTAGCAATCTGAGTTATTATCAACAAAAAAAGGATATTTTGGGGGGTTTGGGTTCCGCTTTCTTTGACTCACCCTGTACCGTAGATAACAAATATCAATCCAAAAATTGGGGGGAAAAATCACTCAATCAATCAATTGTAAATTTTAAAAAGGCCAAGGCCCTGTATTGTTCTCTTCTTTTGTTTCTATTGTTTAGACTTAAACCTTTTCCTTGCAATGTCTGATAAGGTTTGTACACTAAAACTACCAAGGACTCAGTAGCTCCTTAGAGTCATTGTTATCACGTAATCCATTATCGTTTCAGTTTGCGGTAACACCATGTGGTAATAACTACTGCTTAGAAGATATTTAGTTCTGACATGTCTGAAAAGAACTTGTCCTGCTTAATATCAACTTTCGCTAAGTAGTTTTTGTTCTGATAAGAACAGTCCTGCTTTAAGTTCTAAAAGAACTTGTCTTTAATTTCTACAATTTTATTTTAGAACTTAAAGCAGGACTGTTCTTATCAGAACAAAAACTACTAAGCTAAAGTTGATAATAAGCAGGACAAGTTCTTAAGTATCTTCTAAGCAGTAGTTATTACCACACGGTGTTACCGCAAACCGAAACGATACCGATACTCAACCATGCAAAGCCTCAAATCTTATATCTGGTATTCCATTGTTTCAAGTCTTTCAGCTTTGTTTTCAACGCCGTTTTCACCATATACATGTACGACCAACATCTTGTAGTTTAGGATTCTCTTAAAACAATTTCAACATGTATCTTCAATTTTGAGAAAACTGCCTCTGAAAAAGGCTAATTTTTTTTTTTTTTTACCCCTCTGTATGAAAAGTCTGAGTATCACCTGTTCTCCTTGCAGTTCATCTCTGGTAGAACGTCTGATATATCTAAACATGCGTGATGTCATTTCATTCTGAAATCAGGACTAAGATAGTGATTGGTCAATTTTGATACAACGTTTTTGTAATACAACAACCTGTACAAAAATGCTACTCATCGTGGGCGTGATGTTTATGCACGCAGGGAGCTCGCATTTACGCGCGTATAGAAGGCGCCTGCTGATTGGTCAGTTTCTCGAGGTCATACGCAGACTAGTTGCATAATTAATCGCCGAATCTGTTTACGTATCATTGACCATGGTTGGCTTCGCCAGGGCCAGGGTCTATTACTGGTACATACTGTAGACTACTGTATGAACCGGCTTGTAAGGAAATTACTAGTACAACATTGATCAATTGTCATGATTGTGGGCTTTCCCAATATGAAGACGAATTACCATAATTTCTTTTTGAAACATCACATTTTCATGATCAAATCCCATTGTACATTGTATCTTTTAAAGTGCTTTCAATAGACTCCATGTGAAAGTACAAGTACCCCCTCAATCGTTACAAACAGAAAGTTTGGGAAGACTAAACTGTACATGTACAGGGTGGGACTTTTTATAGCATGCATTGCCGACGGCAATGTTATAAAATTACATGCACATGTAGTTGTAAACTACATGTACCATATACAGGTATCACAAGTCCTACATGTAAGTTCCCCCCAACATTATTCTTAATTAATGAAATAGAAATGCACGATTTCAACAATATCCCAAATGCAAATGACAGAGGACACTCTTCTGCCCATCTTGTGAGCAAATGATAGAAATCAAATCACGCATACCAACACGAAGCTCATTAGAATGAAAAAAGTGGCAAGAAAAAAAGTTGCAGTGAATAGCACTGCTCCAATGTACTGGTTTGAGTGATCCTGCAAGGCAGGCTAGACTTTCATTAATTAATAACTTTACCTTACAAAAGTGTCCTTGTTTAAAAGGATGTTTAACTGAAACAAGACGCAATCTTGGTAATCTAACAGATAACTGCAGACCTTTTAATGCAAAGATGACAAAGAAAATGCTGTGTAATCCTATTACTTTTAGATTAGATACAAAAGGGATTAACATTCTACCTTTTAAAGCATGATCAAACCAGTACATTGGAGCAATGCTATTTACTGCAACTTTTTTTATTGGCACTTTTTTCATTCTTATGAGCTTCGTGTTGGTATGCGTGATTGGATTTCTATCATTTTCTCACAAGATGGGCAGAATAGTGTCCTCTGTCATTTGCATTTGGGATATTGTTGAAATCGTGCATTTCTATTTCATTAATTAAGAAAAATGTTGGAGGGAACTTAGGACTTGTGATACCTGTATACACGCACCAACCAGTCCATACAATGCCCTTTACGGGGTAGAAAACACAATAGACCCCATAAGGAAGATTTTAGAAATCAATCTGCCCCATAAGGAAATGCTATGAAGTTTGAGATTTCAATAGGAACAAAGGAGAACAAAAGAATGGAAACAAAAAAAATAGTTCTGCTTCCGATTACAATGTACATGCCTTTCAAAAATATGGTCCGTAGGTTGGATATTTTTTTTTTTTTGGCAATTTTTCTGTGCTGATTGAATGGGGTATTCAATTGCGAATGTCAGCCTGAACTATTTCCATTGCACTACGAAAGCTATACAAAAAATGGCCACAAAAAGTGATTAGGCCTAAAACTTACCTTAATTATTGTCAAAATATTTACGGTCGATAAGTCTTAAAAATAATGGAAAAAATCAGGTCGTGCACACCATACATGTATGCACAACGCCAGTCATGAAACGTGGCCAACACAGTCAGTACATCGGGCGGTATAAGCGTACGCAACGGTAATACATGTACATGTGTGTGGCGCGCTACGAACCTCGCTTTTACTGTAGGAAATTTCGGGGAACCACGCTGCATCATATCACTCCAAATACGAGTAGAACGACCTCGAAATAAATTCGTGTACAAACTGTTTTTTTCCCTTCCAAAAAACCTGTATGTTGCTATGCAAAAGGTATGACAGAGTTAGGCACATTTAATATAAAAGCTTGCTCTATAACGCGGCATCGAAATATCTTTGAAAGGATTGATTCTACACACACAAAAAGCACTTCAAAATTGAAAGCACTTCAAAATTGAAAGCACTACATTTGTACGTCGGGTTTTATACACATCCACTGCAGTCCTAATTTCAATCTCCCGAATAGTTCGGAGATTTAAATTACACAATTCCTGGGAGTTAAGATCACGCAAGGCATGATGGGCACCAACATGGCGCAGCACGATCGTACCTATGGGAACGAGGTTGGCCAAAACGACTGCGATCTGACCTTCATTACCTGCATCAGACTTACATGTACGTACTTCCCACAGGTACCCCCGGTACAGGTACATCCGATCTGATACACCGTGCCCTCTGGAGACATGCACACAATAGGGAACAAAAGATTGTATATGTCTCCACATGGCAATTTCTACAGATGAATACGTCTCCACAAAGTTTTCACGAAATAGATATATAGATTTTACTCAAAAACTAGGAATTTCCAAGGTATGTTAATCCGTTGCAAATGGAAGAGTTTTAGAAAAGGGATATTACATGTAAGTCCGAATTGCAGCCAAGGCAATTAATTCTGGTTAAAATCAGAGAATTTTGAAACTTCACATTCAAACTCAAAAACTTTACTACACGAGAACAAAGAGATGTCTCCACAAGGATACAAATTTCAGTGTGCGTGTAATGTTTGTGTTCGTACGCAAGATAAACGTATGCAAGATACTCACTCTACATAAGATTTAAATTTGGCTTCTTCCATCCACGTGCGCCATTTTGTGGGTAAAAAGTCCGCGCCATACAGATAAGGCGCCATTACTCTCATCCTCAACGTCCGGACGAGCGGCCGGTGCTGCTCTTCGTTGTTGACAATCTTCAGCCACTGCTGGCATTCCTTTTTGCTCTGAATGATGACACAGAAATGAGAGGACAACATGTGAGCAAGGTCTCTCCACACTAAAGGGGTGCAAAAGTGTCATTACAAGTGTACCGGCAGGGTTCGACCTTAGCGGTGGTCCGCTGGCCAAATGCCAGTTGAATTGCCGGCGGACCAGCTGAAACACCTTGCCAAGTGGTCCGGCTGGCCAGCTGAAAAAATCTGTGTCAAAAAAATGCTTGTTGTATTTATTTGTTTTCTTACTTACATTCGCTATTTTGTTTCAAAAGAAACCTCCGTTATTTTTACAAATTCGCTTCGCGATATGACTACTTCGCAATTCGATGTCACGATGACATAATCTGAAGCAGAATTGTTTTTTTTGCGGCCTCAGATCATGGAGGAAGAAAATAGACCTCTATTGCTCAGGTGACATGATGACATGGGTGTTGACTATAGTCTGATTATGACTTATGTGAAACTGATTAACTGGTGGGTACACGCTGTATATAAGACGGACCAGTCAAAAACCTGGCGGACCAATCAAAATTCTAGCCGACTGGTCCGGCTGGCCAGTCAAAAAAAGTTAAGGGCAACCCCTGAGTCCGGTATGTACATGTAACATGGACAGAATAATAAAGTTAACCCTAAGGCAAAAAAAAGTCTCCGGTTTCTGGTATGGAGCTTGCCCAAAAAGTGGTGCGGCGACGTGTTTTTTTTTTTTGTTTTTTTTTACTTGTTTTTTCTTCAAATGTCGGCTGATGACTGCAAATGGTGCCCGACTAAATTTAGTGCAAAAAGTATGGGAGCCCAAAGAGGCCACAGAAAATACTCGATCATAACCTCATCTAAAAACACGTTAAAATTGTGCAGCAGCAGGATTCCAGTCAAACCAGTGAGTTTGGCGGTTTTGAGACATCATCTTGCTTTGAAATTTTTTTTTTTTTTTTTTCATTTTGCCGACACGAATGGCTATGGCGACGCGCGCAGACCAGAAACCAGAGCTTTTTTTGGGGCATAATCTCCCCAACTCCATGAAAATCCCATCCCCCCCCCCCCCCCCCCCACCCATTTTGGTGGATTTTGGGGGACTTGGTCCGGCAGGCCTGGTTTGACTCAATATTGATGGAGTTTGATGGACTCGGGCCTGGAGGCCCGAAGAAAAGCATGCATTGGAAGCAGTGTGATTGGTGACTGCTCTGTGTTGCGACACCCCTATGTGTTCCGACAACCCGCATGTAACTTTTTGTAAGATTGTGTTACTTCAGTTAGGGTTAGGGTTAGGGTTTGGGATAGGAATATGTGGCATCGAAACATAGGGGTGTCTGTCGGAAAATAGGTGTGTAGCCGTGTGATTGATGGATTTTGGCGGACTTGGTCCAGTACGGTACTTAAAAGACAGTAGTTAGGGTTAACACTGGTAGAAAATTTTACAATCAATTAATATTGTACAATGTACGTTCGATGGCCAGATGATCCGGTGAATCGGTAAAATTGAAAAGGTGTTAATTAAGAAGAAAAAGAGCAGTAACTTTCATGTTTATTTTTAAACGAAGAAAAAAACAGTCCCGGACTTACAATACTATGGTATTGTTTTTGTTAATACTTTGTACTTACCATGAACAAAGGCTCCATGATTGAAACTTAGGGTTTATCTGAAATGGAAACCAAAAAAAAAAAAGCTAAATAATTTCAGTAATTACAAAATGTACATTGTATTGTACCAAAAAGTGGAGTAAACGAAGAACAAAGTTCTGAAACTGTACAATCGGTGATTGTTCTATGTTCCGACACCCCTACATATGTAAATGTATGTTCCGATAACCGGCACATAAGATTGTGTTACTCCCGGTTAGGGTTGTTAGGGTTAGGGTTTGGTATAGGAATATGAGCAGTGGAACATATAGGGGTGTCGGAACATAGGTGTGTAACCAAACAATCTGAATCGGTATCAAGTTTTTAAAAGCCCTCCTGTGAAAACATGCATTCTGAGCCATGCTATTAGTACTTGGACATTTTGTTCCTTACATATCAAGGTGAAGAATACCGCATTGTGATGTTGTGGTGTCCGACATGTTACATCCACAACCATTGTTTTTGGTTGTTGTTGGAAATAACAATTTTATCAATCTTTAAAAAGTATATAAGTATGGATATTATACAAATGATGAATGTTTGTGAGTGCAATGGTAAGAACAATTTCATGAGGTGACAGATGAAATGTTCCATTCCATGAGGCGAAGCCGAGTGGAATGGAACATTTCATCTGTCACCGAATGAAATTATTCTGTCCATTGCACGAACGTGAAACATTCATTATTTGTTTTCTATAACATGTATAACACCTGAATAAATCCTTGTGATTTGATTGTTTGACTTTTAATAGCCAATTTATTGTGGTTCAAAACTGTTTAAAAGTTTGACAAGTTCATCATATTTATATTAATGCAAACTGTTCAACAGGTTGAGAACAATCATATTCAATTGATCTCGATTTAAAATAGCGCCACCACCACCAGCAGTGATACAGTGCAATGGAAGTACTATTCGCAGTGCAATAGTACTTCCATTGCACTGTGCGCTGCGTGCCACGCGCGCGCCGTGCGTTGGTACGAATAATTCAATGACATGTGATCAACGATCCACCAATCAGATGACGGGGATTTATTCAGGTGTTGTATAATATTAAATGAAGCTACCGGTAACTGATGATAAACTCAAGTGTGGTGTGAATATAAAGCATTTTGAAGTATTAATTATGAACGAAACAAGGTTTGGATGTAACAGGACATGGCTTCCGGTTACATCCACAACTTCTCCATAGTCATTACATGTAAATATATATTGTGTGCAAATTGACTAACTTTCCAAAATCATGTGACTTAAATTTGAATGAATTGTTAAACCACAATGCATGGGCTATCAAAAAATACATAAATAAAACTTGTACAAGCAATTTGAAAATTTGATCCCAATGTCACACTTTGTATCTCAACTTCGTGGAATGGCCCGGGTCAATATTGGTCAAGACCCCCATTGGTTTGTTAATAGCGGGACGCTGTGGTCCAATGGTTACGGTGTTCGACTCGTGTGCCGTGGTGCATGGGTTCGAATCCTGACCGTGGGAACATGGTGCTTGTGCTCTTGAGCAAGGCACTTTACTATTATTGCTTCATCCTTCGGATGGGACGTAAAGCCGTACATGTACAAAAAATGTAGGTCCCGTGTGTTGTGTAATGCACGTTAAAGAACCCAGTAACACTTATCGCTAAGAGAAGGGGTTTGCCCCGGTGTTTCTGGCAGTGGCTGCAATATGCGCCGCAGCACCTTGTAAATCATTATAAGGTGCTACGTAATCGGTCTCATATTTCTCATAAACTTTATTTACCTTTCTTTAATAACTGACATAATTTCCAGCGCCTTGAGTACCTAATTGTTGGTAGATACGTGCGCTATATAAGACTCCGTTATTATTATTATAGTATGCCAGGGAAATGGAAGGAAATTTTGACCGTTTGTGACCTCTTAAATAGCAGGAGGGTTTTAAAATGTAACTACCAACAAATCGATATACTAAATAAAATATTTCTGCATACACACGTGTATACTTTTGTACATTTTACATGTACTAGCAGACAATTTAGCAAAACATCAAATAGTGTACCCTCCCCCTCCCCCTCCCCCCCCCCCCCCGACACAATTACAATTGGTTTGTGAACCCCCCCTCCCCCCCCCCCCCCCCGACACAATTTCACATTTTATTCACATGTACCAGTATACAATCACTGAAAATCAGAGCACTCAAGATGTGTACATAATTCTTACTGATGTCGTCAGAGCTAGAAAGGGGATTTTGTACTGGTACGGTACATAAACATTGGCACGAGGACAGAAGTCTGGATCAATTTAGTTACATGTTTTAAGAAAATGAAAACAAAAAAAATCCAATCTTTATTTTTCCTCGCTATTTTTGTAAACCTTTTAATACCTTTCTGATTTCACCAAGTCGACAGAGCAGCAGATTTCATCGGCCTACAAGTGTGTGTTTGTTCGTCAGCGATATCCAGAACCCAATAGGTGAAATTCCACAGTACGCAATGTGACTCATCAACAGCTAAAACCACTCCAATTTTAGCTTCTTTACATGTACATGTACATGTATGTGTACTTTCCAACAGACAAATGCAAACATTCGCATGCACCTACATATGCACAGGTCTCGACGCAAGGTGAACATTTGTTAAACTGAGTTGTGTTTTGCTTAAGAGGAAATTATTTCACACAAAAAAAAAAGCCAGCAAGATTGTGCAATCACGGCATGGGTATTCCCCTAAAATGTACCATTCCACACAGACATTGTTCAATGAATAGAGTATTGTTAGTACAATGTATACACTTAATTGTTCCATTCTTCCTGTGAAATTTTCAACTTCACTTAAATCATAGCCCTAGAGTAATTCTCACAGATCTACATGTACTGGTACATACATGTATGTATCCTCAAATATTCACCCAGACGTTTCAGAGGATTTGCAAGATACAGAAAAGTCTATGTCTGCATTGTGTACATGTACCACGTACATTTTTTGTGTATGCACATGTACAATGTAAACAGGTACGGTACATAGATGTACAATGTAAACAGGTATGAACATTTACATTTAACATGTTTAAAGAACATCAACTGTTGTAAGTTCATAATAGTACGCCCTCACATAACTGGATTTAGCCACACTGGTTTGAAAAATGTCATCTACGGTAATAGGACACTACGAAGGTCCACTATCAGATCACTAAAACATCTCGAACCAAGACTACTCGTGTGGGTGTGGGTATACACAAGGTACAAAGGGCACTTTGATCTCTTTGAATACGGTAATGACCTCGTGCGATTTTGTACCACACGTGGGTGTGAATTGTATTGAATCAGCACTCACGGTTCAATAAATTTGGAATATTGAATATTTTCCCACACCACACATGCAAGGGTTGGGGGTTTTGATGTTGAAATTCACACATGTATCGGTACACGTGTACATGCGGTGCAGTTTTACAAGATGTGGTTTAATTGTTGTAACCCTACCTTTTTAAACGAGCCCCCATTCTCTGTTTCCAGTGTATACTTATTGCTCAATATCATACTTGTACAATGTACGGTATATACTGACACTTATCGCTTTATGCATGTACATGTATACATTTATCTTGTATTTCTTTTTTTCGTAATATTACAATGTATACATGGGTATTATTTGCGTTTCAGAGTTAGAAATAAATGAATGAAATGAATGAAACGAATGAAACGAAACGAATGAAACGAATGAAACGAATGAAACGAATGAAACGAATGAAACAAATGAAACGAATGAAACGAATGAAACGAATGAAACGAATGCAATGAATGAAACGAATGCAACGAATGAAACGAATGCAATGAATGCAATGAATGAAATGAATGAAATGAATGAATGAACCTTCCCAACTCCATCAAAATACATCCCCCTTTTGGGGGGATTTTGGCAGACAAGCCATCTGTACCAATATTAGTCAATCGAAACCCACCTACATGTATAGTCATGATAGTAGTGGTGGTCTTTTGGTGGATTTCAGCAGATTGGGTCCTAAAGCATATTAGGCCTATGTGAAGCAGGTCTGGTCCAAAGAATCAACACACCACAAATGAAAGTAATTGAATGGATCTTTCTAAACTAGCATGCATCATATTTCAATAAATAACAAATGAGGAATTCAAAACTTGAGTATCTGAGCTTCAAACATGACCAAAAAATTTGGGCAAATTGGGCAAAAAAAATCAATACAAAGTTAAAAATACAAAAAAAAAGAGAGTTGAAATCATGCAATACGGACCTGTGTAGTTTGACTTTGAATTAATACCGCTGGTAAAATAAGCTACGTCATCACAGGATGTCTGGTACAAAATATGGGTCGACATACAGTTTGACTTTGAACCATTACCGTTGGTAATATGCCATCACAGTTAATAAATTATGTCGGATATACACTTAGTGTAAACAACGTTTGGGAAGTGAAGGTCAAAGGGCAACCTACATAAATAGAATACAAACATACACTACATCGCCTGATCACTGTTACTATAAAGGTACAGTACGTATGCAAATCTGCTGAAAACCTACTGAACTTTCAATGGGTTACAAGTGTTTGTAAACTAACAACTCAGTAAAATCATGGATGGTAAAATCTTCCAATTTTCCATGCAATGTGCCGATGTACATGTGTACATTTAAAGGGAATGTACATCATTGGCTTTTGCTGTAATTTTCAGAAATGAACTATTTGAGGGGTTAGTATACATAGAGCAAATACTGTTACACTGACAAGTTTGAAGTTTTGTGTTCGAAAATGCTGGAAAAACCAAGAAAAACAAATAAGTTCAAGCAGTCTGGTTCCCTGACTCCACTAAAGATGAAATGAATCAATTTATTGATGCCCGAAAATTGTAAGGTAAGGAAACCAGTCTAGCTGGCCTGCACCCGTTCATGAACATGTAACCAATAGCGAACAAAATTTGGACTGAAAAAAAAGGTAAATTTGGAGCAGTAGTTGAACAATAGTTAGGTTTTTCCAACGGTGGTCAGCCGACCACCGTAGGAAATTTATACAACATACCACTTTTCTTGAAAATGACTTCACACCAGGTGCCATAATTTTACAGGATGCTTTAGACTTTCATTTACCAACATCCTATTAAGGTATTTCGTAAAAATTTGGTAGTTTAATTGTTTTCCAATGTTTGCAAATGTTGTATTTTCCCTTTAAATGTATGTGTGTACAAATAAAAATGTACAAGGCATCCAGCAAGACGACCAGGACACCCGACACCAAAGTTTGTTTCCATGAAATACAATATAGCAATTTGTGGCCTTCAAAAAGTAGAACAGGATTTCCTGAGCACAAAGTCATGTACATGTACAGTATAAAGGTAGTACAATTTTGTACCCGGTACGTACATTGTACACGTACAAACTACAAAGTCCTAAAATCTGTGGCACGTAACAAAGTTTTCTGTACGGTCCTACAAATATTCAATACTTGAACAATTGATTTTTTTTCCCTTAAAAAAAAGTCATTGCGGACCACGTAAATTATGTGGATAGGAGATCTATTAAAAGAAATTCAAATTAGGGTACAAACTACCGGAACATGATGTACCGTACATACCCTGTATGGCCATTCAAATTTGGCAGAATGATTTGGGGTAGTTACTATTTAAACACTGCAGAAGGGTTTCCCACAGAAATCTGAAAACCAAATTCCAGGACTTTCCAGGACTAAATTATGACAATTTCCATGACATTTAACGCCATTTTTTTTGCCGAGAAAAGTTGCTTGGTATTTATGATACTGATGAACAAATGATGTAAGCTTTTTGTTTAATAGCTTTAATAGCTTCTGAAAAGTAAATTTTAATTAATAATCTCCTCCTCCCCTTACAGCCATTCTTCGACCCATCAAATATAACCACCCCCCCCCCCCCCCCCCGCTGGAAAAGCCAAAATAAACAATTTAAAAATGAAGGAAAAAAAAGAGAAAAAAAGAGGAAAAAAAGAAAAGAAAAAGAGGTGCAAAGACAAAGTGGTGTAAATTTAATGAGTGGGGGGGGGGGGCAAAATGTCACTGCCCCCCTCTAAAACTGATAAATCGAGAATGCGTTGAGAAATTCCAGCATTTTTTGGCCAAAAATTTTTTTTCCCCCCTCTAGAAAAAATCCTGGCGACGCCCATGTGCAAGATGTAAACAAATGTACATGTATCATGTCCGCATGTACTGATATGCATACATTTGCATGTCATGTGTACAAAAGTGGGGATGTGTGGTACATGTACATGTACATGTATGTCATGTACATGTGTGGGACATGGGACTGCATGTCTTTCCAGTGGCAGTATGGTAACAGAGAAACACCTTGGATTATACATTTTACAAGCCCAATTGCACACCTGCAATGTATGCACTACATGTACATGTACATGTGTTCTGTATCATGTGAACAACGCAGTAGGTTTTATCGGAAAATCCCTACGATGTCCATATCGTTGACATGATGTATGAGTGTCCCAAGAAGTTTAGACTGGGAATTCCCCCACAGGGAATTCCCATCTGCTAATGAATATGTATGCAAAATGTGCTAATGAATATGCAAATAGTGTAGTCATTGCTCAGTATTCAATCACAGACAAGTCCATGAGCAAATTTAGTTTGGCTCCGCCCCTCAATGGATGTGTCTCATTTGATTGGCTGGTAATATTAATACATGGTCATGGCAATCACTATAGATAGATGGCGTCCTATCTGTTGCCTTGTGGTTGCACCTTTACGTGTACTTGGCGTTAACGAAGCACCGGCACTGACAGGTTTTTTTTTTGGGGGGGGGAGACAACATTTCTGAGAAAGCGACAATTTTTTCTTGAGAAACACCTGGGTTTTACATTAAAAAAAAAACATGCTGACCTGCAATGTACGATAACTTCAGCAAGTTCTGTAGTAACAGCAATGGGTTAAAGGGCAGCTGTGCAGATGTAAATATCATACTTTAAAATTTATTTATTTATTTATTTATTTATTTATTCATCATTTTAACTGGGTAGCCCATTCAGTGGAATCCACTGATCTCCCATGGGTCCCAGTAAAGAGAAGACAATGTGAAGAAATTACAGTTTTTAGAGGTGGGAGGAAAAGCCCAGAAGAGTATTCTGAGGAAAACCCACGGAATCAGGTAGGGACTGAAAACCCAATCCACATATTGGCCCAGGCGGGATTCGAACCCGGGTCACAGCGGTGGAAGGCGAGGAAAGTACCGCTACGCCAACCTGACTCCCCCTAAAATGCTCTTTCCAATTAACAAGTTAAATGCCCCTTTAACTTTAATGGAAAATCCCTTCGAGTGCACGTTCACGTACATGTGTACATGTCATTTATATCCCAGGAAATCTGAACTGGGAATTCCCTGTCCTGCCTGTGGGGAATTTCCAAACAAGTCCATGTAAAGTGTAGTTCATGAAGTGTGTAGTGTGGTTGGCCCCGCCCCTTAACGGATGTCTCTCATTTGATTGGCCGGTGATATTAATACATGGTCAATGGCAACTAATTCCAGGACCTGCCTATATATGTATGATGATCATACAATTTCTTTATCCGCTAGATGGCGTCCTACCTGTTGCATGTGGTTGCACTGTACTTCACGTTAACGAAGCACCGTGATCGAGTCTGTGACAGGTTGTTTTTTTTTGCACAGCACTTCTGAGAACACGTGCAATGCAAGATTAAGAGCTCAATATAGATTCCGGGATTTTATAAATTTA